AAGTGCGCTTCGACTCGATCAGCGTGCTCCCTCTTGTATCCTCCGACCGAGTGCGCACTCCTCTCGCTTCCTCTGAGTCTGCGGATGTGGGCATTTCAAGGTTGGCATTGGTAAACAGTGGTGTCTCTCTTTCTCCTAGAGAGCGGTACCAGCAGCGGCATCTTTGCCAGCCGCACTGAGCCGGACACACGCCCGGACTAACTGGAAGCGCCCAAAAGAAACACACCTCCCTTCCGCGGGGACAGGAAGTGTTTAGTTTATTCATTACGTTATGACTAAATTTGCCTAGTTTGCTTGTGAAGTCGATTCATAGAAACTACTTAACACACATTTTGTGACATGCAGTTGAAGTCTATAGTTCGATTTAATTTTTAACAAAGTAAACATTCTCACATTCAACCAACAACTACAACACAAAAATTTAGGAGTATTAGTATATTATATTTAAGAGTGAATTTGAGTTGGCTTATGGGCTACGCTGCTATGATACTAAAAATATTTGTCCTAGCTTTTTTATTACGAGCTATTGACCTGCCGAGGTAACTTTTCTGGAGGTCCGTTGGCTCAGCCCACATGGACAGGTACCAGCTTTACTTTAGAGGTTCACTATTCAGGCTCCCATTGCCGCGGTGGATTTACGCCCCCCCCCTTCATTATACTATATTATATATGAGAACAATGGGATTTCCTAATCCCTCCTATAATCCCTTGATTATGACATACATTTGAATGTTAGGATACAAAAGATATGCATGGGGTATGTATACATCAAAGATCTAGGAGGGCGCTTACTATTGTTATTTATGATTCAAATTGCATGTGTTTCAACTCTATTCAGTTGGCATTATTCTACTTAAGTCTTGGTGGTATGTAAAGTAATGAAAAGCACATAGTCTACAAACCATAGGATGTTGCAGCACTCAATCAATTTCTAATAAGTAACGCTTCCTTAGACCATTTCACCGTACATCGCCTAGCCGACTAGCTGAACTCAATCTGCATAACATGAACCAATGCACAGTCTGAAGTTTTTTCATCGGCAGTTGTGGTGCAGATTGGTCTTGTGTATCACAATGAGTTGCTTGAGAGCGACAGGAGGACTCCAGGTTCAACGGACTTTCTGAATATATATATACCACACTGATGAGCTTGTACGAGACTAAGCCTGTGACGGGCCATCCGTGAGTTGAGCCGAAACGTTTAATCTCTCCAATTTCACTCAGATGAGTGCCCTTGGATTTAGCATTTTTATGGTTTTGCGCAGGATAGACCTAACAAGCTGTTTCTATTGATAGCAAACATCATTCTGTTCCCACAACCTATCAAGTAAAGATAGTAGTAATTTAACTATTCTGCATTGGACCAGGAAGGTTTCAGAATTAACGCGTTTTTATACATCCGAGTGGATCATCAAGGCTCATGGTTCCTCCAATGTAATATTACATCGGAGGGGGCGTTTATTTCTACAAGTTGGGAATATCCCCAAATATCCCTTTAACATTAAGAAATTTTTACACGTCTCGAGTGGGGAACAATTCATTTAAGCATCACCACTATTCCACCCAGTTGGCACAACCAAGAACTGATACTTATCATACTACAATAAAATAAATACCCCTTTGATTTTTAGCATTAGTTTTGTCAGGCGACAATGTATGGAGCTAACAGGACCAAAGTGCAGAGCACAGAAGAGTTGACAGATACAGGATAAAAAAAACGTATTTAGTTTGTGGGATATAATATATACACACAAAAACGCAAAACCTCATCTTCACAGAAATAGGATCTTGTGGAGTGACTTTATTAGTCTCGCTTCGATACGGCACATTTCAGTACTTTTCATGACCTGTCCTTTAATGGAGAATTAGTGTCCTTCAACGGAGGATGCTTGATGGGTCACGCGGGCTACGGCTTGATTGAGCTGCGATAAACCAGTTAAATATTGTGGTGGGCGGATCAGGGTATGATCAGTGTCATTCGTACTATCCGCCTCCTGATTATTAGCCTGACTCTTTTTCATTTGGATACGGATCGCAATAGCGGGTAACCCAAACGAACAGCTTTCCAGACATGGTTCGGATAACTTAGTCTGGAAGTAATCACCGTTTGAAAGAAGGCGCTCGTATAGACTCAGTACTCTGAACGAAAATTTAGCAAAAAACATCTCAAAGATGAAGATGTAGTACAGCTAGAAACTAAGAAGTGACTCCATACCCCCCGTCATGAATATTTAGTACCACACTTGAATGCTATAAATCAAAGAAATTTAACATACAAATACCTATGCAAGCTTGTTCCAATCATCTAAATTATTGCGCACAACACCGGCAGATCGAAAGGACATGAATTCACTTGTTTGCTATGTGATGATAAAATCCCCCCCCCCGCACCACCTACCAACATCCTCTAATGAGGGGAAAAAATCGTCATTACTTGCTGAAGCTTTTGCTTCGGCAGGGTACTTGGATGCGGTTTGTGCAGTGGACTGAGACTGGCCTATATAAGGATGGGTGACTTTAAGAGCCCAAGGGGATATTACAGCCGCTCTGGCACCTTAATACTATGGCCACAATATAAATATCTCTTTTCTTCCTCCTCGATTGATGATGAAGCGGCGCGAATATCTAAAAGTAGAATTTATTTAGTTAAGTTCGGCAAATATCTTAGTTGACCCATCAGCATGTAGCAAAGTTCGTCTGAGATCAGCAGCACAACGCACGACAGGAACCTGCGAACAGCAAAGGCAACGCCCTCATTGACGGATTTTTTCCTCTTCATTAGTATTAGTTAACTATATGCATTAGTTTTTACGATATCAAGAAACACCACTTGATGATGATGAGCATAACGATCTATGAGATTCAAAGAGGGCAATCCCCATATATGTAATGCTAGTGATAACGCATAGATACCGATCGTTTAAAGGAAAATTCTTGAAATCAACTCGACATTAGAGAGTTAAAATAATCTACTGGTAAGGTCATGATACATACTTAGTTCAGGCAGTTGAACCTGCCAACTTCATTTTGGATTTAATTATTATTCAAATATCTGAAGACTGTTATAAAACATATGACAAACGAGCAACATTCACCTGGTAGCTACACATTCTATTTAAAAGAGACAGTCCCGTGAGCCGTTGTGTAAATTGCCCGCGCTGATATCGATTTGAAGACAAGAGACTAGCAGAGACAATTGGAAAGTAATGTTGCTGTAAAGGTCCTCAAGGCATGCAGGACATCCCCTATCGCAGTACACAAGGCATATCCAGGATTAATCTCATCCAGCGACGAGCATTGACGAGCCGGCAGAGTGTGGAAGTGAACACATGAACCATGAAGCGAAATGGAGGAATTACAGGACACTATGCATACCTGGGAAACTCACCGACAAATATCCGCCCGCATGTCTCTCAGTGCAGCGATAAGTAAAGGATTGATTTTATTCAATTACCATTGCCCCGCTAGTTTTTTACCTTTAACTTTTGCACACTTTGTTCTCTTGCACAAATATACTTTAGCTCTCATACATGTTCAAAACCCACCTCCTTATTTATTCGCTCAGCGAATTTATATTATTTCTAATATAGTCTGGAGTTATTGTTCATTTCATGTGTTGTGTCCACTGTGTGTAAATTGTGATGAAACATGACCAAACCCAACTGAGGAGAGACCGAATAAATATGTTAAAGGAAAATAGGTGGTCATCCCAACTTTGGCAAGAACGCCTCCTTAATTGAATGATAGACATTTAGGGAGGACCACAAGCTTGCTGAATCCATCGTGAAGAATACACATCTCGAATAAACTTACAACTGTCCCTGGTCAATGCAGTAAAAGGTTGAAATAGACCAACTATCTCTATACTTTTACCATGTTTTGTAACAGCCAACTAGTTGCTATGGCAATACGCATTATACATAGTAAGGTTGCCAACGATACTCAACCCTGCTACTCCAGGGCACATCTGACTAGAAAAAGCAAGCTTAGACCGTTTATGATGCGTCGGCGCAGGCAAAGGTGTACAATCCTTAAATATGTAAATCATATGTATACCGGTGAAAGTCTATGTTATGAACCTTGAGTCTCTCTGTGATCTTGGCAGCAGGCAGACGTGCAGTATTGTGAAACCACGCATATGCTTCACCCACACTGCCGATTGGACAACACTCAGACTGTGGGCTGTGTGTCAAGGGTTTATGCATAATTAGTTTGTGCAGGGTACTACGGCAGTCTATGAACTTTTAAAATTGTCAATGAGAGGCTTGGAACTTATAGAAATATGATTGAGTGCTGCACAGTCATCGGTTTTTATGTACAATGTTTGCTTTTCATGTTACTTTACAACCTACCAAGACTTAAAGTCGAATAATTGCAACTGATATGAGGATGAAACATGCAATTTGAATCAATAAAAAGGACAAGTAAGCGCCTCTAGGGATCATGAGTGGTATAGCAAACCAGGTGCATATGTCTTTGTAACCTCACATTAAATGTATGGACAAGAATCAGTGGGATATAACGGTGAGTGGAGTGAGGGGGAAGAAGTCCATTGTTCTCATGATATAATATAGTATAATATGGTGTGGGCTGTAAATTCCCGCGGTCAATGAGCCAGGGAATAGTGTCACTCTAAAGTAAAGCATTTGTACTGTCATTTGGTGAGGCCACGTGGACCTCAGAAAGAGTTACCTCGGGCCGGACAATAGGGCACTTAAGATAAAAAAAAGCAGTGGACAATCGTATTTTTAGAATCAGAATGCATGCTATATCCCATAAGCCTATACAAATTACACATTAAATAGTAATATAGCTAATAACCTGAAATGTGTTTTGTTGTAGTTGTGTTTTAATTGTGAGTAAATTACTTTGTTAAAATTAAATCAAGCTAAAGGACTTGCAACTTCATGTCACGAAGTTGTTAAGGTATTTTCATGAATTCGACAACTACGCAGCAAACAAGGCAAAAATAAGTCATAACGTCATTAAAACAAACCCTACCTGTTCCCTCGCGTCATTGTAGTTGTGTGTGACTTTTTGGCGCTTCCCGTTTAGTCCGTGCGTGTGTCCTGCTGCAGTGCGTCTGTGCGGAGGAGAGATGCTCTGCAGGTACCGCTCTGCTCTGAGGAGGAGAGAGAGAGTGCAGCCACTGTTGTCCCAAAGCCAGGACCAAGAACTGCCCACGGAGTCCGCAGGGACCAGGAGGAGAGCGAGAGGAGGTGCGCACTCTGGTCTGAGGAGAGCGAGAGGAGGGGCGCACTCTGATCTGAGGGGAGCGAGAGGAGGGGCGCACTCTGGTCTGAGGGGAGCGAGAGGAGGTGCGCACTCTGATCTGAGGAGAGCGAGAGGAGGGACGCACTCTGGTCTGAGAAGAGAGCGAGAGGAGGTGCGCACTCTGATCTGAGGGGAGAGCGAGAGGAGGTGCGCACTCTGGTCTGAGGAGAGAGCGAGAGGAGGTGCGCACTCTGGTCTGTGCCATTCGAAGTGAGAGCGGGGAGGGCATCAGGAGCACAGAGCATCAGACCAGATTCATGTTCCATTTGCAGTAAAACCACATTGGAATACACTTGCAAAAGTCCCCAGTGTGCACCAGACAAGTTAAAAGAAGATAAAAAGTACAGGAATAAAACAAACACAATTGTCACTGTGAAAATAAAACATTTTCAATACAAGGTCATTTTTAACCCTATAGTATTTTGAACACTTCTGTCTTTTTGTATAATCTGAGTGATTCTATATCTACACCAAATGTGACTGTAAATTTCAACAATGTGATCAATAAAGTTATCTTATCTTATCTTATCATTAAAGTGCTTTGTTTAAACTGAAAACAGAGCAGGAATATTAAACTCGGGCCTGGTCAAATGCAAGACTATTTTTAGTGGCCCCTGAAATGATTTACAATTATAATTTTATACAGTAACTTGCAGCATTGATGGTAATGGGACACTAAGCGTGGATAACAGTCTCTCTTCTCAGCAAGAAGGTCCTGGGTTCGAATCCGGGTCGGAACAGAGCCTTTCTGAGTGGAGTTTGAATGTTCTACCCGTGTCTGCGTATGGTTTCCCCTATACATTATAAACATGTACAATAGTTCTGAATGTATCGAACGAGTGAGTGAGTGAATGGATGGTGTTTGGTCGGAGGCTTTGACGGTCCAGTATGTTCGGAGTCTCACTTCCATCATCACCGTGTAAAGCAAATTAAACAATATCTGAACTCTGGACCTTGTAAAGCACTTTGGGTGACTTTGGTCTGTAAAAACGCACTATATGAATACATCAATTACTTAAATCCACTGCACAGTTTTTCTCAAAGGTTTCTTTCTTTTGTCAATCTCTCTCTCTCTCTCTATATATATACATATTTAACCTGGAATGTTGGCCGGCAGAAATCAGAAGCGTACCTCTAAAGCTGCATTGCATTTGTGAGGTTTACATTTCCATCTACACCTCAGACATCTTAACCATAAACTCCCCATGGATTTAACAAAGAATATAGGTCAAAAGACTGAGGTGTACGTTCAAGTCTTGGCTCATCACACACACCTCTGCTTCTTGTTTTCACAGTGCAGTAAAAACGACAGAGTTCAGCATTTCCTCCTTCTCTGCGGTACGTGGTACATTTGTGGCGGATGTTGGTCTGAGCCGAGCGTTTGGTGAGAAATCTGACGTCCACATATGACCGCCGCAGAACAGGTGTGAGACGGAAACAAACTCCCAAGTCAAAACTGGAGCCTAAAAAAAGTCTTGACATAGGGTTCGTCACACATTCATAACACTTTGTACGTGTAAAAATGTGTGTCATTTGGAATGGTACAACTTTGATATGGACGTCTAACATTCATTCATGGTAAGAGTTCAACAGTGTGGCGAAAAAAGGGGTTAAAAACATAATAATAATCAAAAAATATGTTGGTTTGAGCCACATGTGCAGTTGCTTCATGGTCTTATCACACCATAGTACACATTTTGTTTTGTAAGATGGGAAACAATAAGTGACCGGAGTCTACGGAGGGCTAAGGCCAGGCCACATGTGCAGGGACGGACAAAGTAAATAAAGCTTACCATCTCTCTCGTGTGTGTGTGTGTGCGTGTGTGCGTGTGTGTGCGTGTGTGTGTGTGCGTGTGTGTGTGTGTGCGTGCGTGTGTGTGTGTGTGTGTGTGTGTGTGTGTGCGTGCGTGCGTGTGTGTTCAATCTGTCCAGTTGCAAAAAATATAAACAGTTGAGTTGAAATGTTGTGTATGGGATGTGATGTTGGTACATTTCCTGTTTGTAAAGTTTAAGTACAGTGTAAAAACAAAAGTACATCAATGTTAAATGAATACTTTTTTTATTTTTATGAAACCTTTACTGAACCAGGAGAGATTAAGAACCTCTTTTTCAAAGGAGTCCTGGACAAAGCTTACACACAGTAACATACAATTACCGATTATAAAAACAGGTACACACAATTTCATAAATTTACGGATTATAATAACCGTTACATGATAATGAGGATGTCTCAAGTGGCTCTCAATCTGGATTTAAAAAAATAACAATTGTAAACCGCTTTGTGACTCTGGTCTGTGAAAGGCGGTGAATAAATAAAGATTACTTATTTACTTAAAAGCATTCAATAAAATAAATTCAGTCTTTTTGCGAAAGTATATAAGGATTTTCTACTTCCGGGTGGATCATTCAGACTATTGGTCCTCCCAGCTGTCAATCATTCTGTTGATACGTGCTCGTCAAATAAAACCAGAGAGTTTTGTTCAAAAAGTGGAGAGGGCATTCTCCGACATACCTTTAACTTGCTAAACCACGACAACAAAATGAATGTAGAGAACGAAAACGGAAAACATAGAAAATACTATTTTAACAAAATAAATTGTGCTTTTACCTTCAACAACATAGGACGCAAAAGCCACCTTGTAATCAAGCTTAATTAAGTGCACTTCTGGTAAAACACGGTTCATTCTAAACCGCAGAGTGACTAATTATCTCTTGTTTTTGCTGATTCACAAGTCATTTAAAGACTGTTTGTTAATCATTCACATCTGGATCCCACATTTCAAGCAAATAATGTCTCGTCTCAGTACAGTATGAAATAAAAATAACATCTGAGCTTAAATGTTGGGTCTTTTTTCTTCATTTTTTCCCCTCAAAGACGTTTAAGGCTAAATTTGAATAGCCTGATCTTGTTGATCTGAGCACGGCAACAATATAATGACAGCATCTAATTATAGGCAGCATGTTTGAAGCTTGGAGCCACTGGAAAAACGCAACTTTGCTTCTGTGCAGGTTTTAAGCACACTTTGACTCTGATGGGTCTAATTTGGTCCATCCTCAGGAGTTTTTGAGTTTGAGTCTAGTTTGGCCTCATTATTCTAAAATGAAAAGAGTAGGTAGGGCACTGGACTCAGGGGAATGTCATTTCTATATATTTTTTTAAAACTCAAAAGGCTGCACGAGCTGTTGAGAATTACAAAATACATGGGTAAATCTTTACTCACAACAAGATAAATAATAAATCACGCAGCTCTCAAAATGGGTATTCAACACAAAGTGGTTCCCTCCAGAGATCAGGTGAGAAGCTCGATCTGCATACAAGGAGCTCTGAGTAAAGCTGCTGCTCCTGGAGGGTGTATTGCAGTTTGGCTTCTCATTTGAAAACATATATTCCCAGTTCTTTTTCTATAAAAGCAAACAACCTTAGTTACCCTTCACTACAGTTAGACACACCACCTTCCAGACAAAAAACAGACAATGATGTCCAGTTTTTGAATCATTTTCCTTCCCACAAAGCTTCAAAGTTTCCACTGAGCGCATGTTTCTATTCAAGTATTACGAATCTGTAAGCTGCACAAGTCTGGGAAAAGTTGCTCAGTCATCTCTCACGTTGGTCCAACCTCACATTAATGCTTTGGGCCTGATGCTCACAGCACCAGCAGGAAAATGGGCACCAGAAACTGTGTCATGTCTAACTTTATCCAGGAAATGGGAATTTTGCGTCCACTGCCTGGCAACGAAGACGGTTGCACCAACAGCTGTGGATCTGGCAACAAAAAGCCGTGGTCTTAACTGTAAGTGAATCTGTGCGGTAAACCATGGAGGGGAAAGACTTCACAGGCTTCATTTGCCATTCACAAGAGCTACTGTGAGGTAGAAGTGAGATCATATCAGACCCAAGCTCTCAAAGGATTTAAGAAAGGGACCTATTTCTGATCTAATCTTTCCTTTTTGTTAACTCTATAAAGCTGGGGTACCTGATTTCAAACCACAAGAATGGAACAATTTAATAATAGTTTTCACAGGCATATATTTTAGACTCCTTCACTTTTTCAGACAGATGTGAGAAAGATCTGTCTTTCTATGTGTAGTGAGAGACAAATGCCCAAACAATTGTAAAGCGCTTTGTGGCTCTGGTCTGTGGAAGGCGCTATATAAATAAAAATTACTTACTTAGAACCATCAGCTCAGCCACTCTGCTTTCAGCCCAAACACAAATGGACTCACAGAGAAAGTTATGGTTTACTTTATTGGGTTATTTTGTCCAGATGTTGATGCTTGGCTTGGTCAGGACTACCAGAGCTGGAGGAAACCGGAGCGACTGGAGGAAACCCTAACCCCTCAGCCGGCCTGCCAAAGATGTGTGGTTCTTTTTTAGGAATAACAAGGGTCTATTTAACAAACGTTTCTGTTGGGATCAAAAATGAAATATAATTGTAGTCATCTTATAACAGCTTTTCCTCATTAAAAGCCTAACCTTCTCACAAATCCAATCTGTAACTGTCTTTTTTAAACAAAAGTTCCATTTGCAACAATTACAATGAAGCACACAGTTGTCATTAACACAATTTGACTGCAAACTGCTTTAATTTACAGAACATGTTTAAAAGCACTTGGTTTGAGGGTTGTAATTTCCTCTAAATCAAGAAATGCCAAAGTCAAAATGAAGTCAAATCCTCACAATTGAACAAAAAGTAACTGTACATTTTAGGCATTAGTCAAAAATAAATATGGTCCGACCAACACAAATGATTTATTCCTAAGGGTGTCTCTTTGGCATTTGTCAAAAACAGCCTTGATTGAGGCTCTTTCTTTCAGACTTGACAAATTATACATACATCCATGTTTTACTGATTCTATTAATATCAACCGTTCTGCAGTAAACAAAGATCTGCTGTTGTGTTCTTGACTTTTTCCATGAGACACATCTGCTGAACTGAATGCAAGTCATTTTAATGGGTTTTCAGAGCTTAAGAGAAGTGAACACAGTAGAATGCTGTTACTCGCTACATTGAGATGATTTCACGTCTTCTGGAAACCTCAATCATTTTAGAGGTTTTGTTTATTTGAAATTATCAGAAAGCATATGATAGATATTATTATTAGACATAATTATTTTACTAAAAGTATCTAAAAGTAATAACTCTTTACAAATACAAACCTCTATATATGAACGTTTCTGTACATTTATTAGCATTACTTTCCCAAAGTCCATTTCCTTATGAAAGAACATTTTGTCAAGAAAAAACAAACAAACAGAAAAAATTACCAGTAGTCCAAGAATTTTTCAGATAACTATAGTTTTACTTGACAAACATTAAAATAAAACAGTAACTGACACATTAATACATTTGATTCACACAATTTCAAAACATTTCAACTCAAAAATACATTATTTAATCGTGTTCTGAGGTGGGAGCTTCGTGGTAAGATTGGACAAAAGTCATTCAGTCTCTTTGTCCAACGAAGGCTCAATATTTCAGAGTTTGTGGATGTTTAATACCAATAAGACCGTCTCTGCCGCCTGCTCTCCTCGATGCCCATCTTTTCCATCACCTCCTCCTCCAGAGTCTTCAGTGAAGGAACATAGGTTTTTTCTAGCGCCGCGTCAGGACTGGTGTCTTTGGGACCATCTGGAAAACATAAAAGTCTGGTGTTTAAAAAGAGAAAAGGTGTAATGTCTGAACACGTGGTGAGTCAAGTTAACTGTTCAGACTGTTAATTCTACATCAGGTTATATTATTATTATTATGGTTGAGTTTCTATTGTCCACATCTGGACCCAGTTCTAGCCTGAGCCACTATTGTATTGGGCTATGATTGTATTTTAGCAGAGTTTAAGCTGCTCCAGGGATTTGTATATTAGTATCAAATTAAATATTACTATCACATCTAGGTGTCAATTTTAATTTAATGCCAGACTTTCCTCTGAAAAATATAAAGATTTTACCTTTCCATTGTTGTGGGATAATTCCATCTTTTCTCTCCACCACAGGTTTAGGGATAATTCGACCAGTTCTGAGAGAAACCCGGACCTTCTCTCCCTCCTCCGTGAACCTCCACTCCACATCAGTGGGCTTCCTACAAACATATTACATTTATTCTTAAAAGCACAATAGTATGACTGGTATAAAAACATTGCAAAAAGTGTAGCAAAAAATGGTAGTGATTCAAAAATAGGCAACATTTCAAAAGTGGGAGAAATTGTCGTTCAAGAGGTTTTATTGACAAAAAAGTATTGTTTATGATTAATTACTTTGAAAATGTTATACTATTCCATGCATATTCATATATAACAGTGAAATATCAGTAAATGTGTTCATACTTATCAGAGGGATCGACGAGGGCGACGTCTCTGAGCAGGAGAGGAGCTTCTGCAGCGATGTATGTCCCACGATAGTCTGGGGTTTTTCCAACATATCTGTGATGCTGCAACAAACTCATGGTTAAAGGTTGAGTAAGTAATCTTTATTTATATACCGCCTTTTCACTGCAGATCTGAGTCTCAAAGCAGTGTACAATTGTTAATTATGGGCATTTGTCTCTCACTCCACACAGAGATGGGAGGGGCCAGTACAGGAGGCGCATGCCAGACATGCCTATTGGACATATTTTTAGTGGTAGGGGAAACCGGAGTACCCGGAGGAAACCTACGCAGACACGGGGAGAACATGCAAACTCCACTCACAAAGGCCCTGGTCCGACCGGGATTCGAACCCAGGACCTTCTTGCTGAGAGGCGAGAGTGCTATCCACTCAGCCACTCAGTTGAGCACACTTTAAGTAAGTAAGTAATCTTTATTTATATACCGCCTTTCACAGACCAGAGTCACAAAGCGGTTTACAATTGTTATTTTTTTGACTTTACTTTAGAACTCAAATGTAGTGAGTTCAATGACCTTCCTTTAGCTCTCTCTGGTGGTGAATGAACAAACTGCATTTTTGTTGTAATCAGTGAAGAGAATCTGGTTATATTGGTTCAGTCTGATATTTATTATTATCACAGCTTTGTCCAAACTTTATCATTGAGTTTTGAATCTCGCCTCGATGTTGAACCACCATCTTTGAACAACACACAATCTTAGATTTGATTGCACGCAGTACAATTTCGCAAATGGATTAATACACAAAACATGACTCAATCTTTTTAAGAGGAATTTGAAATCTGGAAATGAATATCAAAGTTTGAGATCAGTTTATATTTTAGTTGTAATCTGTTGTTCGAGTGAAAATCCAAAGTTAAGTGCATTCTTACTGTATTAAGTCCTTCCAGCATCACCCAGTTCCTGTGTCTGAAAACCTGGATGATTTTTCCTTGTTTTCCTTTGTCTTTGCCTGCGAGAATTTCAACCTAGAAATCAGAACAGTCACTTTAAAGACAACCTTACATCAAACAGATTCAAAAAGATATGGAATTACACACATATTACTTTATTTCACTTCAACTTCAATAATCAAATTCTTACTTTAAAATATCAATAAATATATGTAACAATTCCCATTGAATAAATATCCTGTATAAGTATCTGTCTAAACTTCATAAAGCTTAATGTAAAGTCTTACTCTGTCTCCCCTGAACACACTCCAGTCTTCTGGGGCAATGGGTTCCACAAACACCTTCCTTCGCTTCTTTCCTGCCGGGTTCAGCCGCTTTGCCGCTTGTGTCCATGGTCTGTTTGTGCCATAACGATAGTCTTTAGGAACGATGACCCTCTGAGCCATCGCCAACCACGCCGTCAGTCTCATTGTGCTACAGACACAAAAATATTACAAGTTTACAAAAGGCTGAAGGATAAACCACACTTAAATGAAAGGTTAGTTTATGTCCTTCACAACACACAAAATATGCTGTAAATTATTCATAAGTTGTATTCTACTGTTATACATACCCTCTTCTGAAATTAAACTTTCAAAACATAGTCCTAATGAAATCTCTCAGTTCCTCAAAGACTAACGCTACATTGCAAGGTAAATAACAATAACATAATACGTCTCTTAATATCTAGATTTTCAATTGCATACATTTCACACTTACGTTCTAGATTATGCTAAAACGTGTGCCAGTGGAATGTGTTAACAAATAATAATCAGAATAATAATAATAAAACAGGTTAAGATTATCTCTGCACACAGTGGGAATATTATCAAACTACATACAGTATCAATGTCATTTCTAGCCACAATATCGGGAGGAAAATGTGCATACCTTTAAAGATATATATTATGGATAATTATTTGTTAAAGCAAAAAGCTATTGAATCTATAGTGATCCAGAGTTAGCACAAAGCAAGCTAACTATGATGCTAACACACATTATCGTCACTGTTTATGGTTTTACTCATGCACCGACACAGTTATCTCTTCAAACAAAACCTATTGCAGTAAATATCATTCATTCACGCTGGAATTAATGTTAATGAAATTATTAAGAAGGCAACATGTTGAAAAGATATAGCATTACCTGTCCTCTCGTGATGGCAATGTCACATGGAGAGAGCCATGGACACAAGCACAGCGACCCCTACAGGCCAGGATGAAAACTGCAGAAATAAGAATGATCACACAATGTATTTCTTAATATATATTTGTCCTTTTGTATATTATTATATATCAATAATCAAGTATATATTGCGTAGATTATTTCAACCAGTGGGCCGTAGCACGTTGGTGTGCCTTGGAAATAGTCAAAATATCACCTGCTTGGTCGAACTTGTGTGAAAATAATAATGTGAGATGATTAGAAAGATTTGTTTGTGATGGTTTGATTTTCTCTATAATACACATTGAAGAGAATTACTTTGCTTGGTTAATAAAGGCTGCACTGTTTTTTATGTACCCGTTAGTATCATCAGTCCTGGGTTTACACTGAGTTGCAACACTAAACTTTACCGAACGTCATAGTTCTAGCTTGGTAGATTTGGTCACATTAAAGGGTTTCAAATCATCATCATGTCATAATCATAGTCACAATAACATTCATTGTCATAGTAAGTCGTGATAACTTTTGATTGAATAGTCAATTACAATCTTTTGCTAACAGTGATAGCAACAGTAATTTGGTATTTTAACAATTCTAGTTTCAGCAACTATAATATCTTTAGTACTTCCAAGTCTAGATCAAGATCAAATCTAAAGATTCCAAACATATGGAGCAAAAATAAAGGCACATCATTGAGTAGATATCACAAATCCTTTATTTTGAAATCAACTGGTTTTAACAATGGTCTAGCAGCTCTAACAGAAAATAAGCAGCAGATAAGGATTAATGGCAACTGTCAAAAACAAAAATGAAATCAGAAAACTATTTCAAAATTTTGATTGTGTAGAAAAAAAGGCAGTGATCCAAAAACGGGCATAATTTCTAAATTGGGAGTTTGAATAGACAGAAAAAAACCCTCTAAACCAATCGTAGTCTTCAAGTAACATTTTCACATGATAACTTTGGATTTCAGATAAATTACATATAACATAAGAGAATAATAATGAATAAATATCAATAATGACATTACAACATTTTTGATGGATTTGAGCAATTTGGAACACCGGACTATAATAATAATATCGGTATTGCTATCATTCCCCTTACTATGGAACATTCAGGTCAAACAATTAGGAATGTCTTCTATTTCAAATAACAAACACCATAAAAAAACAATATTAGGCTAATCGTAGATGATGCTTTTACAAAATGGGTCTTCTACAAGTCCTCATACTGATGTCTAACAATGTGGTCGCATGCAGAAAAGCACTATATCAAAGCAAAAAAGTTAAAAGTCATCCCACAAATGGCGCAAAATGGAAAATAAAAAAGTAGATTAACTATTTCTGAGTGAGTAAATGGTTACTATTGTTTTCAATCTTGATCATATTCAGTGCGTATTCCCTCTAATGTTCAGATTAAAATGACCCATGTCAAGTCTTAATACAATTACACATACAAACAAAACTATATACACTCCGAAACCACACTTTGAGTTCTTGTGGACTCTTTTGCTTTTATCAGATTACAAACTATTAAACCTGGGATATATAATACCCCCAAATCGCAAATAAAATCTTGTTTGTTCAGATACAAACATCTTTTTACATCCTCGTTAATTAAAATGGTTCAAACGTGAAGAGATCTTTCTGGAGGCTTTTCTTTCCACGGAAAAGCATCGGTTTCTCCACAAGTCCATGTTAAGCACTGTCTGACGCAGGCTGCAGAGAGAGAGAGAGAGTTCGCATTAGTAAAATACTGACATGTAATTAATGTGTGGCTTCTGGAAAATCAGTGTAACATGAACCTTTTCTGCAGTGGCCACGTTTTCCTCTTCAGTTTCACTTGGTGTCGTTTCCTTAGGTCCATCCACATTATTGACTTTGAGCTCCTCGTTGGACTTGTCCCCATCTACTTTCGAATCCTCCACTTTTTGTGTGTCTTTTTGCCGTTTAGATGACAACTGCAAGAGAAAAGTGTTTTTGTGAAAAGTCAGTCGCATTGTATAAACGCCAAGAAGTTTTCTTGACAAAAAGTATTGTTTTCAAGTAATAACTTTCAAAATGTTGTACTATTCCAGGCATATTCACCAATATAAATATTCTAAACACACTATCTTTGATGGGTGGTCCACAGAAGATACAAGTCAACACAGATAAAGATGTGTTTTTCATATTCTGAAGTATATGGTGATTGTATAAAACACAGTATACTAAATTCTGAAAATATGCAATGACTACATTAAATAATCATGTTTTATTATTATAATCGCCTAATACAATAGAGTTTGGATTCTTTAGCAAATACCTGTGTTTTTTGGGAATAAAGTCACCACCAACTATTAAAACACAGAAATGTTTCCATCTCGAAGCCTTCAGTCCACATTTACAATAAGAAAGCATGTATGGATTCAGGGGCTGGTCTACAGATTCTAGTGTTCCATCTGAGAGGTGTGTTGGGTTAGACTGAGCTGACCTCCGTAGTTTCTGATCCTTTACGTTTGTTTCCTTTTTCATTCTTTTCGTCGATGACCAAAGCCCCTTCGTCTTCATCACTGCTGCCGCCTTTCTCCTCTTCACCGGTCACTTCAGAAGCATCATTTTCATCATTGTTCTTTGATGCCTGAAGAAAAACATAAACAGATACTTTCTATAGTTTCATTTACAGATGAGCAACGGTAGCTTCTGTGATGATTTGGCCAAAGATTATTATCAACGTGAGTTATTATTATCGTTGTAACTTAGGTAATGAAGCAAACTAAAATGAAAGCAGGGTGTTTCAAAGAGGTTCACGCCCAACCACTTATCAGAGGAAACGCCCACCTCGTACTCCTCATGGGTAACGGTAGGATTGTTCTCAATCTCCCAAAGGCCCTCAGCAAAACCTCTTCTCTTGTTGGCTTTTCCGAATTTATCCTTAAATTCGTCATATGGAGACAGATCTTTGGCGCCAAGGAATGCCCTGAAGCAACAAAAACCATTAAGTAATACAAATAAGGGAGAACAACTAATGGAAATGACAAAACTCACGTTTCATGGGTCCCAAAGAAGAAAACCTGGTACTTGTTTGAGGGAGATTTCACAGCTCCTTCAGGCAACTCATCAATCTGGAAAAATAGTTATAAAGATGTAATAAAGAAAACCTCACTCAAGGCACATGGTTTATTTGAATGTTTTGTTTTTTTATTTTTTTGTCAAACGTGTCACAGCCTTTTATGTGTCATATAGAAAGATAAAGATGTAAAACGTCCCTTCAATAATATCTTTATGAAGTAGTAATGATTTCCCGCGTCAGTTAACAACAACTTATTTCAATATTATCATCATTAGAAAGAGTACTTGTTGCTAGAAGTTTCAGAGCAAGTCTACAGATCTATCAGTGAGCTGAGTGCACAGACTGTTTATACAGTTATTCAGAGTAGCGAGGCTGGAGGCTGAGCTCAGCCGGAGAGAGAAGCCCCTCTGCGGCTCTGGTCAGGGGCAGATGGACGGGGAGCGCGGGCATTACGCAGTGTGTGTAAAAACAACTATTTAGGGCCACGCAAGATTACAGATGGCCTAACATCAAAGGCCCATGAGGACCGAGGGATAGATGTTATTGAATGAAAAGATACACTCATTCGGTGAAGAGTTGTAGATTATTTCCAGAGACTTGTGTGAATTCTTCAAAATAAGCTAATTAGCGAGAAACAGAGTGATTATCTACGTGTTTGCAGCACATGGCTAACACCGGCTAACGCTAGCTGAGGTTAGCCCATATGAGGTTAGCCAACTAGTGTCAGGCCGCAGGAGTGAAGTATGAACACAGCCTGCAGACTGAGTATTACACATGCATAAGACACTCGGCACTTACCCGCGCAGGCCAATGTGGATAACCCTTCATCTTAGCGAACACCAGGTCTCCAGGTTTATATTCCCTTTGCCTGTTGGTTCTCGGCATTTTCCTTCAAAAAGCAACAGTACAACGCGAAATACTAAATAGCTATTCTTACAGCGTGTTGTTGAGCAAATACTATCGCTTGGTCTAAACAAACTGAATGTCCACGCGCACAAGTGGAGCGACTTTTCCCGCGGATATGGACCAATTAAAAACAAATGCAATCACAGAAGCGTGCAAAAGCATTAACACTGTTTGTACAGCAGTCTGGAGTCAGTGGGTTAATAATATCAACACCCCCGCAGTGGCTCGTCCCTCCGACTGTTTGAGTTTGAATCGGATTGACGGACGCGCCCCCAAAAAACCCGGTTTAAATTGCGCCCCCTATCGACGAAGGCAGGAACGGCGATTGGGGAAATTACAGTCTTGCAGCCAAAACAAAAGTCTTTCGAAAAATCATCTATCACCTTTGCAAATTCTCTTGAAAGCTCTTTTTAAGACGCAGCTTTTCTCTTTGGCTTTTGACATGCAAGAATTCAGTGTGGAACTGCTCTTTATACTGTATCTCTCTAATAATTATCTAATGCTCCTTGTTGTTCAAAGAATATGTGCCTAACTAGACCATTAACTTATGTACTCTGTATAAAAATATATAGCCTGTATACATTTATTATTAGTTGCTCTGGTTATTTTTATGTTCATTACTACTGCATGCTGCTCAGTTTTGTTTTTAGATTATGACTTTATGTTGTCACTTCAAATGTGACTTATTTACGAGGATCGAATGTTGACTTTTTTTGCATGAATGACACCTGTTAAATATACATTCAGATAATGGTTAGACAACTAATTATCACAGTTTATAATGAACAGCCAAGAAGAAAAATTATATGTATAAATCTAACACCAAACTGGTATGGCATTTGAAAAAATAAATGATATAACGTTAAAAGTAATGTCATTAAAACAATCTGTATTAGACAAATGTATAACCTGCAGTAAAGATTTAAGGCCACAAGATGTCACTAGTTTAATGCGACATCATTGTCTTAAACCACAAACAAGCGGAGCATGCGCAGTACACATTAACCTATGAAGGATGGAGGCTAATGTTTTGATCTAGCTTGGACGCTAACTATCCCGATTTACTTTTCATTTTTAAATCCTAAAAGGTTCAATTATCTCTCAAATTTGCATTTCCAAGGATTTAATCAACGATTTTACCAAAAGGATAAACAGAATTAGTGGAGATCGCTGCGCTAGCCTTTAGCTACAGCAGCACCAGTGTAGTGTCCTGTTTGTAATTGAATGTTGGTGGGTTTAAAAAAAAAAAAAATATATATAATTTACGAAGGTTCTCAAAGGTTTTTCATTTTCAACCATAATTTATCTACGACTCACGTATTATTACCGTAAGTGAGCTTTTTATCGAGACAAAGTAGTTCTTCATGTGCACGGTTCAAAGCAACAACTCAGCTTTTAAAATCTCCAGAAAACATGTCTTTAGTCGCTTATGGCAGCAGTGATGAGAGCGACTCAGAAGAAACGAGCTCTCCTCCGCAAAGTAAAGGACTTTTCTCAGTGCTTCCAGCTCCCAAAAAGAAGACCAGTGCTATCAAAGCAAATGCATTACCAAAACAAAAACAAAGTATCCCGTCAGATAAAAGCGCCGCTGATGATGGCTCCATCTCTCAGAGCAAAGGAAGTCTGTTTGCCAGTCTGCCCAAGCCCAAGAAACGAAATGAACCTGTCAGAATTTCTGCTCCTCAGATTCAGAAGCGAGACGTGAGTATTGTTTTATTCACTGAGATTATACTGGACTTGCTCTTTCAACATAAATACTCTTTCTGGAAACGACATATAACTGTGAACATGATTTGCTATGTCATTTCATCCTATATTTAATTCAAGTACATACAGCGAACTTTGAATGAAATGTTTCAATATCTGCAGTTTTGAGCATTTCCCATATTTATACATGCAAACCGCTATATATCCTTTCCATTTGGTTCCCCCAAGATGGTGTACAGAACTTTTTGTTAAAGTAACTTTTTATATACAGATCAGGGGGGCAGCGTTATGTCAGCTTTAACATAAACTGTCTTGAACAACTCAAATACTTACTCTCTATTTCAATTTAATTTTCACAGTCAGACTCTGATGAGGAAGAACCAGCAAGAAAGAAAAAAGTAAAGGTAAGTCTGAAACTGCATTTGTATTATAATACTACATCGTTGATATTCTGCTTGGATTCCTTCATACTTTGTGATGCTGCTTCCAGGTTGCTGGTGGCACAGGTCTGTCGTCTCTGCTGCCACAGCCCAGAAACATGAGCGTGAGGGACACTGAGCGGCCACTTATTCCCTACACTCTGACCAAACGGCAGGAGCCTAAAGTGGCCAAGCCCAGCGCTCCTTCAGCCCTGCTCAGCTCCAGTGCCTCTCCCTCTGCCATCAAAGCTGCTGCCAAGTCCGCCGCCATGCAGCTCGCTAGACAAATTGCGAGCGACGATCATGACGAGGAGGAAATAGGCCCCGGGAATTACTTTTCACTTGAAAATAACTCCCAGCCTGCTCCTGCTGCAGAGGTGGTAGCAGAGTCCAAACCTGTGATAGACCCCGTTCAGTTTGGGGCAGAAGGACCCGGACCCTCAAACGCACCACTGACCTTTGGGGCAAACGCTGAAGAAGGTGGTGCGTGGGGAGGACAATACCGGACTGATCCAGAAACGTATTCTCAGGTAAAAGATTCTATGTTGATTGTTAAAGATGTATTTGAAAATGGGCAACATGTTTTAACAAAGTTAAATTTTTCCGCAGGAATATTACAATCAGCCATATTACGAAGATCCTAATGCTGAGCAAGATCCTAATGTTCAAGGGGTTCAAGGAGACCAGGAAACTGTAGAAGCTGAGGAGCCTGGGAACTCGGCCATGTTTGATGAAGAAGCAGTATGACCCAAACATTATTTACCTTGTGCTTGTTATAGATCATACATACGTCAAATCGTTTTGACGAACCATAACAAAAAAATACCATTACTGCTATAAAGATTATAGTTATATTATAAATATCAAGTCTTGTTCCAACCACAGCTCTGTAAAGACTAAATGAATGTTTTTAATATTGTTGATTATTAGAAAAGGGGACAATTGATCCGAGCAACTTGAGAAAAACAACAGAAAAGCTGTGATTTAACTAGTGCCTGGGGTTAAAACAAACATTTTAATATATTATTATTTCATTTTCAATGAGTCAAAATATTTTCTTTCCACTACTGCTACGATCTGACTGTTAAATTTTGTTTTTCCTTTTAATGAAAGTCAATGGTTTGTATTTATTGTGTGCAGTTCATGAGGTTACAAGGGAAAAGAAATCGAGGAAAAGAAGAGATCACTTTCCTGGAGATTAAAGGTGACGACCAGTTGAGTGGGACGCAGCAGTGGCTGACAAAGGCCATAACTGAGGAACAAACACGGTCATCTTTCAGCAAGGTATGTTCCATTAGTTTGTATTGAGCAAAGTATATCTTGATACTTGCATTGAATTAAGGGTTTATGAACAATTTACAGAAAAGAGGAGGAATGCCGACTGGACAGCAAAGACGCAAGCATCAAATCACATACCTCATTCATCAGGTAAATCAATCTTTAGCCCTTTTTACATTAAGCTATTGTTAAAGTGGTTAGGGGTGTTTTTGATTGATGGGAGACAATACTTTATTTTCTACTGTCCATCCATCCATCCATCCATTTTCTTCCCCTTAATCCATTTCTGGGTCGGGGGGTGGCAGTCAGAGATGCCACCCATTACACAGAGCACCAGCTCCTCACTGATCCTCCTGCAGGTGGTGAGTCCACAGGAGCTGAGATCTTTCAGCGGGGGCTTCAGGCAAAGTGGGGTTAAGTGTTTGCCCAAGGACACAACGAGTAGTGTTTTCTACTGGTAGAGAGATATTCAACAAAACTCTAAAAACCCTCTTTCAAAAGGCCTTAATGTCAGGGCTGAATAAATGCCTTCTGCGACTCCACTCTTTGAACTGAATCGGCTTTATTTATGTTATAAAAATGTATACATAGAAGCATAGACTGTATATAGATGAACAATGCTAACCTGCTAATACACTGAACCCCAATGAAGCTTATCCTTGACTGAAGATGACCACTGCTAATCCAGAATCCAGAGTTAAAAAAGTAGCCTCATCAGTCATCTTTCCAAATGAAACTAGCCTTGTTCGATTCATTTCACTCGTGGATAAATGAAGTTTGTCTCGTTTATACTGGTAAAAGGATAAATTGTGTATACAGTATATTTCTGTATGTGGGAGATTGGCCTGTTTTGACATTCAGATTCAGATTCATTTTATTAGCCATGTGCAGTATAAGAACTACATTGGAATACATTTGCAAAAAAAGGTACTCTGTGTGCACCGACAGAATAAAAAGCGCGATACAATGTAATATAAAATACACACACACTGAATATAAAAGAATAAAAAAACAGCTGACACTGTGGCACCGATCAACAAAACGATACAAGGGCTAAAAGCAGGAATTAAAGTGCTCTGTTTAGGCACCTAACAGCCTGTGGAAAGAAGCTGTTAGCATAGCGAGATGTCTTGCATCTCAGCGACCGATATCTTCTGCCAGAGGGAAGAAGCTGGAACATGGCTTTCCCAGGGTGGCCAGAAGAGTCATTGATGATTTTAAGAGCTTTGTTTAAAAGTCTGGATTTATAAAGAACCTCCAGAACAGGAAGCTCACAGCCCACGGTCCTCTTTGCAGCACGGAGCACCTTGTTTAAAGCTCTCTTTTCTTTATCTGTGATGTTTCCAAACCACACAGACACAGAACCAACAAGTAAACTCTCAATGGTGCAGCGATAAAAGTTAAGCAGAATCTTAGAGTTAGTGGTAAATTCTCTAAGTTTCCGCAAAAAGAAGAGCCGCTGACGTGCTTTCTTAACAACCCGGTTAGTATTTTTGTTCCATTTCAGGACATGTTCTAGTGTGCACTGTCGTTTTGCTGCGTCTTACATGTCTGTACAAAGCAGATATTTGTATTGGGTCTGAATTAAATAAGACATAATATTCTCCATTCACCTCCTGTCAAAAGCTGTAAAGCTCACGATTATTATTCACAATGGGGAACTATTTTTGTTCTAATCTGTTTGTTTTTCCTTTTTTCTTTTTTTTTTGTACAGGCAAAGGAGCGGGAGATAGAGCTCAAGAACACCTGGGCAGAGAACAAGCTAACTCGACGACAGACCCAGGCCAAATATGGCTTCTAAAATCTTTAAATGGACTTTTTATCAATAACACACCATTTTAACATTTTGCCGTTCCGATTTCACCGCTAACATGAGGCCCACAGACCTCGTTGGCACAATAGTTTTTACGGTCCAACCTGCATTAGTGTTAGATACTTTGGTAATATAAATGTGTTATTTTGGTAACACTGGTGTTCCTATTGTACAATTACACAGAGATGATTACTGTATCATGAGTTGAATGTTTTTTTTTTTTTTTTTTTTAAATACCTGAATTTTCTCTTGTACAACAATGGTAGAAAAAAATTATGAATGACCCTATATAAATGCATTTCCTTTAAATATGTTAACTATTCATGTTACAAAAACCCCTTTGAGAAAACAGACTTGATTGTCTGGCAATGCACTCCTGTGGCAGCTGTGGACATAAGGAAAAATTAACTTACTATTATTTTGTCACTTAAGAGGATTATTCTGTAAATAAAACTGCAAGAGAATCAAGTCTGTCTAACCTTTTGAAATGTTATATACAATCTGACGTTCTCTGCCTTCAGATGTTGGAGCATTACTGTAATAAATTCATCAGTTGGCTCTAAAGAACAAGTAGCATCAATAAGAAACCGTGAAGCATCTTTGACAAACCATAGTAGACCACACAAATTTGTAACACTTGAGAAATTGCGTTTATTATTGTGTTGTGAAAAATAAACATTTTGGAGCCTTTATTTCATTGTTTCTGACAAGTACATTTTAAATAGTTGGTGGTTCCAACTAACCTTGCCTGCAAGCTGAATTCTCGCGGTATTTGTGAGTTCACAAACACTCGAGAATAATGATATCGCGGAGAACGCGTTAGAGTTCTACACAATCATCAATCTGGCTCTTGCCAGGTTAGGTTCCAACTGTTCCGGGAGTGCCCAATACTTGCTTACAGCGATAATGAAATAATGCAAACTTATAGCACTTTTTTGGACACTCAAGACTCTTTACAAGACACAAAAATGACAAAGGCTGAAAAGGGTGGGTTTTGAGAAGTGATTAAAAAGTTCTGCAGTGAGTCGGAGTTTCGGGGCTCAGTTTGAATGATGATTTTAGTCCCTAAACTGCTTTTACAGATTATAGTGAACAGACCTGCCTCACCACTGAACGAGCCGAGTGAGGACCACGTGGTTGTTTCCAGTGTAAAAAAGGAAAGTTTAATGACACTGTATAAATATGCAGGATAAACAAGTTTATTGGACCCAATCAAAAAGCCGCCACCACGACCATGGACGATGCACCTTTAATGACATCGGATTGAATGACACATAATTCTATCTCCATTATTCTTTCTTGGGGTCGTCTCCTGATGGGGTGGTGTCGTCTGTTAAAGAGTTCACATCGATGTCATCTTCTGATGCAGATTCACTGTTTGCCAATTTCTGTTCAAGTCTCTTGGCTTTTAGCTGCTTCTGATAAACGGCAGATTGGTCTTCATACGGGATTATAGACAGAGGGACTCGTACAGTGTCCATTCCATTGACCTGCGAGAGATCAGCAAAGACATGTTGAAGTCAGAGTATCATATTGTTGAACTGTGAAAATGGAAAAAGGCCCAAAAAAATGAATATATTGAATGTTAGTTGTTGGATTTAATTTTTTCCAGGACCAAGTCTGGTTCACAGAACTCTTTCAAAACATTTATTTACCTCCACAAATAAAACAGTAACCCACAATTGGTCCAGTTGTTATCTGAATGACAACGTGAAAATGATCAAATCTGTGCCTAAAATGTTAGTTTATGGTCAATGCAAGTTTGACATCACAAAAAGTCATTTCAATTGCATGCGTTATCCATGTCGCTGGCTGTTCTGTCATCATTTTCCCAGTTCTATTAGAAGTACAACTACTCAGAATTGAAAAAAGATTCAGCCCCAACATCACCCACAGCAATTCAGTCCTCAATTGAATTTAAGTATATTATTTTACCGTCACTTCACACCAGTAGTCTCCTAGTTCTTTGATCGGCTCTTGTTGAAGGGTTAGCGTATGGAGCGGCACAACCAATAAAAACTAACAAAACACAAACAAAAATCTTATTTAATCAATAAATTAAGTAAAGAAGAAAAATCAGCATTACCTTCTTTAGGAACCGTCTACAGACCACTTCTTTGGTCACTTGGAAATTGTCTGTCGGCATTTGGTGTATAGTCAACTTTATGCGTTTGAGAAAATCTACAGTCTGAATTAAGAAAATATATGTTACTTTGAATGCTTTTAATATTTATACATTGAATTATTTTCGTACCATTTGTCCTGTTCGAGTTTGTAAGCGCTCCTCTGACTTCCCCTGTTGTCGCAGCTGTGGAATAAGCAAAAGAATACTTAAAGCAATGCCATTTCTAATACTATATATTAACTAAATGCAGTAATATATGTAGCTGCTAAGTCCAGTAATAATGATTATTTTGCTAAAATGACCTTTAGCTCCTCGGCAAACGTCTCTTTATTTTCTGGCGACGCATACACAGCCAGACCGTCCGGGAGCAGCTTATTACGACCAACGGACTTCTTCACAAACACTGTATCGCCTCTTCCACCAAGCTCTGCAAAACATCACACATGCATTTAAAGGTTTACTGTGAGTAGTGTAAAAATCTTAAATGCAGCTTCAGAATGCAAATCACTTTATTGTTCTTTTGCTATCAGGAATCAAAGGAAGTTCAATTACAGAACATGGAAACAAAATCCATAAATTATTTGTCTAAAATTAGTAGCATTTGGCATAATGGCATAACTGATCATGATCACACCTCTCCTTTAGAGACAAATGTTCTTGCATCCATGGCAATTCTGTCATTCACACACTGAAAAGTTTTCCGTCTAATCACTATAGAGCTTGAAGTCGAGGAAACAGATGATAATGAAATGAAAATGGAATTGATTGAAATATTGAAGTTAGATTATCTTAAGTGCTCTATTGACCTATGTCTAATATTGAAATAAAATGCAATTGTTATACATTTCTCAAATATGTTTGTCTATGATCATGAAAAAGTTAATGTGATTGGTCCCAATTACAATGATCGACCACAAAAATCCTGACCTGTGCACCTCTAATTTTTACTCTCATTAATGACGACAACACATGGATTTTACTAGATCCACAACACTAGGGAATTTTATCTCATAGATCATGTCTTCAAATGGTGACAATAAAATGCCAATTGTTTTCTAGGTAATGATTCCCACATGTAAAGAAGCCAAAAAACTCAAAACATTCGAATCCTGCAATACAATTCTGTTTGTGTGTTTGTATATCAGTCACTCACTGGGGACAGTCTGTGTGAGGATCAGCTCCATCTTCTCCTGCGGCTCGTGCTTCTTGTCCTCCACCACTTTGTAGATCCTGTGTCGCCGCGGGTTGAGTCTTGGTGGACTTCCTCTTTTCGACAGAGGCACCTGCCACCACCGCTCCACCACCACTGTGTGCTGCACCGAGAGCAGGGAACAAACATTAGCAACAATAACAACTTGAATCAAAATCTGGGCTTTTTGAAATCACAGCAAACCATCATTAGTATACAGAGAATGATTGACATTAAAAATAGGGCCTTGTATTGTTTGGACTAAACACAGACAGATAAAAATAGTCATCTGGGAAATTTGAATGGTCACAATTAGTTAACACAACAACTGCAATGTATTAAAGTGGTTTTCACAGAGAGTGTTTTACTTTACTTTATTAGCTAATACTGTAGTAGACATCTACAACAAGTTATTCACAAATATTTTTGCTTTAACATTATGGATTAATGGTGCACTTTCCACTTCACATTTTATGTATTCTTCACAAATGTGTCAAGTTGTTTTCCAGATACTTTTCAATTTGTTGTTGTAAAGATTATCATGATAAATATGTAGTGATAATTCCATTTGCACACGAAATCAAAACAAATGATTATAGATTAGATCAATCTATCTATCAAAAGCAAATGCTTCAACATGTGATGTGATTATGTTTGGGGATGAAAATTTGCCCTGGGAAAAGACTCAATGTTGCCATGGACTGCATACGCCATAAGTATTTGACAAGCAAATACAGGCATAACTTGTTTAACTTTTTGTTGATTGTTTTCATGATCATGCCAGCAGAAATGTCACAGGTCGAGCGACAGTAGAATAATCATATTTTCTAAATCATTATAAAGTCTATGAATATATAAGACCATAAGCTGAAAGAAGCGGTGAATAAACAGTCTTATTGATAGTGCAATAGACGGACTGCACATGATTTCACTTCTCTGGGATTGTTATTAGAACACATCAACTGACCTGTGCAGGAGTGAGGGTCAGGCAGCGGATCCCCGTATGGACCATGGTCTGGACCCTGAGCAGGTCCGGAAGGACGCGGCACGAGGACCACATGTTTCAGACTTCAAATTATATGTTAATAAAGAACTGTCTGCGATTGAAACGTATGTGACCCAAGCACGGCAGTGGTTTGATTTGACTAGAGTTTGAAGCAAGTGCATGCAGCTACCAAGAAGCTAACCCAGGCTGTAAGGACCTCAGGACTGACAGGAGGCAACTGGAACATTGCCTGAATGAAATGACTCCCGATAACTTTGTGAGGGTCTGGGATATTTATCTGTTGCAATTAAGCTTCAGGACTCAAATATACATTTTGGACAAAAAAAAATAAAAAAAATAATATGAATTGCATCTGTTAAAATAATGGGCCTGACTCACACAGTGTACTGACTATTTGTGACTGCGCTAAACTTGAGCCTTTCATTTTTTATGTTTTATTAAATAAAAAACCAAAAAGAACACTTTTCTCATTGAGCTGATAAAAGCGGTCAAAAACTGTGTGCTTACCATAGGCTGTAAAAATGGTCACAGTAGGCGTGGCATGGGTGTGTGGTTGTGGATGTGTTTTTATGGGTGGGCTCTCCAGTGCAGGCATGCATATATTATAATAACGTGAACTGGAGAGCCCACCCATGATATAATATATACAGACTACGATGAAAACCAGATCCATGATGAAAACACATCCACAACCACACACCCATGCCACGCCCACTGTGACGCAATAATCATTCACATTTTTACTTTTAGTGGAAGGATCTCTCACACCACTAGTCCTTTAAAAACACAATTTTATTACAACTTTTCAGCCTTTTCCTGAAACTTTGCAATAAAATATTACAATAATAACCGCAAAAAAAATACGTTGACTTCAGGGCACGAGCGGCAGTGGCACGAGGCAGTGGCCGTTGGTGAACCGCCACTGTTGTGGAGAAAATATGAATCATCAAATCAAATACATGTAAATATTTTAACCCATGCTAAATGAGAAATCCGATGACATTTGTGGTAAGTACAATCAACTCGGGAGCTATTGTTCACTTAACATATCTAGTTAAGTGTATGAAGTCGCAAACTAGGTTAGTTAGCTAGTTATTGTAAACTTAGTAAAGCTCTTAGCTAGCGTTAACCATCGTTAACGGTTAGCGCGTGAGCAAATTTTCCCAAAACGTCTTTCTCATGCAAATGGGGAATAAAAAACTAACTAACTAGTTAGTTTAGCTAGTTTAAAGAAAACAGATAAAAATAGGGACAGTTTACTAACTGGTTACTTGGACAAAATAATCACAGACTAGACAAATTCTGCGATTGGATTACTGTGTAACCGTGAATGACCTGTTTTCTAGCACTGCATTTGACCATCAAAGATGGACGAAGATCCAGAGACACAGGAGTCACAGGTATTTTACATTTGCCTGACCAGTCATTTTTAGATGCACCTCTACCAAGACCCGATTTGCATAATTTTCCCAAAGCCTTCAAACTAGTCCCAAACCAGTCCATCCCTTACTATACCCTGATTGTGAAATGATATAATAATGTAGATAAAATATAAGTATTTTACTACTGCTGACATTTTGGAAAGCAAATCTCAACAAGTTATTTTACAGGATTTTTGGGATTATTTTGTTGACAACTTTCTTTTCCTTATTTAGGCCAATAATGTGCAAGACGGTTCATTAGAAGGTGAGTGAAATTATGAAAAATAATGTATCTTTGTGTTAACAGATTTGTTGTTTACAGCTTTACGGGTTCACCTTACCCAATTCCCTGACATAGACCTTTCAAAACTAGCATGCCTAGATGATATTAAAGCTGCAGCTGCAGACATCAAGCTGGTGCGTCGTTTTGAAGAAATTCTCATGATATGGTACAAGGAAATTGACCAGGTTAGTTAGTACTGTTTAGTGCTTTAGTGTTGCTTTTGCATTTATTTTTTGTTTTTGTTGCTTTGCTTCCAGGTCATACTTGAAGTTGATCTACTTAGGAGACTGGAGGATTTGGCAGGACCACTTTCTGAATTAGAGCACTGGAAAAAAATGTCTGTGAAATTTGACTCAATAATAAACCATATCAAGAGCTCCAAATGTAAAGCTGTGGATAAGGTTGTTTATCTTAGTCAGTCTAAAACAATAAAGGTATACACATATGAAACCATTTTACAGTGTAGACTAATCACAATACTTTAATAATTTAATTATAATCTAATTTAAATCCAGAAGTGGCGAGAACTGGATGCCAAAGTGACAGAGCGCGTCCATGAAGCAAAAGACAATGTTAAGTTTCTGAGCACACTGGAGAGTGTCTGCCAGCCACTTTACGGCAATGATCTTGTATGTTCACTAACACGCAGACATAATCCTGAAGATCTTACTGATTCATGGATGTCTAGTTTTCCTAACCCACATGTTTTAATGTTTTGGTTGTAGGTTTCAATAATCAAAAGTGTTCCGAATGTGATCAACGCTATACACATGATTTACAATGTTTCACAGCACTACAACACAGATGAGAAGATTGGTATACTTTTTGTGAATGTAAGCAAATTATGAATGTGTACAAATTCCTTAAACCACATCCAGAAACAGGGCATTTACTGAGCCTCTCTCCAGGTCACAAACCAAATGTTGAATGCATGTAGATCTTACATCACTGAAAATGGAAAGTATCATATATGGGAACATAATCCTGAGATCCTTACCCATAAAATGCAGGTAATACTTACAGCTTAGTATCATTATGAATATTTGCAGTATTATATTTACAGTTAAGTGTAATTGTGTATTGCAGGACTGTATCTCCCTATACAAAGAATACAAGTCTTGCTTTGAGGGGAAGACACAGGAGAATTATTCTCAGCAACCTTTTTGCAAAGATGTTTCAAAAATGCACATATTTGGAAAATTTGATACATTTTGCAAAAAACTTGAAAAGGTGAAATAATAACAATATCTTTTGTCTTTCCAAAAATGTCTAGCAAAACTTGATAACAACTATTTTGCAGATCACACAGATCATGTCTGTTTTCAAGACATTTGAGCCTCTTCAAAAATCCAAGATTGAGGGCATTGAGGTTTTTTCCAGACAGTTCCACTCAGTGTGCACGAATCTGAAAAGTAAACAGTATGACATACTGGCTCCAACCAACTTTGAATTTAATCTCGATTTTGTGAAGTTTATGGACCAAATCAACAAACTTGAGGTTTATTTTTTATTCAGCCATTTCAATAGTTTTTGCGGTTAAGTTACTAAAATTTAATGACTTATCTTTAGAAGCAGATATGGACATTCATGAGTTCATCATTTTCTAACATCATAACTTCTCAGCAAGCTCTGCAGTTATTTCACCGGTGAGTGAATTGTTTAACATTTTAGGGATTTTATCTCACAAAACATTTTAACCCTTTCTTCTTGTAGTTTTGAGAAGCTTAATATACCCTCTTTAAAAGCCAAAACCCAGGTTATTTTGTCTCGTATTCTCCACCATTATGTCACTGAGCTGAAGTTTGTAAACAAGGTACACTCATTGCAATGTTCTTTTGTTTTGTTTTTCTTTATACATGTTTAGCGTATTGTTAAAAACTCAGAAATAATACTTATCTGTGGATTGTTGGCAGGTATACTCAAAAGAGAAAGGAAACCCTTGTATCGCTAGAGATATGACTCCTGTGGCAGGGAGAATTGGATGGGCAAGAAATCTCAGCAAGAAGATAGAAGAACCTATCTCTTTCATTCAAGTATGTTCTCATTCCATCTTCACACAATTTTTAAGTGGTAAATACATTTGTAGTTACATTTGTAAACTTTTGGACAAGGCCAATTCTGACATCTTACAACACCAAGAAAGTCGCAGTGCTGTCAGTTTGTACAAGCAGACTGCTGCAGTGTTGAAGGCGTATGAAACGCATCTCTACAAAGCCTGGGAGGAGGAAGTTTTATGCATTAATGGTTGTTTTTTATTTTTATTTGACAAGCTTTCACCAGCCGGCAGCGCCAAACACCCTTTAATACTGTTCAATGGTTTATGCTTGTGTCCTAGTCTTGAATAATACACTTCTTGTTCGACATCCACATACTGGGGAATTCCTGGTAAACTTTGATCCTAAAGTATCTGAGATCATTCGTGAGTCAAAGTGTATGTTGAGGATGGGCTTAAAAGTTCCACTGAAGGCCTCACATTTAATCTCATCCGAATGCAAAATCAAAGCCAATCGTGACACACTTCAGGTGACGTGCACTGTTAATTCAGACCTTTCAGACCTTTCCATTTGTAGTAACATTGTAGTATTACTTTTAGGAAATTTTGGAAAAGTATGAGTCAACTTGCCAGAAGATTCCATCAAATTTCATTGCTTTGATGGCTTCAAAAGTTAAAAATGTACTGTTTGGAACAGGTTTTGTAAACCTTTTGATTAGCATAGCATCATTATTTATTGTATTTAATTATACTTTCTCAAACAGGTTGATTGTGCCCTTCGACCTGGAGCAGTAATGTTCACTTGGTCATCTTCTATTGTGGATAAATTCTTTCAACATGTTGATTTTGCGCTATTAGACCTGAAAAACACTCTAGAGCAAGTATGTGAAAAATAAAATAAAAACAGTGCATTTCAATACCTTTTGCTTTTTCACATTTAGATTCTGAACCCAGATACTTCCACCCATCTACTGCATCTTTGCATTTTTATAATTCTGTGTTTTATTTGTTGTCCTTAGGTGCTGGATATATACAACAATGACATCAATAATGTTTTGGAAGAGATGTCTCAGATGGTTCTGCTTAAGCTGCCAGAACATCCAAGTAGTTTGGAAGATTTGATCTCCATAAACAAAGCACGTCTCATATTTTTGTTTTTTGTTTTATGTCACAAAAACAATTTATTCTTAAAGTGATCTTTACCTTTTTCACTGTGTGTAGGATCATTGTGCTGAACACGCAGCATTAGTCAAAAGAAAATGTACTCAAATTGATTCCGCTTTGAAACAGTTGAGTGACATCTTCAGTAATGTTTATGGCTTGAATGACATCAAACCTGCTGATAAACATCCTACTGGTGTGTAACTACATGCAGTAATGACATTATTTTGTCTGATCATTTTATTACATCTGTACTTAAGTATCACTGTATGTGACATTGTAGCCCAGGAGATTTTAGCAGTCACAGAAGATTTCAGCAAAGACATTGATGATATGGAAAAATATCATTTTGAAAAGGTATTTTCAGTAGTAGTAGTAGTAATCTTTATTTATATACCGCCTTTTCACTGCAGATCTGAGTCTCAAAGCGGTTTACAATTGTTAATTTTTTGGGGATTTGGCTCTCACTCCACACAGAGATGGGAGCGGGGTTGCCAGTACAGGACGCGCATGCTAGAACTATTGGACATATTTTTAGTGGTAGGGGAAACCGGAGTACCCGGAGGAAACCTACGCAGACACGGGGAGAACATGCAAACTCCACTCAGAAAGGCCCTGGTCCGACCAGGATTCGAACCCAGGACCTTCTTGCTGAGAGGCGAGAGTGCTATCCACTCAGCCACCGTGCCGCCCACACTTTCACTAACTGTCAAAACAATTATTAGATTAAATTATTAGTTTATCCAGTTTATCATGGGTTTCAAGGTTTTCTAATTGGCCGTGCCATAATAATTTAAAATTTAAAACAATACAAAATGATATTTATTGAATGGATGTGTGGTGGTCAAATACAGAATTACAAAACAAACAGATAATTGTAATTGCTGATTGAAAATTATTTGTTTACATTGTGTACATCGCTTCTCTCTTGAGAACAAAATAATGACATTATATGTGTAACTTATAACTCTAGGATTTCAAAGAGCTTTACGATACCTTGACTGCACGAGTTGTAGAGACTCTCATTAAAATAAATCATTCCTCTTTTGAGAATCTGAAAAAGAGAGTCTCGGTAAAGTAAGTACCTTAATGTCTTTATAGTTTTGTTTTCTAATGAAGGCAAATGTACTTTAAGTTTGATATTTATTTGCCAGATATAACAAGCAAAAGGTTGAAACAAAGTCTATGATACACCCCTTGATAAAGAGTGAAGTTCATCTGCACAGACCTACTGTGGTACGTTCATGTTTTGTTTTTGTCATATTGATGTTAAGACTGAAAGGATATGGTTCTGACATATGCAGGTAATGGTTCCTACTTTAAATGACTGTCAAGTGGCTGTAAACCAATTAACAGACATGGTACTAGAAATAAACAAGGGCATCATCTGCTGGAACCAAGAATGCAGCTCGTCTGGCATCAAAATAAAAAGTAACCATTCATGTTTTGAAATTGATCAAATAACATTTTCCCTTAATGCAAAACAATATTTCTTACAGATGGAGATACTGAGAACTTTAGTAATCAAGTAACCAAACATGAGGACATTAAAAAATCAGTTGCCTCTTTGAAATTAACCATCACTTCTCAGAAAGAAGAAGTGCCTTGTGTGCTGGATCAGTTCAACACCTTCAAGTCCATTTGGGAGGAGGACAGAAATGTCACAGTCAAGGTTTTCCTTTTAACACACGTTTTTACCTTATTTTCTAACCATTGTGGCTTCTTCTAACTTTAACCTGACTGAATTAGGAGTTCATGGAAAACCGGCCATCCCTGCTCCAAATAGAAAGTGAAATCCAACGCTATGATGCCATAATTCAAAAAATAGATGCACTTACGCCCTTCATTATGTTAGGATTCTCCCAACTGTCAACAGGTTAGAAACTTGACTTTAGTGAACGTTCAAGCTTCGCACAAAATAGTATACGGCATTGAATAATTTGGACTTTTGGTTTGGTTTCAATACTTTTTTATTTCTTTCTCAGACCCTATAAAGAACACACTGACCACAGAAACAAAAGCCTGGAAAGAACTTCTGTGCAAATTTCTAAGAGAGAAACACAAGGATAAAATGAGTGATGCAAGCACTCAATTCAACAAATACTTCACCCTGTTGTCTAAACCTGTGAGTGATCTGGAGGACGTGCGCTGTGCTATGAATGCCTTGTCTGAGCTCAGGGATATAGAAATATCAACTGATATGACACTCATTTCTATTGAGGTAACCGTTTAACATTTTATTTTCTAATTCATGTTTTTCTTTGCCTTCTAATGCATATTTTGTTTTTAAGGAGGCCTTTGATATTCTTGCAAAATCCAATAGCATTGTGACAAAAGAAGAGTCAGAGAGTGTGTCTAACCTGAGAAATGTGTACACTGAGCTCCAGACAAAAGCTGTAAGTTAAAGGAGACATATTATGCAAATGCACCATTTATCTAATTGCCCTGGTACACTGATGAATCCATGCACGGTCACGCCATGTTCAGAGTCGTTTTGTTACTGACATTGTCAAGATGAAATTATTTTTCATATTTTAGATTTATATAATGTTTTCTTTTCTAATTTCAGAGGTCAGTTCAATACGATCTTGTACGACGGCAACCCGAGTTCAGAAAAAATCTTATGGAGTGTGTTTCCACTTTCAATAATAATGTGAACACATTCATGGACAAATATGAAACTGTAAGCCTTATTAACCCAAAACCATTTAGTCTTAATGACTACAGGTAATGTTTAATTTAAATGCTTTCAAAAACATGTCTTTTAGGAAGGTCCTTTGGTAAAGGGAATACCTCCACGAGAAGCCAGTCGCAGACTCCAGGCTTGTCAGGTACTTCAAGGCAACATCTACTTTAAAATGTCGTCTTTCATCGTTATGAAACAATTCTAAATCAACTTACTCAGGCAGCATTTGAAACACTATGGTCAAATTTAACCACCTACACATCAGGGGAGCAGATTCTGGGTTTGCCAGTCACAGAATGTGATGGTCTACATAAGAAAAAGTATGTATCTTGATAACTACACACAATGTAGATTAAAATATATGATGTCAGCTGTGCCTGAAACTAATGTAACTATATTTTCTCTTTAGAAAAGAACTTGATCTACTTCAGAAACTGTATAGTCTTTATGATGCAGTTATGAATAAGATACATGGTTATTACAGCATACCGTGGACTAATGTGGACATAGAGAAAATCAACTCTGAACTTCTAGATTTTCAGAACAGGTCTCATGTTTGCCAATTGTTTATGTTTATTGTTTACTATTTCAAGCAGTGTCATATCCTGTTTATTTCAGATGTAGAAAGTTACCGAAAGGCTTGAGAGATTGGCAGGCCTATTTAGATCTTAAAAAGACCATTGATGACTTTAATGAGTCATGCCCACTGCTCGAGATGATGGCCAACAAGTCTATGATGACACGGCACTGGGATAGGATTGCTACTCTGACCAACCACCCTTTTCCAGTGGAGTCTGATGACTTTGCACTGAAAAACATTATGGAAGCTCCTCTGCTGAAATACAAAGATGATATTGAGGTAAAGATGCTCACTGCACACACACAGTAAGAACAACTTTTGACGCATATTGTGTCTCCAGGACATTTGCATATCATCTGTGAAGGAGAAGGACATTGATGCAAAGTTGCTGTCGGTGAAAGAAACTTGGGTTGGTCAAACTCTGACTCTGATGACGTTCAAGGACAGAGGAGAATTGATGCTGAAAGGAACAGATGCTGCTGAGATCCTCACCTCACTGGAGGACAGTCTTATGGTTCTAAGCTCTCTTTTGAGTAACAGGTAATACTTTTAACTTTGTTTGGCTGTAACTCTTTAAATGAATCTGAATTGTGTTCTTTGTTTTGTACGTTACCATTTAAATAACAGATATAGTGCACATTACAAAGCTGAGATTCAGGACTGGCTTTTTAAACTTACTACTTCATCTGAAGTCATTGAACAATGGATGATTGTGCAAAATTTGTGGATATATTTGGAGGCCGTATTTGTTGGTGGAGATATTGCCAAAGACCTACCACAGGTACATGATGATTAGGGGAATATAATTTAATTTAAATGCAGAACATGTACCCTGTGTTGTGTTTGTTGTAAAAAGGAACTCCATTTAGAGGATAGGTCAATCTCATGTGTCTATTGTTAGGAAGCAAAACGATTTCAGAACATTGACAAGACCTGGATTAAAGTCATGGAGCGTGCACAGACGGTCCCAAAGGTGGTGGAGTGTTGTGCTGGCGATCCCACCTTAGTGGACATTCTGCCAGATCTACAGAAGCAGCTGGAATTATGTCAAAAGTCTTTAGCAGGGTATTGGTTTACTCGTTCTACAGTTAACACTATTTGTAGTTGTTTTTTAATGACAGTTGTTTGTAAATAGTTATCTAGAGAAAAAGCGACTGCTGTTCCCACGCTTCTTCTTTGTATCTGATCCAGCTCTTCTGGAGATTCTAGGACAAGCCAGCAATTCACATACAATTCAGGTTTGAACGTTTGGTGTTTACTATTCATTTTAGATGATAGAAAATGTTCTCTAAAACATGCACTTTTAGGCACATTTGCTCGGAGTGTTTGACAATGTAAACGAAGTGGAATTTCATGCGCAAGAGTATAACAAGATTTTGACTTGTATTTCAAGGGAGGGAGAGAAACTCCCGGTAAGTAATAACTATTTTGTACAGTTAAATAAGAATAGTTTGTTGCTGGTTGTTGCCGGCTTTGCAAACAATCTGGATGTTGTAATTCCATACATTAGATACTTAAACTAGTTGTGTGGTGATTGCAGCTGGATAAGCCTGTCATGGCCGAAGGAGCAGTTGAACTATGGTTAGGTGACCTTCTGAAACAACAGCAAACCTCACTGCATTCTGTTATCAAAGCTTCAGACCTCGAGATCAACGACGAAGACTTTGAACTTCTACCTTTTCTCACTACATTTCAAGCCCAGGTTTAAATGATAGCTATTGAATGGAATTATTTGGGAAATTTGTTTATTTGACAGAATGCTTATAGAAGTTTATTTATAGGTTGGCCTACTTGGTATTCAAATGCTTTGGACACGAGATGCAGAAGATGCATTGCATAAAGCTGAGTATGATAAGAACGTCATGGCAGTGACAAAGAAGAAATTCCTAAATTTGCTGAGCACTCTTATCAAACAAACAACTCTCGACTTAACAAAGTTTGACAGAGTCAAGTTTGAGACACTCGTCACAATCCATGTGCATCAGAGTGATATCTTTAATGACCTTGTAAGAGTTTGTAAATCATACTTTATGTTGTTACATTTTTAATTATTTTCTTATTTCTGTTTTATTACTCTTCACCCACTCTAAGGTTAAAAAACGTATTAAAACTGCCAGCGACTTTGAGTGGCTTAAACAAAGCCGATTCTACTACAACGACTATGTAGATCAAGTTATAGTTTCCATCACAAATGTGGACTTCATATATCAGAATGAGTTTCTTGGGTGTACTGATCGTTTAGTCATCACACCGTTAACTGACAGGTTAGGAGTAAACTTCAATAAAAATCAATTGTTGTTTGCATAGTAGTTATAAACAGGCAATTTTGACTCACAGGTGCTACATAACCTTGGCACAAGCTCTTGACATGAGCATGGGAGGAGCGCCAGCGGGGCCAGCTGGAACTGGGAAGACAGAGACCACCAAAGACATGGGTCGCTGTCTGGGCAAGTATGTGGTCGTGTTTAATTGCTCCGACCAGATGGACTTTCGAGGGCTCGGCAGGATTTACAAAGGTATGACACTCATACTATATGATGCTGTGTCGGAGTTTTTTATATCTGTTTTATGTCTCTCTTCTATAATAATAGTAATAATGATATTAATGCCTTGCACTTGAATGTGATCTTGTGGTCCAGGTCTTGCCCAGTCCGGTTCATGGGGCTGCTTTGATGAGTTCAACAGAATAGATTTACCGGTGTTGTCTGTGGCAGCTCAGCAAATATACATAGTCCTGCAAGCACGCAAAAAACACAAAAACACATTCATCTTCACAGATGGAGACTGTGTGGATTTAAATCCAGAGTTTGGCCTGTTTATCACAATGGTATGATATTTCAGAAAAGTCAATGTGTAATCATTCATAAAACTTATAATTTATTTGCCCATCAGAACCCAGGATATGCTGGTCGTCAAGAGCTGCCTGAAAACTTGAAAGTGCAGTTCAGAACTGTGTCTATGATGGTTCCTGATCGACAGGTTTGTTTATTTACTACTTATTCACTTAGATTTATTTACAAGTTTAGAGTAATCAAAACACATATGAATTTTTTGTTAGATCATCATGCGAGTCAAATTGGCCAGTTGCGGATTCAATGAAAATGTTCTCTTGGCCCAGAAGTTTTATGTCCTTTATAAACTCTGTGAAGAACAACTGACAAAACAGGTAAGATAAGATAAGAATTCCTTTATTCGTCCCACAGTGGGGAAATTTCGGTGTTGCATCGCACATATAGGACAGTAGTAAGAGCACACAGGGAGCACACACAATATATACAAATAAGTAGTAGCTATGTTTCTTAACTAACATAACTAGCTGTAGATGCTGAAAATGCTTCAATACCAGTCAAAATATATATGTAGTAGTGCAGTTATATACTGTACAGTTAAATAGTGCACAGTTGAAATATGAAATATTACTCTTTTCACACAATGTATGTGAACTTTTCACATACCTTGGGTACTCAACACATAAGGGGTACTCAACACATAAAATATTGCTAATGCTGTTTCTGATGTTTGTATAAATTTTTATATGTTTTTTTATTTCAGGTACATTATGATTTTGGCCTGAGGAACATTTTGTCCGTGTTACGAACTCTTGGTGCATCTAAAAGAGCCAGGCCCGATGACACAGAATCCAGCATTGTGATGAGAGTACTGCGTGATATGAATCTCTCCAAACTGGTATGTTCTGGGCATTTTCATATCTGTCGAGTTTCTGATCCTTGTCATTACTCTGCTGCAGGTGGATGAAGATGAGCCTCTCTTTCTGAGTCTTATTAATGATTTGTTTCCTGGTATTCAACTGGATGGGAGCACATATGTTGAACTGCAAGCTGCTGTAGCCAATCAAGTTAGGCTTGTTGAGCTTGTCAACCACCCCCCATGGAACCTGAAGCTAGTGCAGGTAATTTCCTCCACAGTCTGTGCCCATAAATATACAGTGAATCACCATCTTATAAGTGTCTATTCTGTTTATACACAAACATTAATCATGTTTGTGTTTCTGACAGCTTTATGAATCATCACGTGTGCGACATGGTCTGATGACACTGGGCCCAAGTGGTGCTGGTAAAACTGCTGTCATCCACACTCTAATGAAGGCTCTGAGCGAGTGTGGAAACCCACACAAAGAGATGCGCATGAACCCCAAAGCCATAACTGCTCCCCAGATGTTCGGACGTCTGGATGCAGCCACCAATGACTGGACGGATGGGATTTTCTCTACTCTTTGGCGAAGGACGTTAAAAGCCAAGAAAGGTCTTTACTTTTTGTTATATTGGTAGATTGCTTTTATTTGCTTTTCTAATACACAACTGCCATTTCTCAGGGGAATTCATTTGGATTGTGTTGGACGGTCCAGTGGATGCTATATGGATTGAGAATCTTAACTCTGTGCTTGATGACAACAAAACATTGACCTTGGCAAATGGTGACCGTATCACCATGTCTCCGTCTTGTAAACTGGTGTTTGAAGTGCACAACATGGATAATGCCTCTCCTGCCACTGTGTCCCGAGTGGGCATGGTGTTTATGAGTTCATCAGCACTTGGTTGGAAGCCTATTCTAAAGGTGGACACACTCAAAATGTCACACAAAAACAATGTGTGAAAAAGAAAAATTCGCACAGCTTTGTTGCTTTTGCCAGATATTTTTGCCTCAGCCCGAATTGTTACACTTGTAAATGAAAAGCACTTGGGAGCAACATGGCTGTACAGATTTTTCTATTTCTTAATATTTTTGAATCTAGCACATTAGATCAGGTTTGGGATGTGCAGCTCTATTTGAAACAAAACAAGGTATCCAAAACGTCTTATCAATTTATTGTAGGGATGGACAAACAGACGCAATCCAAGGGAAGCAGAAAATGTTTTGGCTTTGTACAACAGAATATTTGAAGATGCTTATTTGTACATGAAGCAGAATCTGAAGCCAAAAATGGAGCTTCTGGAATGCAACTACATAATGCAGGTATTTGTATTTAGGAAATGTAGATTAAAGATCAATGTAACACACATTTGTCACACTGTTTGTAGTCCGTGAACCTGCTGGAGGGCCTTATACCGACCAAAGAGACTGGGGGCCTCATGGGCAGCCACCACATGGAACGTCTCTTTGTTTTCTGCTTGATATGGAGTCTTGGGGCCATTTTGGAGCTTGATGACCGAGACAAATTAGAAACTTTCCTCAGGAAACATGAAAGCCAGATCGATATGCCCAATTTGAAACCAGGGGAAACAATATTTGAGTACATGGTCAACACTAATGGTAAGTGATGCTCCTCCCAATAAGTCCCGATAAAATAGAAATTAAGGCTAAGACTGATATTGACGCTGATGTTGAGGGATTACAAATGCTGAAGATAGCTTTATTTTCTCTATAGCTAATTATTAAAATATATATTCATTTGCACTATAATGTATTTCCAAAAATAATGTAATTCCTATTTTAAACTTTATTGCTTACCTGCATATCATCTGCACATTTGTTATACTCATTAACAGATGTGGGTTAATCTGAGTGAATCTGGGCTTTAGAACTAACAACATGCATGTCAAAGTTGGCAATGGTTGCGAGTGGAGTTGTGGCAGCATCTACAAGAGAACGGGCGAAACCCTAAATGTTATTGCTATAAATGTTTGCTTTCAGGTGAATGGTCCCACTGGAATGATTTTGTAGGAGAGTACACTTACCCAACCGATCAAGTACCTGATTATGCCTCAATTCTGGTCCCAAATGTTGACAACACAAGAACGTCTTTTCTGCTGGAAACTATTGCTAAACAGCGAAAGGTCAGGAGTAGTTATACAAATAACAATCAATATTAATGTTATTAAGTAACAAATTGAATTGTATCTTTGCTGTAGGCTGTACTGCTAATTGGAGAACAAGGAACTGCTAAGACAGTCATGATCAAAAGTTTTACAAAGAAGTATGACCCTGAGACCGACCTGTCCAAGTCTCTGAACTTCTCATCAGCAACAGAGCCCATGATGTTTCAGGTACTCTTTCTGTCCTTTTGCTTCTTCAGGTTTTTCCAGGTGTCTTCCAATATGTTTTTTAATGACAGAGAATAATTGAGAGCTATATTGAGAAACATGTCGGGAGCACTTATGGACCGCCCGGGAGGCGAAGAATGACTGTCTTTATTGATGATATAAACATGCCAGTTGTTAATGAATGGGGAGATCAGGTGCGTTTCTGAACCTAAGAAATACATGGCTGTGTTTTCATAATGATTTAGTCCTCAGATATGCACAATATTTGTAATAAGAAATACAGTACATTACTTTAGATATACACCCCTATCTAGTCATGCAACACACAATAAGCTTTTATTCAAAACCTTTATTTTTTATTTATCAAATATCAAATACAATCAATTCAAATATTTTGTATTTAACTACGTTCATTAAAAACATATATTTTTAAATCATTGTTTACAGATCACCAATGAGATTGTCCGTCAGATGATGGAAATGGGTGGCATGTATAATCTGGACAAACCTGGAGACTTTACAACTATTGTCGATGTGCAGATACTTGCAGCCATGATTCACCCTGGTGGGGGAAGAAATGACATCCCACAAAGACTCAAGAGACAGTTTACTGTTTTAAACTGTACTCTTCCATCCAACACCTCCATTGATAAGATATTTGGTATCTCTGAAAACTGTTCTCATACAAATATTATTTTACGTTATTGTGAATTATAGTAAGGTTTATTAACTTTTGTTGCAGGTGTGATCGGCTGTGGATATTTTCATACAGCAAGAGCTTTCCAGAAAGGAATAACAAACATGATAACGACCCTTGTGTCTGCGAGCAGAATTTTGTGGCAATGGACCAAGGTAGATACATCATGCAAGATATAGTGTAAAACACATAAAGTGGAGGGGCTCATATTTCTCTTACATGACTTTAAATTGACAGGTAAAGATGCTTCCTACCCCATCCAAATTCCACTATGTCTTCAATTTGAGGGACTTGTCCAGAATCTGGCAAGGAATGCTTAACATCAAGGCTGATGAGTGTAATAGTATATCTATACTTTTAGCACTTTTCAAAAGTGAATGCACACGGGTCATTGCTGACAGGTTTGGATGACATTGTAGCATGTATCTTTTGGATATATGAAGAAGCACAAACTAACAACTTTTCTATAGGTTTATTTGTGCTGAAGATAGACAGTGGTTTGAGAAGGCTGTTACTCGAGTGATCAAAGAACATGTAGACCCTGAGCTGGTTTCACAGTTGCACCCTGAACCATATTTTGTTGATTTTTTGAGAGATGCCCCAGAACCCACTGGAGAAGAAGAGGACGATGCATGTCTGGATGCACCAAAAATCTATGAACTGGTAGTGTGTCAGCTGCTGTTTATATTAATTGCATATTTTGCATTTTTAGTAAGACTGTGGTTTACTAGGTTCCATCATTTGAGTTTCTGTCAGAGAAGCTGATAATGTATCAAACACAACACAATGAGATTGTTAGAGGAACAACCCTGGATTTGGTTTTCTTTAGAGATGCCATGACACATCTCGTCAAGGTCAGCAAATATAAGTGAAACACTATATCTGTGTGTGTATGTATAACAATAAGTGTGGCTTATATTTATGTAGATTTCACGCATCATTCGAACCGCAAATGGAAATGCACTTCTTGTTGGAGTTGGAGGATCTGGAAAGCAGAGTTTGACTCGTCTAGCTTCGTTTATAGCTGGATATAGTATCTTCCAAATTACGTTAACAAGGTTTGTTGTAAACTCAGTCTCACCTCCTCAGAACTTGAGGCTTCTTTGCTGTTCCTAGGAGCAGAGCTTTTCTGGACTATGATGTTGGATTTTTTTCCTTGGGTCTGCTTTTGATCAGATTTACAATCTTATTTTCAGATCATATAATATAAATAACTTTATGGATGATCTAAAAATATTATACAAAACCGCTGGGGCAGAGGGCAAAGGCATCACATTCATTTTCACAGACAACGAAATCAAAGACGAGGCCTTCCTGGAGTATCTCAACAACGTCCTTTCTTCTGGAGAGGTGAAAACAAAACTTTAGTGTAGTTTATTTCACAGTATGTAATGGAAATATGATAATGGTTTACTTGCAGGTAGCAAACCTTTTTGCTAAAGATGAAATAACAGAAATTACTCAGAACTTGATCTCAGTGATGAAGAAGGAGTTTCCTCGTGTTCCTCCAACCTTTGATAACCTCTATGACTACTTTATTTCGCGATCCAAAAAGAATCTACATGTAGTTTTATGTTTCTCACCGGTGGGTTACGATACCACAACTTTTATTCACCCAATAATGTGTGAATTATAAATGTTAACGGTTTCTTTATCCTTTTGTAGGTTGGTCAGAAGTTTTCCTCTAGAGCGTTAAAGTTTCCAGGCCTGATTTCTGGATGCACTATGGACTGGTTCACTCCGTGGCCGACTGAAGCTCTTGTGGCTGTGTCCAAATATTTCCTGTCAGATTTCCCTTTGGTGTGTTCCCCAGAAGTGAAGTCTGCTTTGATGACCACCATGGGCACATATCACGACAAAGTATCAGAAACATGTGAAAGCTACTTTGAAAGGTAAAAAAAACACTATTTGTGATAAACATTATGAACATTATTAATAATTATATACGACAATGTGTTACAGGTTTAGAAGAAGAACTCATGTTACACCAAAATCCTACCTCAGTTTTATCAATGGTTATAAATCTTTGTATAGTGAAAAATACAATTACATCAACACATTGGCAGAGCGCATGAATGTTGGTAAGGTGAAAAAAGATATATTTGTGAGATATGAAATATATTTTACTACTATTGGATGTTTGGAATTTTAGGATTGGCTAAACTTATGGAGGCGAGTGAATCTGTTGCAAAACTTTCACAAGAACTGGTTGTGAAAGAAAAAGAACTTGCAATTGCGTCTGCGAAAGCTGATAAGGTACATCTGATATGGATTTATTTATTATGAACTAAAAAAACTGCTTGATTGTGCTTTACCTGCCTTTTTGATTTGGTCATGTTTTATATTGCATTCAAATCTTATGAAATACAGAGATAAGATAAGATAAGAGTTCCTTTATTCGTCTCACAGTGGGGACATTTTGACATAGTCTTTAAACCACAGGGCAGAAATTAAGAATTTCACTGGATTCACTGGAGCTCATACATGTGCATAAATGTCCCATCGTCCTTGCTTAGACTTTCCTGCAATGACAAGAAACAAGTCAAAAAGCCCAGAAGGAAAAAGTGATACATATCAGGCCCATATTGGAAGAGGGATCCACTCCTATAGATGGACAGGCTATAGATCCAGAACTCTGTTGAACGAGAATTGAGACTGCAGGAATGAAGAAATTCCCTGGCGGGCGTTAAATAAAGGAGGCTGGGTTCAGGGCTCCCATCATGAAACAGACAATGGGATAGTGGTTGAATAGCAATGAATAGACAACAGCTGAAGTCATAATGATGACAGATTAATTACCAGAGAGGAGAGGATAGTTACCACACATCTCCCATACAACCTGGTTTGAACTAGTTAGCCACAAATTAGCCAGTTAATTTATTAACTATGGTTTCAACTCAATACTTAGGAAATCAACTAAAATCTTTATCTTTAGCTGAATAAAAAGAAAACTATAAAAGTATACACATAAACACATTAAGTAATAAACTTGTATACATTAGTTCAAAGAAATATTTACTGTATGTAAAAATCTGCAATACACTGTATATGTCTATCTTCCCCTCAGGTGGTGGCTGAAGTGACAGTGAGTGCAGAGGCTGCTACCATCATAAAGAATGAGGTCCAAATTGTCAAAGATCGAGCCCAGAAAATTGTTGAAGAAATTGGTCATGAGAAGGCTATTGCTGAGGAGAAGCTTGAGGCAGCAAAACCCGCTTTGGAGGAAGCAAAATCTGCTTTAAATGTGAGAGACAATATACGTGATTCGATTCTTTCTCATTTTTGCATGTCAAAAACATAGTTATGTTGAGTAGTCAGACAATGATTGCAAGATTTGATTCTCAAATGATCACACTGTATTCAATCTGTTATTTAAAATGCAACAAGAGAAATGCAGTTCCAAGCGCCAGTGATCGCTTTATCTTCTAGTGATATAGTGACATACGGCTTTTAGGTTCTTCTAATAAGACAATTAAAGCAAAAAAAGATAGTACTGCTTAGATACCTGACATGTTTCGGCGGTACACTTCCGCCTTCATCAGAGGTGACAAGTGATGGTGTGACGCGTCTCTTATCAGCTGTTGTTGCCGGAAGCAGTCAGTCTGACAGATCTCACAGATCCATCAGACTGACCACAGACTAAGCAGTACTAGCTTTTTTTGCTTTAATTGTCTTATTAGAAGAACCTAAAAAGCCGTAAACATAAGAAGACAGAATGAATTTTTCACATTTGATATAGTGACATAATGACCATTTAAGCCATCACAAATTTGAATTTAATTCCAAAGTGGGAGTCCACTCCAAAAGGGTTTGGGAGCCCATGTCCTAAGGCAAAACTTTAGGCAGATCACTATTGTTTTTTTCCCAGCACTGTCTACAATTCATTTCACATTTCAGACCATCAAACCAAGTGACATAGCCACCGTGAAGAAGTTGGCGAGGCCCCCACATCTGATTATGAGGATTATGGACTGCTGCCTGCTTTTATTTCAAAAGAGGGTGGATTCAATCTCTATTGATCCCGAACGAGAGTGTCTCAAGCCATCGTGGTCAGAAGCACAGAAAGTAATGTTTCCTTCTATTACAATAACTTTTATTCTTACACTATCATCAATTAATACAATCCAAACTCTTGACTTTGTTGTAGATGATGAGTGGAGCTGGATTCCTGACAAATCTCCAACAGTTTCAGAAAGACAAAATCAATGAAGAAACTGTGGAGTTGCTAAAGCCGTATTTTGACATGGAGGACTATACTATGGAGAATGCAAAGAAAGTGTGTGGTAGTGTATCAGGTCTTCTAGCCTGGACTAAAGCTATGGCCACTTTTTATGGAATCAATAAGGAAGTTCTACCGCTCAAGGTAAAGTCATTTTAGTTTACTTATACTTACTCTCGTACCTTTGTAATTATTAAACTGGAACTGCCACAGATAGCACAAACCCCACCTATTCGTACCATCACAGCTCATCTACACAATTTCAGCTCAATCTGGCAAGTTGTTTTTGCACAATCCTGCCTTCAGACAAACACACACATGCACGCACAAGAGAAACAAAGACATCATCACTTTGTATCCCACAATTAGTGCACAAGGCATTTCAAAGTGCTTCATATAGACAGTTTAAAAACACACATCAATAAAATACAAGACTTTTGTAAACATTTTTAAAGTAGGGGTTTGTCACCGGAGGCAGTTGCAGAATTTTGGGACATAAAACTGAAATGCTGACTCCACATGTTCAGTCCTGACTCTGGTCTTTGCAATTAAAAAATCTCTCTTTTATGTTTTAGGCAAACCTCGCTGTGCAGCAAACCAGACTTAATCTGGCTATGAATGAATTAAACCAGGCTGAAGCTCAGTTAGCAGAGAAGCAGGCAGAGTTTGATGTTGTGAAAGCCAAATGCGATGCAGCAATGAAGGAAAAACAGGTTTGAGTTGACGAGCAGAATTACTTTTTAAAATGTAAACTAAAACATATATGCACACATGGTCTTGTTTTTTGTATTTAGGACTTGTTGGATGATGCTGAAATGTGCAAGAATAAAATGCAGGCTGCATCTGCTCTTATTGACGGCTTGAGTGGAGAAAAGATTCGATGGATCGAACAGAGCAAAGAGTTTAAATCACAAATAAACAGGTAGATTGTCATTCTCCAGTTTGTTTTATCAGATTTTTTACAATACCCATTTGCTCTTTTATGTCCATCTTTTGTGCAGACTTGTGGGAGATGTGCTTCAACTCACTGGTTTTTTGTCATACTGTGGACCGTTTAACCAAAGTTTCCGAGACATGCTGATCAAAGAGATCTGGGAGACCGAGCTCAAGAACAATAAAATCCCTTTCACTGATAACCTGAACCTTATATCTGCCTTGGTGGACCCTCCCACTGTAAGACCACACCCCTGTTGCTGTTTCCCTGTCATTTGTATTATTGACTATTGACTTTTGTCTCTATCAATCCGTCTTTTAGATAAGTGAGTGGAATCTTCAAGGATTGCCAGGAGATGATTTATCTGTGCAAAACGGAATAATTGTTACAAAGGCAACACGATATCCCCTGCTGATAGATCCTCAGACCCAAGGAAAAACCTGGATCAAGAAAAAGGAACAGCACAATTCACTTCAAGTAAAGCTTTCTGTGGACATTTGGTGACAGTTTTATTGAATCAGCTTCATACATTTCAACTCTCTGCATGGTTTATTTTGGTTTCAGGTGACGTCTCTGAATCACAAATATTTCCGTACACATTTGGAGGACTGTCTGTCTTTGGGACGTCCCATGCTCATTGAAGATGTCCGTGAGGAGCTGGACCCTGCACTTGACAATGTTCTTGAGAAAAACTTTATCAAATCTGGCACAAGTTACAAGGTCACAATGTTCATATTTAGCTATACTTACAAAAACATCTCTATGACATCATGTAAGAAGTATTTTTGTCCATTTCTTAATGTCTTTTGCAGGTTAAAGTAGGAGATAAGGAAATGAACGTCATGGATGGATTTCGGCTTTATATAACGACCAAACTTCCAAACCCAGCATACACACCAGAGCTGAGTGCAAAGACGTCTATTATAGATTTCACAGTCAATATGAAAGGTTTAGAGAACCAACTTCTGGGTCGAGTCATTCTTAAGGAGAAATATGTGAGTTTAAATTGATATTAGGATATTTATTTAGCATAATGCCATGTTGTTAAGAACTAGTCTTTTTTTAGGAATTGGAGGCAGAACGGTTAAACCTCATTGAAGATGTAACATTAAACAAGAGAAAGATGCAGGAGCTAGAAGACAATTTGCTGTACAAACTCAGTAGTACAAAAGGTAGGTTTGTGTTTCTTACTTATAGATGCTGTGACAGTGAAATTATGTGTTTCCCCGCTCTCAGGTTCCTTGGTTGATGATGACTCCATGATTGGTATTTTAAGTGTCACAAAAAAAACAGCTGCTGAAGTGAGTGCAAAACTCAGTGTGGCTGCAGACGCAGAACTAAAGATTAACTTAGCTCAAGCTGAATACAGATCTGTGGCCTCTCGTGGGAGCATCTTATACTTCCTGATCACTGAGATGAGTATGGTGAACGTCATGTACCAGACCTCACTCGGACAGTTCCTGAAGATCTTTGACCTGTCACTTGAAAGGTACAGTTGTAAAAACATTCCTTCGTGTTACAAAGATCTCTTTTTGCCTTGTAGAAATAGCTGATCATGTTCATGTCAGAGAAAGCGGAAATAATGTGGTTATGATTTAGATTTGTTTTGCTACTGAGAAGATGATGATTATACTCCTCTCTGGTCTCTTAGAATTAATTGTTTAAGAAATAGAATACTTTTGTGTCTGTGAAGTAGCACCGTAAATGTCAAAGAAACTTTTACAACAATCATCATTTTGTTGTTGCAGGTCAGAAAAATCCCCCAAAACCCAGAAAAGGATCGCAAACATTATTGAGCATTTAACATATGAAGTGTTCAGATATACAGTCAGAGGTCTGTATGAAAACCACAAGTTCATTTTCACGCTGCTCTTGGCTCTTAAAATAGATTTACAGAACAACAAAATAGAGCACTCCAAGTTCCAGACACTTATTAAAGGTACAGTAATGTCTGGTTCAATTATACACCATTCCCATTGGCTAGGTTTATGATCTTGATTATAACTTCTGTGAGTCCATAGGGGGCGCTGCTCTGGACCTGAAGACCTGCCCTCCAAAGTCATTCAGCTGGATCTTGGACATGGTTTGGCTGAATCTTGTGGAACTCAGCAAACTGGCCCAATTTAACAACATAATAAATCAGGTATCGATTCAAATCCATGTCATGATTAAAGATTTGTATTTATAGTTTAATTTCATATTTTGTTAAAGGTGAGTCAAAATGGAAAAGGGTGGAAAGCCTGGGTGAACGCCGATGCTCCAGAGGAAGCTCCGATGCCGGATGGCTATAACTCTCTTGATGTGTTCCACAAACTTTTGCTGATCAGGTCTAAATTAAATCATTATTTTTACTACAATAGAACTTTATTTAAGAAATGTTTAATGTTTTGTAAATGCATAGATCTTGGTGCCCTGATCGTACGTTATGTCAAGCCATGAACTATGTGGCCGACTCGATGGGGGCCAAGTTTGCGGAGCCAGTGATCTTGAATCTTTGCAGCACTTGGGAAGAGACGGACCCTCGCACTCCTTTAATCTGCTTCCTGTCCATGGGCTCAGATCCAACAGAGCAGATTGAAGCTCTGGCTAAGAGACTTCAACTGGGTACAAGTCTATCTCATTCATGTTCCCTCTTATCTGTATTTGTTAAACTGAATATGAAATGGAAACATTGTTCTGGTGCAGAGTGTAACGCCATCTCCATGGGACAAGGACAAGAAGTACATGCAAGGAAGCTGGTTCAGAAGTCTATTGCACAAGTACATTACTTTACATCGTGTTATGTGCATTGACAATGGAAGCCAGGGTCATAATTCTATCTTAAATGCAGGGTGGCTGGGTGCTTCTGCAGAACTGTCACCTGGGTCTAGACTTCATGGATGAACTGCTTGAAACGATAACTGTAACAGAACCGATGCACGACAGTTTCAGAGTGTGGATCACCACCGAGCCCCACGACAAGTTTTCTATCACTCTTCTGCAGGTGAACATCTTCATCACTTTACAAGTTTTGCGTTATACCAGTTATGAAATATTATTATCATTTAATTTGTACAGTGCTCTATCAAGTTCACCAACGACCCCCCTCAAGGGGTCCGTGCTGGATTGAAGAGAACATTTGCTGGAATCTCTCAAGCTCAGCTGGAAGTCAATGACTTGCCTTCATGGAAGCCTTTGCTTTACAGCGTGGCCTTCCTTCACACTGCTGTCCAGGTATCTCCCCACAGCCAGAGCACACGTGTTTATCAACTGTTACTTTTGACATAACTCAATCTTCAGGAACGCCGTAAATTTGGACCTTTGGGTTGGAACATTCCTTATGAATTTAACTCTGCTGACTTCACTGCCAGTGTAGAGTTTGTGGAAAAACACTTGGGAGAGTGTAGAAAGGTAAGAAACTGAGACCAGGAGTACAAGTTTTGTCAGAGTTTGGTTAATTTATTGGGATAAAGCACAGATGATAGTGTTTGCATTGTAGCCACAATGAGACACATTTGTTTCCAGGATGTGTCTTGGATAACTGTGCGCTACATGCTGTCGGAGGTGCAGTACGGAGGAAGAGTCACAGATGATTACGACAAACGACTCCTTCAGTGTTTTGCCAGAGTAAGAATGAGAAAATACATGTTCAGTCTTTCTTTTCACTTATGCATCTTTTATTATTAGGTGTGGTTCAGCAATAAGATGTTCGACCCCTTATTTTGTTTTTACACTGGATACAAAATTCCACTGTGTAAAACTGTAGAAGAATACATGGATCACATCCAGAGCTTACCTACAGTCGACTCGCCTCAAGTCCTCGGCCTACATCCAAACGCCGACATAACGTGAGCTTGATTGTATTCTCACTCATTTTAATATGTTATTAATATGTTATTTGTATTATTTAGGTATCAGACAAATACCTCTGCTGAAGTCCTTGACACAATAACAAATATTCAACCAAAGGAAAGCGGAGGGGGATCAGGGGAGACTCGTGAATCCATAGTTTACAAAATGGCAGAAGACATGTTGGACAAACTTCCCCCAAACTATGTGCCTCATGAGGTAACTACAGATCGTAATAAACACATTATTTGTAAATTGTTTTAACATTTGAGAAAATCTCCTCCAGGTTAAAACAAGACTACTGAGAATGGGAGCCCTCAATCCAATGAACATCTTTCTCCGTCAAGAAGTGGATCGAATGCAAAGAATTATTACGGTGGTGCGCAGCAGTCTCACCGACTTGAAGCTGGCCATCGACGGCACCATCATCATGAGTGAGGTCAGAGCAATCGCATGCTTTCTTTGGCCTTCATGGATTTGATAAACTTTAATTCATCTTTTTATTCATCTGATAGAATCTCCGTGATGCGTTGGATAACATATTCGATGCTCGCGTTCCAAAACTGTGGAAGAAAATCTCTTGGGAGTCGTCTACTCTGGGTTTCTGGTTCACGGAGCTCATAGAGAGAAACAAACAGTTCTTCAGCTGGGTGTTTGAGGGACGGCCCAAAACCTTCTGGATGACAGGGTTCTTTAATCCTCAAGGTAGTTTTAGAAAGTTTAGGTTAGAAAAGCAAGGAACAATGACAATAATTATGACACTAGAGATAAAACTTCAGAAGTTGCTGAGCTGTTGAGGGTATAATATTGTCTATCTCTGGATTGGTCAGTCCCAAGTGCTGCTATCTCTGGATTGGTCAGTCCTAAGTGCTACTATCTCTGGATTGGTCAGCCCTAAGTGCTACTATCACTGGATTGGTCAGCCCTAAGTGCTGCTATCTCTGGATTGGTCAGTCCCAAGTGCTACTATCTCTGGATTGGTCAGCCCTAAGTACTACTATCACTGGATTGGTCAGCCCTAAGTGCTGCTATCTCTGGATTGGTCGGTCCCAAGTGCTACTATCACTGGATTGGTCAGCCCTAAGTGCTATTCTCAGTGGATAGGTCAGCTCTAAGTGCTACTATCACGTGATTGGTCAGCCTTAAGTGCTACTATCACTGGATTTGCTACTATCACTGGATTGGTCAGCCCTAAGTGCTCCTATCACTGGATTGGTCAGTCCTAAGTGCTACTATCACTGGATTGGTCCGTCCTAAGTGCTTCTATCACTGGATTGGTCAGTCCTAAGTGCTACTATCACTGGATTGGTCAGTCCCAAGTGCTACTATCACTGGATTGGCTGAAGAGCGTTTGACCCGACTCATGGCTCCCACATCTGTTACATTTACATTTTGATGACTAGCCTGAATGTCTTAGATTGTTCAAATGTATGGATTATTTAAAAATATGTTTTTATATTGTCATGTTTTTATAAATCAGGTTTTCTGACGGCCATGAGGCAAGAAGTAACCAGGGCCAACACAGGCTGGGCCCTGGACACAGTCACTCTGACCAACAGAGTCCTGAAACTGAGCAGAGAGGAGATCAACGCACCTCCGACTGTAAGACTGAGACTGTTCTCATTTAAATGAACACCTTCTCAGATTTGTGTTGCAACTAGGAAGGAGTGTATGTTTATGGTCTTTACCTGGATGGAGCTGGATGGAATAGAAAAAGTATCCACCTCATCGAGTCTTCTCCTAAAGTGCTGTTTACCCTGATGCCAGTGATCCACATGTTTGCAGTGAACTCTACTGCCCCCGTGGACCCCAAGCTCTACGTCTGCCCCATCTACAAGAAGCCACGGCGCACGGACCTGAACTACATCACTTTTGTGGTGCTGCCAACAATCCAGTCTCCAAACCACTGGATTATGCGCGGTGTCGCATTACTTTGTGATATCAAATAAACTCTTTCTCTTATTTTTTTCAGAGCTGATATAAATAAATATTACAAAATAAAGATACAAGGTCAGATTCGTCTTTATAGAAACTGCTTTATTCACAAAACAAATCTAGTAACGTAACAAGAATAACAGTATCAAATAAATGTTATCATTATGTTCAGGAAATATAACAAGATTCAAGATGGCGCCTCGTACGGTCGACATGGCTCTTTGCTGCTCTCTTTTTCTTTTGTTTTTACTTTTTAACTGTGCATCTGGCTGTTCCTACACCCGTGAGGAACTTATGAACATCCGACCCACCGTTCCCATGGACCTATTGCCTGTTTTCTTGGCATCTGCGGCTGATTTAGTTCATGTTCTAGCCAAAAAAGTGTGGGCCCGTAAAAGGGGAAAGCGAGGAGGCCTGCTCGTGCGTCTTAGGAGGAGAGGAGCGCGCACGGCTCTCCCCGGCATTTTTCTCTCCAACGTACGCTCACTGGGCAATAAGATGGACGAACTCAGCCTGCTCATGAGAAGAAACAAGGACTTCGCCACATCCTGTGTCCTCTGCTTCACTGAGACCTGGCTAAATGAGCGGATCCCGGACTGCGCTCTGGAGCTGCAGGGCTTTGGGCTGTTTCGCGCGGATCCGCATTGTGCGCTCTCAGGGAAGAGCAGAGGCGGAGGGCTCTGTTTCTACGTCAATACAAACTGGTGTAACGATGTGACAGTGATCTCCAAGCACTGCTCTCCTGCTCTGGAATATCTTTTCATTCATTGTAAACCATATTACTCCCCGCGGGAAATTGTTTCATTCATTCTTGCCTCTGTTTACATACCGCCATGCGCGGACGCGCGCGAGGCTCAGCGCGCACTCGCAGAGCAAGTACTGTGTATGGAACGCTTATACCCGGACTCTCTGATTATTATCCTGGGGGATTTTAATAAGGGAAACTTGAGCCAGGAATTACCCAAATACAGACAGTTTATCAAAGGCCCGACCAGAGAGGAGAACACTCTGGATCACTGTTACACCACCGTGCGCGGAGCTTTTCGCGCTGTTCCCAAGCCAGCCCTCGGCTTCTCAGATCACTCCATGATACATCTGGTTCCTGCTTACAGACAGAGACTAAAGCTCTCGAAACCTGCAGTGAGGAGCTCCAAAGTGTGGTCTGATGAAGCTGTGGAAGAGCTGCGCGCATGCATGGAATCTACAGACTGGGACCTTTTCAGAGCTGCCACAGATAGTTTGGATGAATATACGGACACTGTAACGTCATACATCCACTTCTGTGAGGATAGCATCATTCCAACAAGGACCAGGGTCATCTATAACAACGACAAACCCTGGTTCACTGCTAAACTCCGGCAGCTCAGGAAAGCAAAGGAGTCTGCTTTCAGGGAGGGGGACCGCAGCGGCTACAAAGCAGCTAAATATCAGTTCAGGAAAGAACTGAAAGCAGCCAAGTCCCGGCACAGAGAACGACTACAGGAGCAGTTTGGTAACAACGATACTGCTTCTGTCTGGAGGGGCCTACGGGAGATCACCAACTACAAACCCAAAGCCCCCCCCTGTGCTGATGACCACAAGCTAGCTGACGATCTGAACTTATTTTTCAGTCGCTTTGATGCTGCCCCTGACACCTCTCCCCCCCCACCCCCCACTACTCTAACGACCCACCCATCAGCCCTGCCCCCAGCCTAACAATAGCCGCTAAAGAGACTAAACAACTCTTCTTGAGGCTGCACCCCCGCAAAGCTCCTGGCCCGGACCACGTGTCTCCGGCCACTCTGAGACACTGCGCCAGTGAGCTTACTCCTGTGTTCACGGACATTTTCAACTCCTCTCTGCAGTCCTGCCATGTCCCCGGCCTGCTTCAAATCCTCCATCATTGTCCCCGTTCCGAAGAAGCCCAGGATCACAGGACTCAATGACTACAGACCTGTAGCACTTACGTCTGTCGTCATGAAGTCATTTGAACGCCTGGTTCTCTCCCATCTCAAGTCCCTCACCTCCCCCCTCCTGGACCCCCTGCAGTTCGCCTACAGAGCCAACAGATCTGTAGACGACGCCATTAACCTGGCCCTCCACCACATCCTACAGCACCTGGACTCCCCGGGGACCTACCCAGGGTCCTGTTCGTGGACTTCAGCTCTGCCTTCAACACAATCCTGCCATCCCTGCTCCAGGACAAGCTCTCCCAGCTCAACGTGCCCGATTCCACCTGCAGGTGGATCACTGACTTCCTGACGGACAGGAAGCAGCGAGTGCGTCTGGGGAAGAATGTCTCGGACTCTCGGATTATAAATACAGGAGCCCCACAGGGCTGTGTTCTTTCTCCCCTGCTCTTCTCCCTGTACACCAACCACTGCACCTCCAGCCACGACTCCGTGAAGCTGATCAAGTTCGCGGACGACACCACCCTCATTGGACTCATCTCCAACAACGATGAGTCCGCCTACAGGAGGGAGGTGGACCGGCTGGTGTCCTGGTGCAGTGGTAACAACCTGGAGCTGAACGCCCAGAAGACAGTGGAGATGATTGTGGACTTCAGGAAGAGCACTGTCCCCCCGCCCCCACCCTCCGTGATGGACTCCCCCATCACCTCTGTGGAGTCCTTCCGTTTCCTGGGCACCACCATCACCCAGGACCTCAAGTGGGAGCCGACCATCAGCTCTCTCATCAAGAAGGCCCAGCAGAGGATGTACTTCCTGCGGCAGCTCAGGAAAGCCAAGCTGCCTGCACAGATGTTGGTGCAGTTCTACACGGCCATCATCGAGTCCATCCTCACCTCCTCCATCACCGTGTGGTTCGCTGGAGCCACAGTCAGGGACAAACAGAGACTACAGCGCATTGTGCGCTCTGCAGAGGAAGTGATCGGCCGCAGCCTTCCATCGCTGCAGGACCTGTACGTCGCCCGAGCTCGAGGCCGGGCTGGTCGTATCACAGCCGACCCCTCTCACCCTGCACATGGACTATTCCAACCACTCCCCTCAGGCAGGAGGCTGCGGTCCATCAGGACTAGAACCTCCCGCCACAAGAACAGTTTCTTCCCCTCTGCTGTTGGACTCTTGAACACTTCTTAACCTGTCCCCCCGCCCTTTATAAAGTCACTTTACTGCCCATCATACGTCACTTTACTTCACTGTACTGCTGTCACCTTACATTGTGTGCACCATGTGCACTTGTATATTGTAAATAGTAACTGTAACTCTATTTTAAATTTAAATTTATTCTTTAGAAGTGTTTTTTATTCTTATTTTTATTATCTCTTTTTGACTGTTGCACTGAGCCAAAGCAATTTCCAAGTCTGTGACCTCCCGTTACTTACGTTGGCAATAAAAATGATTCTGATTCTGATTCTGATTCTGATGAAACCACAGACATAAACTTTCCTTTACGAAACAATAGAGAGCTTTGTTTTTAAGAAAAGCATTTGACCTCAGTCAGCTCTTGGCCATCACCCAAAATGAGTTTTTTACCCTGCATGCCCTGTGTCTTTCCCTGGGGCTCCTCTTGAGATTCACTGCTCCACTGTGAGGTTTGGAGAAGGCTGCTCATCGTCACCTGTGGCTGTAATATTTATTATTGTTATTTCCTTTTTTTACTGACTGTAGTCTATGGTGTTTTAAAACGTTATCCCCAGAGGTAAATTTGACAAAAAAGACTGCTCTACTCCTATTTCTTTTTACAAAGAAGTTACAAAATGAACAAAAATTCTGGAGATTACAAATACAAGATTAAAAACCTACATTATGGAGTTTATAGCAGGCAACAGTATCAGTGTATCAGTACATTTCCTGAAAATAAATGGTTCAGCATATGTTATCTACTCTTCAACAGAAATATTACTGCATGTAAAAAAGAATAACCAAAATATTCTCAATAAAGAAAAAGCAGGTTACACGTCTCCAGAAATAGGTTGATAATCACTAGTTGCACCATAGAATGTGAAGCGCTGGGACAACAAGCTCCGTCCTGCTCCTACAGCTGTGAAACAAGTGCATAGAAAGAAACAGCCCCCGCAGACAAATATTAAACTGGCAGAAACCCAAATGACGGTGGTGACGATGAAAGCGAACAGGTAGAAAGGCCTGGAGCAGTAGTTTGTGGAGTCTGGGGAATTGTCAGGAGGATAGACGCTGTAGACCCACACTGAGCCTACGCAACGGAAAAGAGTTGAATTTAATCACTGCTTAAAAACATTTTAGTAATGTGTGATATAAGAAAGCCATAGAAAGGCCGGCGTATACTTCTGCCTTCTATTTTACTGGTAAACATTCTTTGTATTTGATTCATTTATCCATTTATTCATAAGCATTTATTTATTCCGACTCTAAGTCAAAACTAAAACAAGAAACACAGACAGAAAACCAAAAGACAAGACTCTATAAAACAGAAAAAGAGACTGCTCATGAAAATCAGCTATGCCAGAGTTTCCATGAAGGATATTTGTATCACGCAATACAAAAAGATTCAATTAATTTCAATCTTTGTCAGTAACTACAGTGCAATAATGTACGGTGTGGAGAAATGCTGGCAATATTCAGGAAGGGCCAGATGTTGAGCTGTAGAGAGGACTTTCAGATACAGTTTATATTTCAGGCAAAATTTGGTTTGTGAATCCGGACTTTTCACCGGTTTTAACAGAAGGGAGCACATAACCCCTGTGTTAGTGTCCCCGTGCGTTTTAAAATTGTTTTTAAGATTTTACTGATTACTTTTAATGCTCGTTTATGTCTGACACCCAGCTATTTTAATGAACTGTGATAGCAATTATCCCCAATCTCACCTGCAATGAACCAACACAAGTCGAAGAGATAGAGCAGACTGACACAAGACGCCGCCGCCTTAAACACGGCACCATCGCCCCAAATACTGTTGGTGTAAACCAGAGTCAGCGACATCAGAGTGACAGACCCCAGGACCATCATGTAGACGGGGATCAGAGGCTCCACAGGACAACTGCCCAGATGTAGGGCTCCTGGAGACACAGGATCCACACAAAACAGCTCAGAGTCATTTAGAAAACAAACAAACAAAAGGTGTAGAGAAAGGTGTGAGTTATTCATATTCTCTACAGTGAAAGGAAATAAATTAGTAAAGAAAAATATGTTACACAGTTCAGTGTCTGAAGTATAAAATCTTTGTGATTAAACTGATAAAATATGTAGAGTTTACAAACCGAATCCGATGGCTGCGAGTAAAATCATCCACCAAATGAAATTAAACAAAGCTGAAGACAGGAAAACAAAACAGGTTCAAATAATCTCTCTATGTTTCTATGTTTTTGAGTGAAAACAAACCCTGACTGATGGCAGAGTACAGAGCTACTCTCTGAGGTCTCGCTGCATCTTCAGGAGGAGAGTCCATGTCTAGAGAGAAATGTTCAATGAAAGATTAAATCATTACAATTGTTATGCTTTGTTTACATACAGCACCTGTTCAGACGCTTCTTATTCAACCTAAAGGTTATTCTTGGTCTTTTCAAGCAGCACAAAGTGAGCAGGATGTTAAGACATTCAGAGACAAACAGCTCAGAGGAAATGATGACACTTTGCTCATATCTGATGTGAGAGTTGTTATCAGCCTCAAACCCAAAACATTTTAGACAAACAAAACCAGCTCATATTAACGTGTCATTTAATGATTGTTAATCGTTCAGAAAGCATTGAAAGTGATGTTTTTTTTTGTCTAAATGTTCAAAAAGTAACTAAATGTACAAGTGCAGTATGGCAGAGTGGTTAACTATTTTTATTCCTCAAAAAAAAGTTGGTTTACCAATTATCAAACGATCAACGTTCCCATGACTTGTGCTTCTCTGTTTACAGCAATGACACAATATAAAACAATATTAAATGTGTGTGCATTAAAAATTATAATGAGATAATTTATGCACAAAAAGTTGTCATTATTTCATCATGTGAATTTTGAAAGTGAAATAATATCTGAAGTAGAACATTCATGGTAAAAACAAGTAAAGGTAGTAAACAAGGTAAAACATGCTTTCCATCTGTAACTCTCTCCTCTACCACCAGAGGGAGGTGTCCAAATGTGAAAATTACCAGCTTCAAACAATATAATTTAATTGAGAAATTGCAAACAAAATAAAAAGGACAAACTTTTTTCTTGTTGTAAAAGTACGAATGTTACTCGGTTAAGTTGTCAAATTAACTTATTTTGTTGAAAGATGTTCCATTTCGTACAGACACCAGACAAAACACAGCATCTGCTCTTTAACATTGATAATAGTGACGAACACAAAAGAAATCTCCACTTTCAGTCTCAAACATTTATTTTTATTTCAAGCAATGTTTTGGCTGATGATCTTATGCCTGATGTTTTCGATGGTGCTTTTCAGAGTGGCCACAGTCGGGACGGGCCTGAACTCTCTCCGCAGCTGAAAATCAATGATCATCTGGATCATGGGGGCAGCGGGGAAGTCCATGCAGATGATGCCCAGGCGGAGGCTCACGTCACTCTTGGAGCGGAGGTAGTCGTAGAGCTGCGGGTGGACGCGCTGAGCCACGGCCCGAGGGAACGCGAAGACCCCCGCACCGCTGCTGAAGGTGAGGAAGATCCGCGCCATGTCTCCTCCTGGAGCCGCTTCCAGATGTTTGTAGACGCTCTGCCATTTCTCCTCCACATGAAGAAGAGTGGGCACCTGTGGCACAAAGGAGAATATGCTGAATATGGGGAATTAAAGCTGGGGCACGTAACTTTTCCGCCGTAAACAATTTGAACGAATCAGATCACAACACGCTGCAGACCGGTCTTAATTTTTTTTAGAAAAACATTTAGCTTTTGCATACTTCGGAAAAGCCCTGTTGATAGAATGGGAATCTGCAAAACGTGACATTTAATAGTACTGCAATAATTGGGCCATAATTCAATATTACTGCGATCCTTAACCCTTGTATTATGTTAAGGGTCAATTTGACCCATTTCAGTTTTTTTGTTGATCAAAGTACTGGTTATCCTTTCTTTTTCTTGCTGAAATTTGGTGACTTTTCCTCATCTAGGGTCATGAACTGGTGTTTAAAATCTGGACACTTTGATGTGTAGTGGAATGTCTGTGCAGAGTTCGTATACAAAGATGATGTTGCGGGTCATTTTGACCCAGACGCTTTAATGTGGGTAAATAGTTGTTCTGATCAAAAAAACCATGTCTCTTTGACATTGTATTTTAATTCGGGCGTTCTGCTCTCCCAAAATTCCATCCACTGAGCGGCGCTGTGATCAAAAAATGACACCGTTTGTTGCCCAGTTCACTTCCGGTTGATTTCATACAATGGCGAATATGGCTCACGAAAACAACAAACGATTGACAGTGCCTGAATTGCGTGAAAGGTTGAAGCGAAAGGGTATTTGCAGTGTGGGAAAACGAAAGGAGGAATTGTTGTTGCTAGTTCAACGAGCGGATGGTGTTTATGAAGATTTAGAAGAAGATGACAGCGAGCAGAGTGAACGAAAACGGCTGTGTGTGCGAGTGACAGATGGTAACAATGAGAATGAAGTTCAGCTAAGAGGGAAGAATGTGAATTGGACGGATGATTTGCGCGATATGCCACTAGTTAGAGACGGGAATGTATTTGCATAATGTAAAATGACGAAAACACTCAACCATTTAGAGAAAATGCGCCGGGCAGAGAGAACCGGAAGTTGCGAAGGCAAGTGTTACCCATAATGCAACGCAAAATTCAGTCGCTCCCCCGCCCATCGGATGGAGACCCAGAGCCAGGTGTGTGAAGAGAGGGAACTTTCTCACACTTGTCCTTGTCACTGTTCGCATGTCATCTCTTTTGCCTAGCGTACATCGGACTGGCAACTGATTATATCCGTCGCCTTTGAGTTGCTGCCCCGCACACATCGACAATCTGTCGAAAACGGGCACCTCCTGTAGCAGGCCAGTCTCGGGAATAACAGCAACTGGCCTCAACTACAGTGTGTTTTCTGACATAAACTGTAGAGGGCGCAATACACACATGTTGTTGGAGCGCGCCATGGATCTATTAGGAGCGCGCACATCGAGTGATATCTCCGAAACTGAGGACAACAAGTTGCCGAAAAGTAGAACACGGGCAACTGACTGAATCCGGAGATCGACTGTTTATCTCCAGTTGTAAGAGCGCTCACATCGACCAATTTCAACTGATCATCTCCATCATCTTCTCTCAGTCGCCAAAAGCCGCCTTCAACTAGTTGTCCCCAGTTACTCTGTCGATGTACACTAGGCTTTAGACAAACTCACCAAAAATGAGCTCCAGAAGGATGACATCTAAGGAGGCTTTATCACAGATTTTTAACAGAGATAATGATGTAGAGGAAGAGATTTCCGAAACAGAGGACAGTGTTATTGCTGATCCAGATTGTCAATTTTCCTACGATAAGGAGGATTCAGAGGACGAATCTTTGTCAAGGAAAGAAGAAGGGAGGAAGGTAGGAAGGAAAGAAGGGAGACAGGAAGGAAGGAAGGAAGAGAAAAGAAGGGAATAGAGGAGGATGAACAGAGAGAAGGAAAACAGGATGAGAAAAAGGAAGGAGAAAGCATGGCAGGAGGAAAGAAGGAGTGAAGAATTGTCATTTGTCAAGAAGATTAGACAAAATAATTCTTAAATATAGCGTTGGAATTAAAAATGTATTGTATGTCACTTTTCTAAATATTTATATAACCTAAAATAAAGTTGTTATTGGTTTAACCAGTTTTTTTGACTGTTTTGAGTGCATTTACACAGTACTGATCAAAATGACCCGCAACATAATCAATGTAATTTTTTTTCAACATAATACAAGGGTTAAAAGTATATAGGAGGGTTTTCTACTTCCGGGTGGATCATCAAGACTGTTGGTCCTCTCAGTTGTCAATCATTCTGGTGATACGTGCTCGTCAAATAAGACCAGAGAGTTTTGTTAAAAAAGTGGAGAGGGCGGTTCTTTCGTAAAATTTGGGAAAATCCTTCTATTTACCTTTAAGATACTGGGACACAGCAAGTATCGTGATTCAATTCTGCGATATAATACGATTCATGTCCCTAATGTTATTCAAAAGCATTACCAAATTGAGGAAAATGAGACTCAACTCAAACGTCACATTGATCATAATCTGCACATTCATTTTCAGGGTAATGCTAAAACTTTATCCTTGAACATTCAGGACAAGAAAAGATGACAGCTCCCAGCACAAAACTGAAATTATTCAAATACACTGCACTAAAGTCATAGAGGAACAAAAACCTCAGATGTAATACTGCTCTACTGCATGCATTTAATTATGTGTATATACTGCAATACTGAACAGAATCGCCTTTCTCCTCCATCTCTACAGTTGACGTTTTGAGCTGAGAGCTGATTGGCTGAGGGGAAAACATGTGGCCGAGGCCAAAAATACATGTGTGAAAACTGGTGATAGAACCAAGCTGTTCTGAGAGCGTGGAACTATAGATGGATGGATTTATGACATTACATTACATTTGTGTGGTCTAAAAGTTAGGTACCCCAGCTTTAAAAGTGCTTGTTGGTGGTAATTTGATCATGGTCAGAATAGTGAGAAAGTAAAGTCAGTCAGTTTGCGACTCAGGCTCTTTATAAAAAGGTGGAAGTGTTATGCAATGTTTGTTTAGTGATTAGAGCTTTTGGTATTTGGTGTAAGAATAGTTTATCGGTGTCAGGAATTTGACTTTTTTGGTGCCTCAACTCCACAGTAATGAAGTAATAGTTTGAATCAGAAATAATAACTCATTTTTGTCATTCAAAATCAAATCTATTTAGACAGTATAATAAATATTGTCGTTGGTCCATTGGGCATTGGTCAACCCTCGACCCAATGGACCAATGACTTTTATATTATTATTTTATTTCCTTGTGTTCTGTTTGATTCTCTAATCTGCTGTTGGTGAAATTGCCATTTCTGTGACATCAATGACATGACTTCTGTTGTGATTTTGGGTGAAAATACAAAAATAAATTGATTTGTTTTGAATACTAAATCTTGAGGCCTCACTCCTTAAAGGTTAACAGGATGATTTTCCGAAATTTTAGGGAAGAACCGCATTCTCCATTTTTTACGTACCACCAGAATGATTGACAATTAGGAGGACCAATAGTCTTGATGATCCACCCGGACGTAGAAAATTCTCCTATATACCTTTAATGTGACCCGTCCTGCTCCACCCAGAGGCTACTCCACCTCTGCTGCTGTGACCCGTCCTGCTCCACCCAGAGGCTACTCCACCAGGGTGACCCGGCATGGATTTGCCCCTGTGTACGGAGGTCTGAGGGCGCCGCAATTCGGTTTAATTGGATTTAATAGAATATCTGCCTGCTTTTGACTGCTACATTGCATATAATATTGTCCCTCTCAGGCGATGTGTTTTCTCCTCCTGTGCCTTCTCTCCACTCTTATCTCACATTCCTTGTCCAAGGCCATAAAACAAGGTCCCACAATCTACAACAACTCACACTATTTCAGTCTCCAGCAAGGATCCCTCACCCCCGCCTCCCTCTACCTATCCATCTTGCTCCCTCCCTCCCCTCCACTCCTCATTGTGTTTCCGACTCACCCCCTCCCTGACCCTGCCCCCCTCTGACAGCCACATTGGGCCGGCAGTCGGAGGTGCTCATCCCGAGAAAAAAATCCGTGGTTTATACAAAGCACAATGTGTCTATCCAATTGTCTGTGAAACTGTATGTTATTGATCTCTGCTGTTTCTTGCTGCACACAGCGCCGCAAATGGCGAAGTGGCACGCTCTCTGCCAAAACAATTTCCAAGTGGTAACTTTGTTACTTACGTGGCAATAAAAATGATTCTGATTTTGATTCTGATTCTGATAAAGTAAATGTAAAGGTAAAGGTGCACTTTATTGATCCCCGTAGGGCAATGCATCCTCTCCATTTGACCCATCCTGATGCCACTAAGGCTTACGTCAGGAGCAGTGGTCGCCGTAGTAACAGCGCCCGGGAACCCATCTCCAGATGTGGATGCTCGGCTTGGTCAAGACCAGAGTTGGAGGATTTAACCTAGTGTGCATGTTTTTAGTGGTAGGGGAAACCGGAGTACCCGGAGGAAACTTACACATGCACAAGGAGAACATGCAAACCCAGGACCTTCTTGCTGAGAGGCGAGTGTCCAATCCACTCAGCCACCTTGCAGCCTATCTATCTATCTCTATCTCTCTCTCTCTGTCTCTCTCTCTATCTAATCAATTGCTGAGTTTTCTGCTTTCAATCTTTCTTCACATTTGTGAAGTGAGGAACAAGTTTAGCTCTTTCTGCACCTTCCAGTTGTCTGCGATGTCCATGGAGCCATAGCGCATGCCCAGGTCTGGACCAGGGAAGTCTTGCATGATGATGAGTTTTCCCCTGGCCTCCCCCACGGTGGGCACCAGGCGGCTGTGCCAGAGCAGGTCCCAGTGGGCAAAGCGGTGAATGTAGTCCACCACGGCGCCGTAGATGCCGTACGTCTCACTGAACTCCTCCTTCACCCTCATCAGCACCGTCTCCGTGGGGAACTCCGTGAGGAAGTCCACCACTCCCTCCAGCACGTGCCCAAAGTGCGCCCGCTGGTACGACACGCCGTGGTGAAGGGTGAGGTTGCCCCGAACGTGACGAACTCGGATGTCCAGGAAGCGCACGCCGGCCCGGAGCTGCGAGGCCAGGGTCCAGGTCTGGCACTCGGCGTAGACCCCCCCGAACAGGGCCATGGTGTTGTGGGTGCCGGGCATGGTGACCTCAGACAGCGGCTGGTCGTCAGGGAGGTGGGACATCCATGAGGGGTTCAGGAACTCGGGGTGGGGGGTGTCGTCGTAGTCCGGGCGCTGGATGGCCCCGGAGCCCAGGCCAGAGACTCTAGGACCAAGAAATGAGAGATTATTACACATGTCTCTTCTGTTCAATTCTATAGAGTTTTATAGTTTCTCCTGTTTGTCAAGAAAATGGTCACGGTTTGGGCTGTGGGGGTGATTCAAGTTCCATGCCTGCTCTTAGTCCCAGGTCCTGATTCTGGTCTTGGTGCAGACTGGTTTTGGTCCCAGGTCTGATCTGCGTTTGCTCTTGGCCCAGGTCTGATCTTAGTCCCAGTTCTGATCTTAGTCCCAGATCTGCTGGTGTTGGTCCCAGGTCATTTCTAGGTCTTGTCTTGGTCCCAGGTCTGATCTGGGTCTTGTCTTGGCCCCAGGCCTGATCAAGTCTTGGTCAAGTCTATTTCCTTTCATACTTTCTCAGATTCGAACTGTCTGTCTTCATAATACACCTTATCACTTTGTTTATTTTCTTTATATTCTCCTCACTCTGAATTCTCAATGGACATGAAGTTATATTATATAGATTATAACACATGAATACACAAAAATATCTGTCCTTTGAAACATAAATCAAATATATAAAATACTAATTTACCCTTTACCTTTGTTTTTCCAGAGTAATGAAATACTATAGGTTCTTAAAAAAAACCTGTTTAAGGTGGGGAAAATAAATATGGATGTGATTTTTTAAGAATATAGTGAAAATGTCAAGAGTAGTTTTGGGGTTATTTGTTCTTACCCCAACAGTAAAATGACTTCTAGAAACATGTCTCCCTGGATCTGAAAAATCTGTAAAGAAAAGGAAACATTTAATTATTGAAAATGAAAATGAAAAATAGTTTTGCAAATCTTCAAACGAATATTTCTCTCTTTCAAGCAGGAGTCTAAACTTTTTAACAAATGAAAATTCTGGTGGAATCAAAACAAAAACAGGCAGTTGTACCCGTCTGCTGTGAGTTCATCCCCAGTGCACCGTCTACACAGAGTGAATGGACGCTTAATCTCCATAATCCCAGAACATCAGCAGAGTGTGTGTGTGTGTGTGCCTCTGTCTCTGTGTGTGTGTGTGTGTGTGTGTGTGAGACGGTCCACATACCTGAGTCCGAAAGCTTCTCCCAGGTCCGGATCACCACGGACTGGGACAGACCGGTGCGACAGAGGAGACCGAGGGACTGTGTCGACCTGGGACTTTACTGTGGGAAATACCAAAATGGAGCAGATGACGTAGACCGTTGTGTGTGTGTGTGTGTGTGTGTGTGTGTGTGTGTGTGTCTGTGTGTGTGTGTGTGTGTGTGTGTCTGTGTGTGTTTGTGTGTGTGTGTGTGTGTGTGTACAGTTCTATGCAGCTAGTCAATGGTCACCAACTAAAATGATTTAAGAAGAATAGAATGGAATGACAGAGTTTAAGCATGAAAAAATGTACATAAAGTATACATTTTTCAACAACAAATACTTATCTTCCTTTAGTTTTAGGCATAAATACAACATAAAAACACATGAGTTTGCGTGATTTGTAGGTAAACAGCAAGAATAGTTTTTGTGTCTTTTTATACATTTAGCCTGCACAGTTGTGTCTAGAATTGTACAGGGACTGAAACAATCAGCCACATATATCTTTAATTAATAAAAGCTGGGGTGCCAAACTTTATCTATATATATGTAAAATGTATATCAATACTTCCTTGCTCCCAAAACAGTTTTCTCAAATATTTAATTATTTCTGTCATATCTTCGATCCCTTCAGAGCCTCACTCAGACAAAATACTTTCTTAAAATGTTTTACTTTAGACATTTTACTTTTAGGGTTAGACTCTTTTATTTCCATTTCAAAATATTATAGGTTTGGTTTTTTTATACACTGTACCCTATCCCTAACCCATAATTCAAAAACATTAACTATAATAATAACCAAATGTGTTATTAATAATAATAACAATACTCATAACTAGAAATGGTACAATGGCTGAAGCCATTGTGAGTGGCTGCATAGATGTTGGAAGGGTTAGGGATGAAGAAGGAAGAAGAATGGGAAGAAGAAGGAAGAAGAAGAAAGAAAAAAAGGGAAGAAGAGGAAAGAAGAAGGAGGAAGAGGAGGAGGAAGAAGAAGGGAAGGGGAAGAAGAAGGGGAAGAAGGGGGGGAAGAAGAGGAAGAAGGGGAAGAAGGGGAAGAAGAGGAAGAAGAGGAAGAAGAGGAAGAAGGGGAAGAAGAGGAAGAAGGGGAAGAAGAGGAAGAAGAGGAAGAAGAGAAAGAAGGGGAAGAAGAGGAAGAAGTGAATAAGATGCAGTAAGAAGAATGTGTTGTAAGGGGCTGAAAGTGTTGTAAAGTGCTAAATGTGTTGTAAAGTGCTGAATGTGTTGTAAAGAGCTAAATGTGTTGTAAAGTGCTAAATGTGTTGTAAAGTGCTGAATGTGTTGTAAAGTGCTGAATGTGTTGTAAAGAGCTAAATGTGTTGTAAAGTGCTAAATGTGTTGTAAAGTGCTGAATGTGTTGTAAAGTGCTGAATGTGTTGTAAAGTGCTGAATGTGTTGTAAAGTGCTTAATGTGTTGTAAAGTGCTGTAAGTGTGGTAAAGTGCTGTAAGTGTTGTAAGGTGCTGTAAGTGTTGTAAGATGTTGTAATGTATTGTATCTGTGGTAATGAATTGTTAGTGTGGTAATGTGTTGTATGGGGAGTAATCTGTTGTACTGGTCCAATGTAAGTCAATGGGAAAAAGTGCTTGAACTTTTGTTAATATCTGAAAAAGTGCTAGAGGTGGAAGTGTGAAAAGTAATAGCAATAATGAGACGGTGAAGCCGGTCGTAACGATGTATAATTTGTTGAATTTGGTGAAAGCGTTGAAGAGTTGAAAAGTGCCAAAATCTGGCGGAAGTGGAAGAAGAAGAAGAAGAAGAAGAAGAAGAAGAAGAAGAATAAACAGTAGGAGAGCATATAGTGGCTGCATAGTCTATGCAGCCACTCAACTAGAAATGGTACAATGGCTGAAGCCATTGTGAGTGGCTGCATAGATGTTGGAAGGGTTAGGGATGAAGAAGGAAGAAGAAGAAGAGGAAAGAAGAAGAAGGAAGAGGAGGAGGAAGAAGAAGAAGGGGAAGAAGAGGAGGAAGGGGAAGAAGAGGAAGAAGGGGAAGAAGAGGAAGAAGAGGAAGAAGAGGAAGAAGGGGAAGAAGAGGAAGAAGAGGAAGAAAGGGAAGAAGGGGAAGAAGGGAAAGAAGAGGAAGAAGGGGAAGAAGAGGAAGAAGAGGAAGAAGAGAAAGAAGGGGAAGAAGAGGAAGAAGTGAAGAAGATGAAGAAGAATGTGTTGTAAGGGGCTGAAAGTGTTGTAAAGTGCTAAATGTGTTGTTAGGTGTTGAATTTGTTGTAAAGTGCTAAATGTGTTGTAAGGTGTTGAATTTGTTGTAGGGTGCTAAATGTGTTGTAAGGTGTTGAATGTGTTGTAAAGTGCTAAATGTGTTGTAAGGTGTTGAATTTGTTGTAAAGTGCTAAATGTGTTGTAAGGTGTTGAATTTGTTGTAAAGTGCTAAATGTGTTGTAAGGTGTTGTAAGTATTGTAAGATGTTGTAATGTATTGTATCTGTGGTGATGAATTGTTAGTGTGGTAATGTGTTGTATGGGGAGTAATCTGTTGTATTGGTCCAATGTAAGTCAATGGGAAAAAGTGCTTGAACTTTTGTTAATATCTGAAAAAGTGCTAAAGGTGGAAGTGTGAAAAGTAATAGCAATAATGAGACGGTGAAGCCGGTCGTAACGATGTATAATTTGTTGAATTTGGTGAAAGCGTTGAAGAGTTGAAAAGTGCCAAAATCTGGCGGAAGTGGAAGAAGAAGAAGAAGAAGAAGAAGAAGAACTAGAAATGGTACAATGGCTGAAGCCATTGTGAGTGGCTGCATAGATGTTGGAAGGGTTAGGGATGAAGAAGGAAGAGGAAGGGGAAGAAGAAGGAAGAAGAAAGAAGAGGAAAGAAGAAGAAGGAAGAGGAGGAGGAAGAAGAAGAAGGGGAAGAAGGGGAAGAAGAAGAAGGGGAAGAAGGGGAAGAAGAGGAAGAAGGGGAAGATGAGGAATAAGAGGAAGAAGGGGAAGAAGAGGAAGAAGAGGAAGAAGGGGAAGAAGAGGAAGAAGGGGAAGAAGAGGAAGAAGTGAAGAAGATGAAGTAAGAAGAATGTGTTGTAAGGGGCTGAAAGTGTTGTAAAGTGCTGAATGTGTTGTAAGGTGTTGTAAAGTGCTAAATGTGTTGTAAAGTGCTGAATGTGTTGTAAAGTGCTGAATTTGTTGTAAAGTGCTGAATGTGTTGTAAAGTGCTAAATGTGTTGTAAAGTGCTGAATGTGTATTCAAGTGCTAAATGTGTTGTAAAGTGCTAAATGTGTTGTAAGGTGTTGAATTTGTTGTAAAGTGCTAAATGTGTTGTAAGGTATTGAATGTTTTGTAAAGTGCTAAATGTGTTGTAAGGTGTTGAATGTGTTGTAAAGTGCTAAATGTGTTGTAAGGTGTTGAATTTGTTGTAAAGTGCTAAATGTGTTGTAAGGTTTTGAATTTGTTGTAAAGTGCTAAATTTGTTGTAAGGTGTTGAATTTGTGTTAAAGTGCTAAATGTGTTGTAAGGTGTTGAATTTGTTGTAAAGTGCTAAATGTGTTTTAAGTTGTTGAATGTGTTGTAAAGTGCTAAATGTGTTGTAAGGTGTTGAATTTGTTGTAAGGTGCTAAATGTGTTGTAAGGTGTTGAATTTGTTGTAAAGTGCTAAATGTGTTGTAAGGTGTTGAATTTGTTGTAAAGTGCTAAATGTGTTGTAAGGTGTTGAATTTGTTGTAAGGTGCTAAATATGTTGTAAGGTGTTGAATTTGTTGTAAGGTGCTAAATGTGTTGTAAGGTGCTATAAGTGTTGTAAGGTGTAGAATTTGTTGTAAAGTGCTAAATGTGTTGTAAGGTGTTGAATGTGTTATAAAGTGCTAAATGTGTTGTAAGGTGTTGAATTTGTTGTAAGGTGCTGAATGTGTTGTAAGGTGTTGAATTTGTTGTAAGGTGCTAAATGTGTTGTAAGGTGTTGAATGTGTTGTAAAGTGCTAAATGTGTTGTAAGGTGTTGAATTGGTTGTAAAGTGCTAAATGTGTTGTAAGGTGCTGCAAGTTTTGTAAGATGCTGTAATGTATTGTATCTGTGGTAATGAATTGTTAGTGTGGTAATGTGTTGTATGGGGAGTAATCTGTTGTACTGGTCCAATGTAAGTCAATGGGAAAAAGTGCTTGAACTTTTGTTAATATTTGAAAAAGTGCTAAAGGTGGAAGTTTAAAAAGTAATAGCAATAATGAGACGGTGAAGCCGGTCGTAACGATGTATAATTTGTTGAATTTGGTGAAAGCGTTGAGGAGTTGAAAAGTGCCAAAATCTGGCGGAAGTGGAAGAAGAAGAAGAAGAAGAAGAAGAAGAAGAAGAAGAAGAATAAACAGTAGGAGAGCATATAGTGGCTGCATAGTCTATGCAGCCACTCAATAAACAGTAGGAGAGCATATAGTGGCTGCATAGTCTATGCAGCCACTCAATAAACAGTAGGAGAGCATATAGTGGCTGCATAGTCTATGCAGCCACTCAATTAACTAAAGAGGTAAACATATTTTTATTTTATTTTAAAAAGCATACGTACACACAAATACATCAACGAAGATATGCCTCCAAGCGCACGCACACACACGCACGCGCGCACACACACACACACACACACGCACACACACACACACACACACACACACACACACACAACCTTCCCCTCCCTACACGGGCAATATTAATTATTTAAATGTATATTTCCTCCTCAGCCATGGTCCCTTCACCAATATATCATAGATTCTGAGTTACAAGTTAATATTGTCACATAAAACCCCGAAACTCCTTTCTAAGCCTCCACTTCTGAAGAGTCTGGTTCCAAACTAAGTCCTGAGTCCTGAGTCCTGAGTCCTGAGTCCTACGTACTGAGCCCTGAGTGGAAAATGTGCAGGTGTCTTCATTCTGTCACTTATCTTTGTGTGAGAAGTGAAATATTTCACAACAGCCCGGTCCTTTTTTTGACAGACAATATTTGGCCAGCTGGCAGCAAACCTCTGTCTTCTCTCACACCAGGCACCGCATGCGACACAAAGTTACGTAATCCATATGAACAAAACGCAAATGTTCATATTTTCAACATTGTGGGAAAATTAATGATAACAAAGGCTTAAGTTTAATTTATATATTTATCTTTGTGTCATCGGTGAAGCGAGCGAGAGAGAGATAGTTCAAGTATAATTCATTTCAATCATACATACTGTTATGTGTGTGTCTGTGTGTGTGTGTGTGCGTGCGTGTGTGGGAGAAGAGAGTGATACATAATGAATGAGGGTGCATGTTTTGCTGAATGTCATGTATGTTCTGTGATACATTTTTAAAATGTTGTTGTTATTATTATTTCTTATTTATTTTGTTTGTTTGTTTTTTGTAATGTTCTGTTTGCGATTGTACTTCTGTGTTTTTGTTTTGTGTTGTATTTGTGCTTTTGTTAAATTTTGTTGTGTTTATGTTTCATTAAATAGTAATTATTTATTTATTTACCTAATACATGTGATAAACTGCTAATGTAACCACCGCTGCCCAGGGACAGACTGACGGAAGCGGTGCAGCCAACCTGTGCCACACACTCACAACAGATAAGATTTTTATTTACTATAGTTTCATTGCTTTGTCTTTAACATATCTTTAACATATCTTTATTACGAGGACTAGCCTCTTGAGATGCATCATCTCGTTTTCAGGAGGGTCCTCAAAAATAGCAACACAAGTAGCAGCAGCGGTTGTCAAATAAATGCAGTTACAGTAAAGTGTAACAAATAAAAAACAAATGCAGCTTTGTAAAATCTACCTGTGTGAAGCAATCACATGGTAAACTTAAAATAAGGCATTGACTATTTACTGTCCATTTCTGGGATTTTCATTTCACAAGATCGCATCGAGAAGCAGATACAACTTCAACAACAACAACTTATTCTTGTACAGCCCTAAATCACAACAGAAGTCATCTCAGAGGACTTAACAAAACCATTGAAATCCAACACAGATCAGAGAATCAACAGTTAAAAAATAGTGCTCGAGTTACCATACTTCTCCAGCAGGGGGCTCCCTATGCAGCTTGACTGACAGTCTGAGGAGTTTAGCCTTCCCTGAGCCATATGCTAAACTAAAGAGGACTGTTTTAAGCCTAGCCTTGACTGTAGAGACTGTGTCCGAACGAAGACAGATAATAGTGTTGTTTAACCCCGAGGCTCATTATATTTGTGTTTGTTGTAATTACATATAGTCACCACCAGAGAGCGCTGCACAGATGATACAGGAAAAGGGAAAACAGCAGAAGTGTCAGGTGTCTGCAGCCACAACCTCATGTAATATGTATATTTGAATAAGACTCAGTTTCCTAGTATTTTGCTTTGAAATCTAACCATAAAACAATCAAAACACAGCTGTATTCTGGGCTCTTCAGAAAAAAATTTGGTTTAAAGTTTTGACCATTCATCAAGTATGAAAAAGGGAAATGTATTTGCACATGTAAGGCCAAAACATGCACCAAAATGTCTGATAAAGGAGATAAGAAAGTTTTACCTTATTATCAATATTCTGTGTTTGATTCTGTACAAAATGTAGTTACTTTAAAAAAACATAGTACAGCTTAATTTGACCTTTAGATTCAGATTCCGATTCATTTTATTCGCCATTTGCAGTAACACTACATTGGAATACATTAGTAAAAGTTCCCAGTGTGCACAGGACAAGTACAGACATAAAACAACATTAAAAGACATAAATAAAACAAATTTTAACTTTAGCGTGTACTTCTTGGGTTGTTTTACTTCCTGCCTGATTTTCCTGTTTATAAAACTCTTCCTGCCAACTTTAAAAGTTACATTTTTCAGACAGAACAATATGTTTTTTTCCAGACACACTTTATACTTTCATCATCATGTGTATTTTTGAAGCTGAGTTTTGGCTTGTGAATGCTTTGGTTGACCTCGGTCTGTAAAAATGCACTATATAAATAAAGATTACTTACTTATTTACTTAAATCTGATGGTGAATGTAACAAATATCAATCTCTGCAAAGAATTTTACTAAATTAAGTGAGTAAAGTGGTGTCTGTTGGGACAATAGAATTCCATATTCCTCTTTCCCAGCTAAGATAGATTTCAATAAGATTTTGATAAGATTTCAGTAAAATTTCAAAAAGATTTCAATAAGACATGTATTTATAATAGAGTGGAAAAAGTCCAGGAGAAATCAATTTTACTTTCCTTTTCTTTGTGTGAATCATTCATTCATTTGATCTAATTTTGTATAGCCCTAAACCACAGCAGCAGTTGTCTCGGATGATTTAACAAAGTTCCTGATTCCACAACAGCAGATCAGAGAATAAAACTGTTTACAATAACAACAAACATTATTATTTTTTACAGTCTATGACAAACACACAAGGAGGGTCCATAGGAAGTGGGATGATCCATGTCCATAAATGTCCTTAAATGACGAGCATGTCTTGCCTCAGTGTGTTTAAATTGATAAAAATACCGCCTTAAATGGATGTTATAATTACACAGGAGAGTCACAATTCTTCTTTTAGCTTGACTAAAAATCAAATGCAAAGGGCTCATATATGGGCTCATAATGCTCTCTCCCAATTGAATATAACATTATCCCCTTTAAAACGATGCCGGAACCAGACACGCCCGTTTAATTTTCACCCAAGATTTTTTCTGTCTTGAAATCCCCCTGGGGCTAGACCTTTGTGGTGGGAGCTAGGACAAGTGTGAAAGAACAGGAGGAGATGGGGAGGAGGAGGGTTGTGGCATGAATGAAGCTTCCTCGTGATATGAGGCGAGGAAGCTCCATGTTCTTCCCCTAATCCAGTTCTGAGTTGGGGGCAATCAGAGCTGCCACCCAATTCACACAGCCCCATTCAGGATCGTATGTGCTAATTATTGTGTCGTCGTAGTAGTAGGTGCACTTTATTTATCCCTGTAGGGCAATTTACCCTCTACATTTGACCCTGATGCCGCGACCCTGATGCCACGATCCTGATGCCACCAGGCCCCACGGGTCAGGGGCAGTGGTCGCTAGTACCGCGCGGGAACCATCTCCAGATGTTGAAGCTCTTGGTCACGACTGGAGCTGGAAGTTTAATAAAATGGTACAGATCATTCAGTAAACAAATAATACTTACCTAGACAATAATACACTACAGAAGGATAAGATAAGGCCATAAAACCATTGTGAGAGTGGGAGAGAAGAGGGGGGTGGGAGCCAAGGTTGTTATGAAAAAAAGCAATATTTCTACAATTAACACAGTAAAACAAAAACAAAGAAAATGTGTGACTGTTTCAAAGCCTGTGGTTGCGCTGGAGTCCCCAAGTCCCGCAGTGCATGAGGAAAAACAGCTCTCAGCCAATCAGAGGAGGCAGGATGGGCTGACTACTTCCGCCTTTCTTCTTCCTTATTTGGCAAAAATGGGCGTGGTTAGTGTGACTGGGGGAAAATGGTGGAAAGGAGACAGCAGTAGACACAACACAGCTACAAATTATCTTCATCTCGAGGTGAGTAAACATCTTCCTGACACTGATTTATACGATTTTAAAAGTGTTTGGGTTGAGTTTGTGACAGTGTAGAGTGGGATTGGGGATAAAACGTGAGCAGATGTTGTTTCAAAGCTCTTTCCTCTTTGTGTGAGAGGCAGGAAATGATAGAAAGGCTGTCTGCTAAACAAATTAGACTGGATTTAAGTTTGAGAATCTTTCACATAATATCTTACTATTTTGTTGCCTGTAAAACGTGTGTTTACTTTAGGATATGTTACTATGAGGACACACCCACTGTTCCACTGTTGTTAATTTTCCAGAAAGACAACATTGAGAAGGATGAATAATGCTGAAGATATGCCAGGATGGAATGGTATTATTATTACAGTCAGTGGTCTTACCAATAAAACAACAACAGTCACTTTAAAATAGTATCTGTAAAAGCAAACCAACCTTGGTTACTATGTCATAGAAATATTCACGTTGTAAACATTAACAGAACGTAGTAGTAGTAGTATCAGATTGACAAATTAATTAAAAAAATCAAAAAATATAGGAAAGCTTTATTTGTCGCTGTAGTGAAAGTGTCTCATGTAGAAATTCAACATTCCTTTGAAACAGATTACATTTGATTACATCTACATAATGAAACATAATTACTGTCATATTCCAAAGAAAGTTCATAAAAGGGGATTTCTTTAAATCTGCTGATACTGCGTAAAATGTATTATATATAGTGACGGCCCACTGCTTTTATACTGCCATATCATGGTAATGCTAAAGTTGACAATAATGACAAGGTAAACAATACTCTAATTATTATTACTACTATTATTAAATTATTTCATTATATCAAACCCAATCACATCATGTGTTTCAGAGTGATGAAAAATGAGGACCAGTCACAAAAATTAAATTTCAATTGAATTCAATCCAAGGTATTCTTGTATTGCCCTAAATCACAACAATAGTTATCTCAGGTGACTTAACAAAACCATTGAATTTGCCAACACAGATCAGAGAATCATACACAAAGAATAGAGAACCTAGGAGTAGGAATTGGTCCATGTCCAATGTCCATAAGTGATGATAAATATCCATAGATGTTGAAGAATGTGGAGTGTCCTGGATCATCACCACAGTCCTTTCTGTTAGACCCACAAAGAGACAACTGCATCAGAGGAAAAACTCTAAAACTCAGTGGGAAAAAAGTGAGAAACCTCAGGGAGAACCACTTTGAGAGAGGGATCTGCTCCCACAAAAAATGGAAAGGATCCTTAAAACCGTTGAATGAAATGGGAAGCCAAACCCATAGCCATAGTCTTATCATAACTTCTACACATCCCCCAAAGGTTCGAAAGGCTGTGCTTATTCACCCAGTATCTCCCGCTCGGTAAAACCTGAGCCCGCAGTTGTTGTGTGGTGGTAACAGAGTTGAACCGTCTTTTGTGCGTATGGCATATGTTCAGCAGCTGCAGAGGCAGAGGCTACAGGCCATGCAACTCGAGACTTGGCCTGAAGCTTGTACAATAGTGTGAGCTCATCTGGAAATCTTTTTGGCTGGCTTCATCCAAAAACATGTTCAAGCAAAGAAATCGAGGCATAAAAGATTTGAATTGGCACACACACCCACAAGAAGAGAATACAGAGTGAATCATAACTTTGTTGCATATTTGTGGTTGTTAGAGGGGTTTGAATGGGCTTGTTGGACTTGTGCTTTAATGTTTGCATTTGAGAAGGCCCGTTATGCTAAATAAGGAGAAAACTAGTAACGATTTTAGATGATTGAGCCACGCAAACGTATTATTCATGTCTGGAAAACTTAAATCCTTATGTGTTGATCAGACTTAAAGCTGGGGTACCTAACTTGTTTTGTTTAATAAATAATACATGTTGTGTGTCCCAATTGAAAGAGTCTTAAACGTAAAGTTTTGTAAACAAATCAGACCTGAGAGAGCAGTGATGTTTTGGACTGAGAGCTGATTGGCTGAGTGAGGGTGGTCCTCTCTTTTTAGAGAAAGTACCAAGCTGTTTTGAGAGCTATATACTGTAGGGACTAGTTGGATGTAGCCTGGCCTTAGTCATCCATAAACTCTGGTCAATTCATATTTTCGTTTGAAATGAAATGAGTATGATATGGTTTGGTAAGACCAGGCTAAGTTGGATGGATTTGAAGTGGTTTTGAGAAGTGTCTGATTTTCTGTAGGGCTTTGTGGTAAGATTTTGGGCTGGGTGAAAAAAGTAAAATCTCGATTTTATTTCCTGCTTTGGACGATTTCGATTTAAAATCTATTTTCATTGAAGTCACCAACGACAGACTTTGCCCTTAAATATTCTTTTTTATTTTTCCGCTCAATATTCAAGTTTCAAAACAATTTTTAATTTCTTGTACAGACTGTGCTGATATACGTATAATTCATGTGCTGCTGGAACTCTCACATCCTTCATTCCATTTCACCATTTTCACATTATTCACATTGAATTTTTTAAATTTGATTAATTGCCTAAATTTGATTTATTGCCCAGCCCTATTAAAAATATATATAATTTATTATGTATGTTTGTTTGGTGTCTAGTAATAATGGCGATGTAGGCATGGGTGTGTATAGACATATTTTCCTAAGTCAACTATGACAAAAGTAGAACTCTATATAAATGTTCTTGTCTTTTTCTGTCTTCAACAAATGTAATATCCGGTTTCTAACTATATTTGTGCTCTGTCTAGGTCACATACTCACACTTGTCTGGGTGAGGAGTCGTTGCGATGATGGCTGACGCAGCAAAGATAAAGAAACATGCCGCTACGGTCCTGTGTTGCGTGGAAAAGGTGTCCTCCTTCGCCTCCTCCATAGATCCTCTCTTTGGGATCGTTTCGTCTCTGGTTGGAATTGCCCGGAAAGGCCTGGTGGACGAGGAGGGCCACCCGCTGGACGGAGACTTCCAGGAGATCAACTCTAAACTGGAGACCATATCCAAGAAGAACCACAAGTGCCTGAAACAAATCCAAATCGACGAGATAAACGAAAATTACGGCAAGTATGAGGAGTACATCAAACATCAGTACGCGGCTTTTAACTCGATGGTGGCGAAGCTGAAGAAGGATCCGGACAGAACCCAGATCCACATGGAAACCTTTGAGAAAATCTATGAACGAGACAAGAGTGATCTCAGTCTCAATGTGTATTACAACGGTGTGATGGGATCGAGCTCTCTGTTTGGAAGGAACCTGCTCCGAGTGTATATGGAGCACTGCGATGGCGATTTGGAGATCATGGAGCACAGATGTTCGCACCTGACACACCTCTTTCACATGGGATTAATCTCACTGATGGCCTACACTTCTGTTACCGAAGACGACGAGGATGAGGTCCGGGAGAAGTGGGCGAAGCGGGTGGCCGACATCCAGGGTGAAATGCAGAAGGTGCTGAGTCAATGCAAAGATAAGCAAGCGCCCGCCTCGTAAAAAAAACGCAATTGTCTGCTATAGAGATGAAGGAAAAGCAGTAACCAAAGTCTACAGCTGTGGACCGACAGGAAAGACATGTTAACTACTACAGGATGCTGTACAAAGAAGCCATTGTTATAGTTGCATTTAAAACTATAAATATATACAGTAATATTATTTTTGTCTGCTGGAGTGTATGTATGTATATGCTGAGATGTTTATGTTTTAATTTAATAGAAGTTACTATGCTTCCAAATAAACTGGGATCTTGTGCAGACTTGTTTTTCATATATTTAACATTACATCCTTTATGGGCCTCCAGGCATAACATTTCAAAAGGGCGGCAAAATATGGAGACTTTTTATTTTACAGGAGTGACTATAGTTCCAACAGGTCTAAACCTAACCAGGGATTATACCTGAATGTGTTCAAATACTACAGTATCGTGTGTCTGGTTTAGGTATTTACTGGTTTTGCCATTTGAATGAACTTGTGGCTAAGTGATACAACCTGCTGTAATACCTGTTTAGGAAGTTAGGAATGAAGAAAATCCACAATTAACAAATGATTATTGCTGTCTATGAGATACTGGTAATCATGGTGAATAATTCAACTCAATTCATTCTTGTATCGCCCTAAATCACAACAGTATATCTCAGAGGACTTCTCAAAACCACTGAAATCGGCAACACAGATCAGAGAATCAAGCAGTTTAAACACAAAGAATAGAGAATACAGTAGGTATTGATCCATAGGGAGTTGACCAATGTCCGTAAATGTTGGTTGTCGGGCGGCACGGTGGCTGAGTGGATAGCACTCTCGCCTCTCAGCAAGAAGGTCCTGGGTTCGAATCCTGGTCGGACCAGGGCCTTTCTGAGTGGAGTTTGCATGTTCTCCCCGTGTCTGCGTAGGTTTCCTCAGGGTACTCCGGTTTCCCCTACCACTAAAAATATGTCCAATAGTTCTGGCATGCGCCTCCTGTACTGGCCCCGCTCCCATCTCTGTGTGGAGTGAGAGACAAATGCCCATAATTAACAATTGTAAACCGCTTTGAGACTCAGATCTGCAGTGAAAAGGCGGTATATAAATAAAGATTACTACAGTATTACTACTGCAGTTGTCCTGGATCATCACCACAGTCCCTTTTGTTAGACCCAGAAAAATAATAGTAATAGCATTTGTCAGAGCAGATTTAGGGCAAAGATTTCACCTGCTTCTACAACCTTTGGGCTGCAGATTCTCCAACGTATAAAGTGTTAATTATAATGTCTTTAAAGATTAGGAAACCCCCGCTTCGAGGACAACTCATGTAAAATATGTATTTACTTTTAAAACTGTTTTGGACTTGGACTGGTCTAGTTTGATTTGACTCAAAATAAAATATACATTTTTCTTTCACATTTCCAGGGGTCACATGTTTATATTTCACCTATTGTTTGACAAAAAATGAAACTTGAAGTGAACTTAGGTTGTACCAGTCTTGTACCATTGACCAGTCATGTCAAACTCAGGCTCGTGGGCTAAATCCGGCCTGCAAGACCATTTTTAGTGGCCCCTAAAATGGTTTTGATGTATTACTATTAATACAATTTCTATTTCTATTTTTAAATTGCAATATGCATACAAATACACAGAACTCTTGAGAGCAGCTGTGTTCAAGGTATTACTAAAAAATAAAACTACAAACTAACAAAAACAACATACATTCAGTAAGACAATTAATAATAATAATAATGATAAGAAGAAGATATGTTATTTATAATGCACTTTACATTTTACACCAAATCTCAAAGTGCTACAAAGTCAGCAGCATAGATAAAAGCATAACACATATAAAATCAAATAAAGAGACTAAGAAATTAGTTCATTTGTTAATTACGCCTTGGTAAAAAGATATATTTTTATCATCACAGATACTTTCAATATGTTCAATATGAGTTCTTTATTAATGACAGGGAAGCAAATTATGCTTTGGGATCAATTTCATTTTTCGTGAGGGGGGGAATTTTATTTTGCCATTTGTTTTTGTTTACGTGGTATTTACCCATAACCAGAGACAGTAAATAACACAGAGAGCTAATCTTATGTTGGGCCCTGCCTGCACTGAGTCCCCCTGGCCACCAGAGGCCGCTGTTTCTACGCAGCGATGGAACATGACGCCTCCGCCTGTGTGCGCCGCCCTGCCCCAAGTTACAGGCCTTTAATACACATTTATAACTAACATATTAACTGCACAACTACCTGCTTTTAATGCGAATACCATGCGGGGACAGACGGAGGACAGAGCAGCACGGAACAAGACGAGGACAGTTTTCTGCGCCTCTGGAAAAGTCGCATCTCCGTCGGTAAGTTTCTACAGTCTGTGGTTCCGATCAAAGTGAATATGTTTGTGGCTTTTGTGCTGCTGCTGTGGATGCTACTGTCCATATGTGACCAGGCTCGCGTTAGCAAACAAACGAGCTTAAAAGACATGATTATGCATTAAAATATTCAGTCCGACTTTGTTAAAAGATCTTTGTTATTATTACATTTTACACAGCGCCTGGTTTCCGGGGCGTGGCCTTCCTCTGAAGTTTATTTTGAACTCTTTGTACAAAAGCTTATTACCATGTTATTTAAAGCTATATTGGAGGATTTTCCCAAAATTTTAGGAAAGAATCGCCCTCTCCTCTTTCTGAACAAAACTCTGGTCTTGTTTGATGAGCACGTATCACCAGAATGATTGACAATTAGAAAGACCAATAGTGTTGATGATCCACCCGGAAGTAGAAAATCTTCCTATATACTTTTAAGTAAGTAAAGTTTATTTGTGTAGTGCCTTTCACAGATCAGGATCACAAAGTGTTTTGATTAGTTAAGCTAAAGAACACATTGAATATTATACATTTGAAACAGGCACGTGATACATTTAATCTGATAAAATATACACTGCCCAACTTTACTTACATCTTACTATTTACAGTCTATGCATCTTACACATATGAACAAGTAGTGTCAACCTGAAATTTCACTCATTGTTGTAGCTCTCATAAAAGTGGCATCCCAAACTGTATTTACAATAAAAATCACATTGACCACTTATTTCATAATTAACACAGTGTAAGTAACCCGTGCTGATCCTATTACAGTCATAGTGATGTATCTAAGATGAAAGCTTTACTGTTAAATAACTAATGGCTCTTCTGGCTTGCACTTGCTTTGAGAGCTCATATGGGTCCAAGAAATTATTGATGCACTGAGCTTGATATGCAGCCAAATCAATCTCAATAATCAATAGTCTTTTAATCCTATGCAGTCATTACTGATGGACTTTTGGAATGCCTTGAGATGACTTGTAATCATCTCTTTCTACAGTTTATGGCTGTAATCTGAATATAATGCAATTACAAAGGCTGTTTAATGCTGTGGTATAACAATAGTGGCATGTTTTCTGTTGACTAGGCATGAGTCTGCTCGGTATTTGGCCCGTTATAAAGATGCTGGATTAGGACTAGAGTAAAAAGACAGCGCTATGGGCAACGAAGACAGCCTGGAGGATGCTTTCGTGGCTGTCGTTCGCCCGAAAAGTCAAGTCAGTTTGAGCTCCAAGGAGTACAGAGCCAAAGCTTATGAGGTAAGCTTTATCATCATTAATGGACGTTGGTCTCTGCCCCTTATGGACCAATGGCTCTATGTGTTTCTTTGTATTTCTTGTGTTGAACTGTTTGATTCTCTAATCTGTGTTAGCGAATTCAACGGTTTTGTGAAGTCTTTCGAGAGAACTACTGATACAAGATTACATTGAATTGAAGCCATCAATTTACATGAAAAAACAGAATTCGTTCAAGAGCTATTTATTAGACTAGGTTTGACAGTAACATTGGTCCAACATAACACAGTGCTGATCATTTCAAAGTTATCACCAACTTTGGCCTGTTTTACTTAAACACATTTGAATATTGTCCAAGTTTATTTTACTACTACTCACTCACTGTAGATTGGTTGCAGAATAACATACTTCTGAAGATAAGTTAGTTAGTTGATTACTCTTTGCCTGTGGCCTCATCCATTTTTCATGACATTTTTTAGTGGGATCAATAATTTTTGGCTCATTTTATGTACTTTCCATTTATTTTCACTAAGATTCTACTGATTGAAGTGCCTTTGGAAGGAAAGGAGAAAAAACGAAAGAAAGTTCTGTTGGCGACAAAGATCCAGTCTGGAGGTGACAAGTCCAAGTCTATTTTGGATTATGTCGATGAAACTGTGAAAACAATGGCCAACACTCAAGGCTTCGTAGGTGAGTGGACAGAAATGACTATTATGGTATGTTTATATTATGCTACAATCATTTATGGTAAAAATGAAAGAACCATCTACCCTTTCAAGTGGGAGGTGATACTTTGTTTTTAAAGACCTTATGACGGGTTTTTTAAAAAAAAATAGTGGATATCAAAATTGCATGACAATATCAATTTGAAAGAGATTCCGGCAAAAAAAATCCTATATTTTATAAAAAGAACGTGTTTTTCATGAATTTAAGTTGTCTATGCTCTAACCTGTGTGTGACGTCATAGCGGGTTACGCCCATGCATTGAAAACCATGGATCTATGCCACAGGACTGCCTTTTCTCTCTCTTCTCTCCACTGGTGCCCAACACAATACTGCCCTCTACAGGTGACAATTGCTCACTACACATAAATTGCCGTTTTGAGTGTGAAAAAGTGTCCGAAGTGGGATTTGAACCCCAGTTTCTGGATTGGCAGTCCATCCACACAACCACTGGACTATCTCAGTGACAACGAAATGAAATATTCTAGTAGTTATATTAGACTCGCTGTACACGGCCTTGTCATCTTGAATATCCGCGAAAAAAGAACGAATACAAAATTGTAAACAACTTACAGCATTGAAACGTACCCGTTCTGACGTCACCAAGGGCTGTGAAGTTTTTTCGTTTCTAAGGGCGTTGCTATGGGGTTATTTCGATTTGGGGGGATCAGACAAAAAAAACAACAACTGATTTTGAAACCTTTAGTAGTTCTCTTCTAATATAAAATGGTATTACAACTGTATTTCTAAATAAATCAAACCCGTCATAAGGTCTTTAATGTTCTGTTTTTGACATAAACAAAATAAAGGTCAGAGTTGTGGAGAGGCAACATGGGTCACTGCTAAAATGTCTGTCTCAAGTTTCTCTTGATAGAGACTTTATTGATCCCTGAAGGAGAAATTCATGTGTCCAGTAGCTGCAGAAATACATGCATCCAAACAAAACAAATAAATAGATAATTTTAAAAGAAGCTGACAATAGTAATAAAATGCAACAGCAGAAGAAGGGGAGCAGGCGCTGGGTTTGGACCATTTTCTCTGCTCTGGTCCAAAGTAAAACGCTGAATGCTTTGTTAGCATTTTTCAGCATTTCAGAAAAAATAATAATTCAGATCTGCTTGGTTCGGACCATGAATCCTCTCCGCTCTGGTCTGGATCAGTGCAAAACCTTGAACACTGTACTGAAAGAAAAAAACCTATTGTAAAGCACAAAACAACAACTGTTTCAGAGTGACTCAGGACTTGCTGCCGTTTCCAGCGCGTTCACAATAAAAAAATACCAATTCTCACAGTTACCGCAACTAACAAGGAATTTTCTATAGGCCCAAAAATGTAAAACAATCATGAAAATGTACACATTCCTAAACCCATTTCTAAGCATTTTACCCATTCACAAGTCCTAACAGTATCAGTCTGTACTCTCTCTGCAGCAAAGAGAGTGGTGTATATGAAGAAATTCACCCTCGACGGAGAGAATGAAGGACGTGAGGCTTCTTTATTTGTAGTTCCGGCCAGTGTTAAAGGTGAGGCCCAGATGACATTACAACTAAACATATATCATTATGTTTTATCCGATATCTATGTTTTAATGTTGTTGTCTGGAGCAGATAATACCAAACCTGTTTACAATGCTGGGAGCCCAAACTTCTACTGCTTCCAGGACATGATGAGGGTCTGCAGCGAGACCAGCGCACACCTCGGCACAACCACCTCCAGGATGCTCCTCGCTTTAGACAAGTAAGACCTTCAACAGGGGAAAGGTCTAAGAGGCTTAGACTGACCATGTTCAAAACTAGGCTGAAAACATATATTATTAGCTCTGCATGAAACTGATTCTATTTAGTACTATTTACTGCTTTTATCTCCCTTTTTAAACCCACATTTTAGAGTTTTAACTTTTGTGCTATCCTCATGTCAAAGTTACCTGCCACGTGATTTGAAAATACCCTAAATAAAAGATTTTTTAGCTGAATTTTGATGATATTTACCACCCTGACCAGCCCTTAGTCATTTAGACCCTTTGAGACCCTAACTTAGGTATTTTTCTTCCATTTTTCTTAATCTGTGGTGGATAATTTTGACCCGAGGATACTTTTTGCTGCGCTGTTTTAAAATGAAATGATTGTATATTTATTTACTTTTTTTAATGCATCTTGATCTGTGTTTTTAAATTGCTTGGAATTGCCATAAAATTAAATGATTGATTGTTAAATTTACAACCGCTGCTTGTTGATACAGAAGTACTCTACTGTTCTGTGTTTGTGAGTTGAGATGGAGCATGGATACATTTAGGTAAATTCCTCATGGCAAGGCAAGTTTATCTGAATAGCACAGTTAATACCCGTGGCAACTTAAAGCAACTTTGAAATGGGGTGAAGAAGGAAGGACAGAAACAGGACAATTCTATGACTTTGTGATTTTCTTACACCAACACTTTCCTCGTTCAGGTGGTTAGCAGAGCAGCACACAGTACCTCACGCCATCCCAGCTTTGTTTCGACCGGCACCACTGGAGCGGGTGAAGACTAGCGTGAATAACCCGGCCTATGGTAACGACGGCAGCAAGCTGAGTGAGGAGGGTCTGCACATGGGATACACCGCTCTGGAGATCAAGAGTAAAATGATGTCTCTGGAAAAGGCCGAAATGTGCATCCACAACCCTCTGTACGGCTCCGACCTGCAGTACACCAACAGGGTGAGTGCTGCAAGGAGAGAATCCACACAGAATTATACAAGAATGTGGTTATAAGTTACGATATTGACATTAAAAAAGAGAATATAAAACATGAAAATGGCTCAAACAGAATTATATGCAAACTGTATATTGGAAATGTGCTGTAAATAGAACTGCAACCTGCTGGTTTTAGAAAATTATCTTTAGAATACTTGTAAGAAGAACCCTGTGAGTCACTATTGGACTATTTGAGTGATGGTAGTTCTTTCTGATTAACTTTTCTGTATGAAAAAGCTGATGTATAGATGTGACAGAGGTTAACAATGCATGCATCTGAAAACTGGTGAATGAAGAAAACTAAACCAAACTTGCTCTCAGGTGTTTGTGTGTTCGTGTGTGAGTGAGTGAGAGAGATGTGTGTTTAACCAGTATAAATGAGCAATATGAAGGTGAGGTTTTAACAAATTGTGAACGTGAAGACTTGTATTTTGACCCAATGTAAACCGTACATCCATGAATATCTGTTATAATTAATGTAATAACATTATATAACAGTAATGTTAACATCAGCCCAGGGACTACAGGTGGAAATGATCTCTTGATATAATATGGTACAATGCATCTTTCCCTTTGAGCTTAATGTTTATTTTACACTGTCCCTGTCGACTTAAATAAATAAACTAAACTATACTAAACTAATAAAATGTCATAAAACTAGTCCCTCGCTTTCACAACATTGTTCCATTTGTTGTGATGTTAAAGTCAAAGTTATGACATGTTGTTTTCTGACCATATTGCCTTAGTTTGATCAAAATCTAACTAAAATATCTGCTGAAAGTTACATGATCACAATGTAAACGAAGTCTGCGTCACATATTTCTCCTGTTCCTCATTTCAGTTTGTACTGAGACTAGTGAAGGCCAACGTCTTTCCACAGGATTCATTTCTATAGTGATGAAGTTTTATTCACAGGTAGACAAAGTCATTATTAATCCATATTTCGGACTTGGAGCTCCCGATTACTCCAAGATCCAAATCCCCACAAGAGAGAAGTGGCCCCACCCCAACTGCGTGTCAGAAGACAAGTGAGTTTTACAGCTGTTTGTGTATTGCAATTAATATCTGACAGAAAAGTTTGAATTATATTTTCTCTTCTCTCTTCAGAGACCGTCAGTGGGTGGATGACTTCCCCCTCCATCGCAGCGCCTGTGAGGGAGACACAGCGCTCCTTTTAAAACTTATAGACAGTGGATTTTCAGTCAAGCAGCTCGACAGCGACCACTGGGCCCCGATTCACTATGCATGCTGGTCAGTTTTATTAGTCAAAAAAATCTGCAGCTAGGGCTCTCTGGAATGAGACAAACTATTCCACATCAAGTTGTTGAGCTTTTAACCATGTTGCATCATCAGAAACAGACCTAGAGTTTTGTTCAGATTTATCCACGCTAATATCAGAGACTTCTGGCACAAACATGTAATTCTGTCCTTCTGTCTAAAAGCTTCTGTCTCTGTCCTGTAATATTGTTATCCTTCTGCAAAAGTAATGCACCTTTTCAAAATTGGAAAAAACCACAAAACCAATTGAAGTCTTCCCTCTAGTGGTAGCATAGGGAACGACAGGCAGAAAGGTTTTATCCCTTCATACTTGTTTGTAGGGCGACAGTAGCTCAGTTGGTAGAGCATTGGCCTTAAGGCCAGAAGGTCGTGTGTTCAATTCCCACCTCTGCACCTTCTCCACCAACTCCCACTGATGACTGCTGTCGTTGTGTCCTTGGGCAAGACACTTAACCCCACTTTGCCCAAAGCCCCCACTGAAAGATCAAGGCTATGCTCACAATCAGAGAGTAGCCGTCCTCCTGTGGACTCACCACCTGCAGAGGGTCAGTGAGGGGCTGGTGCTATGAGACTTGGGTGGCATCTCTGATTGCCACCCCCCTGACCCAGAAATGGATTAAAGGATAGAAAATGGATGGATGGATGGACTTGTTTGTACATTTTCTACTAAGTCCCTTAATAATTTCATTGGCCTGAATTGATGCATAATATATACTCTTCAATTTATCTATGTCAATGATGTCCAAACCTGTCCTCAAAGGCCACTACGGCTGCAGGTTTTACATCAGACCAAGTTCCTCCAGTGAGTTCAGTCTCATCCTGAAGATTTGAGGAAATGAGTGGAGTCTGCTCTGCTCCTGCTTGGTCTGAGATAAAACCGATTTGGAGACTTCTGATCTGTGCTAATTAAATCAACTTATTTCTTATGTAAATTTAGGCATGGGAAAGCTGAAGCCACCAAACTTCTGCTGGAAAAGGGAAACTGCAATCCGAATCTTCTGAACGGTCAGCTCAGCTCCCCTCTGCACTTCGCTGCCAGAGGAGGCCACGCTGAGATCGTTCAGCTGCTCCTGCAACACACCGAGATCGACCGGGTACTGGGCATATACTCATTTATACGCATTATTTACACTATGTTCATATGACCGAAGAATGATTTTAACCACAGCACATAGAAGACCAGCAGAAGAAGACGCCTCTTCAAGTGTGTGAGGAGAACAAACAGAATGAATGGGAAGAAACTGTGAAACTGCTGCAGCAAGCCGTCACCAAACCTGTAAGTCTGTATTTAGCTAAACTGAAACTGACACAATCCTCTGTCCATGCTGCTTTTGACTGGATTTGAGTGGACTGTCTAGAAAGGCGCCTATAATGTATTTTTATTATTATTATTGAAGAATTATGGTGTTTTCTCGTGTGTGTGCAATTTACAGTTATGCACATATCTTAAAATTCACTGACACAAGAATTATAGGAGTTTTATTTCTCTTTGTGGCGATTTTGGTTTATGTAGGATCAGTAGAAACTAAAAATCTTTGAACCATTTATCACAAAGGACAGTTACCTTTACAAGCCATCTCAAAATATTTATGAGAACGCATGAGCACATCTGAATGTACTGTAGTTAGTTTAGTTTTATAAAAAGACGTTAAATCCTCTCTTCCCTATTTTTTTATTTTTATTTTTAGATAATTTATGGCACACAATAAAACACACAAAACCAAAGACTATTAGACAATGTCAAATTCTACTGTAGCCGACACATAATTCTACACTCCTTCTTTACAGTACGAGAAAGTGCGCATCTATCGCATGGACGGCTCGTATCGATCGGTGGAGCTCAAACACGGGAACAACACCACAGTGCAGCAGATCATGGAAGGGATGAGGCTTTCCCCAGAAACACAGCAGTACTTCACCATCTGGATCTGCTCCGAGAATCTGCGTAAGTGCCACAAATATGCATTATCTACAACCGAAAATGATCAAATGATAAGGTTTAATTGTGAGGTAAAATATCACTATCTGAGCAAATATTTTAGGTCCTATTTGAGGAGTGGAGTGACGGAGAAGTGTGTGTCTGCTGAATGTGGAAGAAGCCTATTTGAGCATAAGCTAGCTGGAGCCAATGAACTGATATTTCGGGATTAGGGCAGCAGTAGCTCAGTTGGTAGAGCATTGGCCTTTGAGCCAGAAGGTCATGGGTTCGAGCCCACCTTTCACCATCGACTCCCACTGATGTCTGCTGTTGTTGTGTCCTTAGGCAAGACACTTCACCCCCAATGCCTAGAATGAGTCTGGTGTGTGTGAATGGTTGGTGGTGGTGGGAGGGGCCGATGGCACAGACTGGTTGCCTCACTTCTGTCAGTGTGCCCCAGGGCAGCTGTGGCTACAGTAGTAGTTTATCACCACTGTGTCTGGGGTGAATAATGACACATGTGAAGCGTCTTTGAGTGTCCGAATAAGCGCGATATAAAACCGATGCATTATTTTTATGAAATGGGCATTTCATTAAGCAGGAGGGTTATCATCCATAACCCTCAGGGTTATCATTTATTTACAGTTCCATGTTGCACACTTTCTCTGACTTTAACATAAAGTATATAAAAACTAACCAAACTAATACGTTTACAGATCCTAGCACCATTTTCTGGTTCATGTTTAATTTTATTATAATGACATTGAAAATATTCAGATTTTGTATTCATTTTCTTTGCCTAAATGGTGACCTTGTGGGACCTAAAAGACCGTGACTTTCAGATCTGCAGTTGAAGCCGTACCACAAGCCGCTGCAGCACCTCCGCATCTGGAGCGAGATCGTGAACGACCTCACGGTGCTCGACCCCCAACGAGAGGCGCCTCAGCTGTTCCTGCGTCGGGACGTCCGGCTGCCGCTGGACGCAGAGAAAAAGGTAAATATCAAAAGTCCTTGTTTATTCAAAACTTCTTTTTAGTAAGATGGGTCGCTTTTCTCTCTGAACCATTCCCCAAAGGACCTTCACACTGGTCCAAATGTCTATAAAGGGTTTGCACAAGAAAAAATGTAATTCAGGTAAAAATAGGGCTTTATAAGATACAGATTTATATGTGGGCTTTCAGGCTTTTTCATTTTTTGTCCAATGTAGACATTTTAGACCAGATTTCAATGAGTAAATTACCAGTCATAGAAATAATAATAATAAAAAAAGGTAAACATCAAAAGTCCTTGTTTATTTAGAACTTCTTTTTAGTAAGATGGGTCGCTTTTCTCTCTGGACCATTCCCCAAAGGCCCTTTAAACTGATCCAAATGTCTATTAAGGGTTTGTATAAATAATAAAGAATAAAATCAGGTCAAACAGGCCTTTTTATAAGATACAGATTTGTATGTGATTTTTTTCAGTTTTTGTCCAATGTAGACATTTTAGACCAGATTTCAATGAGTGAGTTACCAGTCATAACAAAAACATGATTCAAAATGTACTGTTTATTTTCTGTCTCTTCCTTCTCTCATCTCTCTGTGTGGTTTCGTAGGTGGAGGATCCATTGGCCATTCTCATCCTGTTTGACGAGGCTCGGCACAGTTTTTTAAAAGGTTTTTATCCGGCTCCGGACAGCAAACTGATCACACTGGCCAGTCTCCTGCTGCAGATCATCTACGGGAACTATGAGAGCAAGAAGCACAAGCAAGGATTCCTCAAGTAATTTACATTTTAATGAAACATTCTCAGCTTTCATTTTGATGTATAAAACTTTACTATGAATGTATGAAACTTGTTAAGAATCCATTATGGAAGGAAGAGAATTAACAATGGTAATACTGTGCTTGAGATGCATAAATTAACTGATTATAACATGTTTTCGCAGTGAGGAAAATCTGAAATCCATTGTGCCGATTTCTAAAGTTAAAAGCAAAGCCTATCACTGGACCAACCGGATCCTCCACGAGTACAAGGTAAAACCAGTGGGGGAGGGTCCCAGCTCAAAAGTGGCCAAAATGACGTGCGCTGACATGCTGCAATACCACCCCGGGCCGATGGGGGTGGACCCAGAAGAAGAATTAGCCAATGCTAACATATAGCGTTAGTAGACCTCTCAAAAACGTCTTTACAGGATGGACCAAAAGTTGGCTCTTGGCCCAAAGCTCCGTTCCACATGTGTGTCAATGCTGAGGGGGGTGATTTTTTTGGTCCACTCTAGTTTACTTGCTGTGAATTTTTGAAGTCTCTCGTTCAAATGAATGGAGCTGCGCCGGCTGACGCATGCGCAGATGCGTTTTTCCACAATTTTCTTGTGGGCGGGACCACTCGCGGCCATCTTGGATTGCTCCATGAAAGCACTTTTCATGGCCAACTCCTATGAACGGCGGAGATAGGCGTGACTCTGTCCGTTAATATATACAGTGTATGGGTAAAACACTATTAAAACATTATTTAGATTTTACTCTATAAACATTTCATTTAGGTCCAATTGAAATATGCAGTGAGGTTTCTTTATTAGGATTGAGGGCATAAAAAAGTACAGCATATGAATAAACAGAAACTTAAAAGGTTTTGATTCTCGTTTCTCTACAAAAACACCAACGAACCAATTGGACAAAATTGCTCATTTCAAAGTCAAGACCAACTTGGTGAATTCAAAGCCACATTCGTAACACTTTTGTTCATACATTTTGCAATAAAATGTGTTACAATTACCACTCCATCCATCCATGTTCTTCCCCTTAATCCATTTCTGGGTCAGGGGGGTGGCCAGAGATGTCACCCAGTACATAGAGCACCAGCCCCTCACTGATCCTCCTGCAGGTGCTGAGTCCACAGGAGGATGACTGCTCTTTGGCATAGCCTCAGTCTTTCAGCAGGGGCTTCAAGCAAAGTAGGGTTAAGTGTCTTGCCCAAGGACACAACGACAGCAGACATTAGTGGGAGTCAGTGGAGAAGGTCTCATGGTGGGCTCGAACCCACGACTTTCAGGCTCAAAGGCCAATGCTCTACCAAATGAGCCACTGTACGTAATTACCAATATTTCTGTAAAAAGAATCCCACCTCATGAAGAATCTCTGACGGGTTGATCCCTAAAAACAGTTGATGTTTATGGACACAGAAATGTTTTTTCTACTGGGTTAATCACAATAATCACTTCCAGGCTCTGAGCACGAGTGAAGGAGTGAGCAAAGAGATGCATCACCTGCAGCGGCTCTTCCTGCAGAGCTGCTGGGACGTCCCCTCGTACGGCGCCGCCTTCTTCACCGGACAGGTCTACACCAAGGCCAGCGCCAGCAGCCACAAGTGCATCCGTGTCTACGTGGGCGTCAACACCAAAGGCCTGCACCTCATGAACATGGAGACTAAGGTCAGAGCCGGAGATCAGTCACTACCACCAAACGAGTCACATCTTTGAAACAGATCTGAGAAGCTTTGACCTGCTCCTGTTAAAGTGAACCAGACCAACAATCATGAACATGCTCTAAGTCTGTGGATAATGTCTGTGGCTGGTTTTTTATCACAGAGCAGTCCTGATCTCCTCTGCTAAAGCCCATATAATTAATGTATATACTACCAATAGCAGCTTTGTACAGTCTCACTAATATGCAAATATATTTATCTGTGTTGTAAATATTATCCTATAAATTGCACTGATAAGATGCTAAACTGCATTTTGTTGCGTTGTTCTGACTTTGTAATGACTATCAAGTTGAATCTACACTAATCTAGTAGGTAAAGTATCATCTGGGAACTGGGTTATTTCCCATTTCTGATCGATAAAATACCCTTGAACCCCACTCACACTGGTGACTCCCACTTTGGAACTGGGCGGTTATTGAGGTGGTCCCACTTCACTTATGAGATGAACTTAGACAATATTGTCAAAAAATGTAGATTTGTAAAACACCATATAAACTTATAATGTTTGCAGTTTGTTAGGATATGGTTATCTAATTTATATACAAGCAGGTTCATTTGCCAAAACCCTCTGAAGAAGGAACTACTGTTTTTCAACGGAGACATATCCAACGTCTCAACACAACACTGCATTAAGCTGCTATTACCCCCAGACATCCTACTATATGTCTGGGGGTACTGTATGTACTGTATATGTACTGTATATATACTGTATATATACTGTATACGTATGAACTGGATATACACTTATTATCTTTGTCAATATATATTTAAGTGCGCTAAGTCGTCCAGAATTCCCCCCAACATTAATTCACACATATTTCTGACATAATTATACAGTATTTCCACCATGTGACCCGCCTCACACGTAAACTTTCTCACTAAATAGGAATGGTCCATAAAAAGACAAGTAGAAGTCTTTTGTTCATCTCGCTGTGGGGAAATTTCAGTTCGATGAATACGCATCAGGACATGCAGGGTACATTACTTCCGCGCTGCTTATAGGCACAGTGGGTAAAGTGTCTTGCCCAAGGACACAGCAACAGTTGGTGGAGAAGGTCTCATGGTGGGCTCAATCCCAGGATCTTCCGACTCAAAGGACAAAGCTCAAGCAACTGATCCACTGTCGACCCAAATGTAATTTTAGATTTTTCAGCCTCATGCAACAGAAGTCAGATGTGTTTTTGAAGCTTATTAAACGATCCATATTTCTGCTGTTTATGAATTGTTCAGTAACGTTCAGTCTGATGTTTCTCTCCTCTTCTGCAGGTGCTGCTGATCAGTTTAGAATATGGAACCTTCATGTGGCAGCTGGGACACGCAGACCAGTATTTTCAGATTCACAGCGGAGAAAACAAAATGAACTTCATAGTGCACACAAAACAGGTACGCATTTCATTTCAACTTGAAGTGGCTAAAGAAAGAGTAAATCTGGGTTTATCATCATTTCAATTGATCTTTTATGTTAAAGCTGGGGTACCTGAATTCTTTATTGTTCCATTATAGCTGTTTGACTCAACAGAAGGAGTCTTGTAAAAGTAAAATGTGAACAAATCAGACCATGATTTTTTTCATATACTTGTAAGAAAGAGCCCTGAGTGAGTCACTATTTGACGCTTTGGGCTGAGAGCTGATTGGACGAATGTGGGTGGGATAAAAAAAAAAAAATACATGTGAGAGAGACCAAAGAATACATGCTTGGGAAAACTAGTGGGGGCAGGTCCTGGTTCAAACAGGTCAATCTCACTCCTTGGCGGTGGGGGTGTACCCAGAGACAGAATTACCCAATGCTTCTGTATACAGCCTTCTTTCTTCTTGCAAACGGCTTTACAGGATGGTCCAAAAGTCACTTTTGCCTCAACGCTACGTTCCAGAGGCTGTCAATGCTGAGGACCAGCCTAGTTTAGCCGCTGTGGACTTTTGAATGCACTCGTTAAAAGAATGGGGCTCGTGCAGCTAACGTGTGCGCAAATGCGTTTACTCACATTATCCTGCGGGAGTGATATCAGATTCAGATTCAGATTCATTTATTTGCCATTTGCAGTAAAACCACATTGGATATTCATAGACTATGGATAGAACCCAATTGCTTTGAGAGCGAGGAAATAGCTTTATGGAGGTTTGTTGTTTTAAAGTTTTGTAACCAAGCTTTAATTGACTTTAATTGTGTAATGAATATTGTCCACATCATAACCATATTCTATTGTGTTTTTCTGTTTTGTTTTTCAGGCCGGTCTTATCGTGAAGCTCCTCATGAAGCTCAGTGGACAGATGACCACCAACGATAAAACCCAGACTTCAGATAAATACACTTTTGGTTAAACTCTCCGCTGCCAAACACCAGCTCCTCTGACGCCGCAATAACCTTTGGATCAAAGAGTCTACTTTTGTACAAGCAAATCCCTCTCATTTTACCAAGACAAAAATGTGTTGTTTGTAAATATGTTTATTTAATGTTTTGTTAAAATAAAGGGACAGATTTTGTGAACGTTTCTCAACATTTGTTTTTAGGGAAAAAAAGGATTTAAATTCTGTGTCTTTGGGTTTGTTTCAGGTTCACATCCTACCAGAGAGTTTTACTTGTCTCGCAGTGAGGATACGCAACACTAAATTCAAGAGCCCTCAAAAATAACAAACAAACATTGATTATTGCCTCTGAAATAATCAGAATTTTATCTTAAAACTGGGGCATCTTACTTTTTTCCTTGTAAATGCAAATCAAATCAAAGTTGTATATACCTCTTTTTATTTTCATTTTTAAAATCTTTTTCTTGCTTGTCAGTTGTGTTGCGTCTCCTCCTGGAGAAAGCCTGATCCATAGACTGTCTCTTTGGTCCATGGCCTTTGCTTGTTAGATCTTAGAAGCTGGGAGACGAATAAAGGTTATCTTATCTTAAGCAGGGCAGGGCCTGGTTAGTACGTGATGGGAGAGCTTTGGAATCCCGAGGCACCACAGTAGGGCAGCTGTGGCTGTAAAGTGTCTTTGTGTTCTTTGGCAAGACACTTAAGTCACATTTCCTGGGATGAGTCTGGTGTGTGAGTTCTGATTGGTGGTGGTCATAGACACAGGCGGCACGGTGGCTGAGTGGATAGCACTCTCGCCTCTCAGCAAGAAGGTCCTGGGTTCGAATCCCGGTCGGACCAGGGCCTTTCTGAGTGGAGTTTGCATGTTCTCCCCGTGTCTGCGTAGGTTTCCTCCGGGTACTCCGGTTTCCCCTACCACTAAAAAATATGTACAATAGGTCTGACATGCGCCTTGTGTACTGGTGACCCCGCTCCCATCTCTGTGTGGAGTGGGAGACAAATGCCCAAAAAATTAACAATTGTAAACCGCTTTGAGACTCAGATTTGCAGGTTCCCAAGGCAACCAGGGTTGCAGTAGTTTACCACATTATTCTAGTTTACTGCCAATTGTCCCGTTTTCTTAATTGTATTTCCAACTCTAATTCAATTGGTCCATATTAAAATATAGGGCAAAGATACAGTATCACCCATTATTGCTATTAAACATTACAGGTAAATGACACGTGCACAGTCAGCAGCAGTGTTCGTTGTACCGTCTGCAGAGATGTGAAGTGTGTGATCGATGTTTTAATTAAGACGTGCTTGAAAGTTTTAAACTCGTTTGAGCCTAAAAAGTCAATACAGAGAATGTTGTGACATCATATAAGCAGACATGGGTTCAGGAGCAGTGACCAATCAACGCTGCGCTTGAATGACTGACATGAAGGCTGTGGCCAATCAGAGTGCAGCGTTGATGAGGCGGGGGCGGTCCTACACTGACAGAGGAAAGCGATATACAAGTGGATGTGCAGGACCAGGGTTCAGGATTCGGTAGATTTGACACTGGAGCAGCCATGTCTTTGCACTTTTACAGCTTGAGCTCCAAACTTCTCTCAGAAACAGTGGAAAAGATGTGCGAGAACATGACGTCAGTGCTGCTCGCTGCGTCTGTCTTTACTCTGACCATTGGATACATCTCAAAAACCCTGCTGCAGAAGACCTCGGACTTGGATAAGGTAAGAAATCCACAAACTTAATATAGATGTGCCAATTAAAAGGCGTGTTCATGAATGTGTGCGGCGTGTGTTGCAGAAGCACCCCCCGTACATCTCCTCTGCTCTCCCATTCCTGGGTCATGCCATCGCCTTTGGGAAAAGTCCCATAGATTTCCTTGAAAACGCCTATGAAAAGGTAAGATTTCAATAATAATGTGTTTGTCAGCTCGCATGCAGTCTTCTAATACAGTTTATTTAATTTGACTTAAAAAATTAACTGAATTATGGATGAAAAAATGTGTATGTTAAATTTATTTATTTTCATACTTTAAAATCAAAGAAATGCAGGTGTCGCATACAGAGTTATAGTCATTAAATCTAGTAAGTCTGCAAGTCAACACTCTTTATAATTGATGACGTAAAACACTGCGCTTCCGGGTCCTGGCTGAAACTAATTTCTGCAACTACCACTAAGCAATCAACATTCAATTTCAAGATATAATCACTCAATTCTACCACAAATAAAAAACATTGAACACATTGGTAACCTATGATACTATTTGGAAAATATCATATTCATAAATCAAAAGGTTCTCAACCATAACCCCAATTGGAAATAAAACGGTGTCTACAATCATTCCAAAGCAGGTCAAATAAGAGAACAGTAACTTGACTTTTCATATTTAAATAAATAGAAAATAATAATATTCAACTCCTTGACTTTACGAGCATAGTTCACAACACCTGTGTGTGTGTGTGTATATGTTTTTATTTTTTTTTAAACTGATTAAAAACTGGCATAAAATCAAGTAAGAGCAAAAGTTGAGCTGTACAGTAGCAGTTTTGAACAATTTACAGCCCTAGTGTCTTTTTACACTGAACTCTACTTTCCTCACGACAGGAGATGTTTCCGTAGATGTAATGGAGGTTACGTGGCACATCCATGGATCAAGGGCACATTACACCAATCCACCTTTGCACTGGCTGCCTTTTCATTTTAGAATTGATTTTAAGATTGTATTTTTTACCTGTAAAGCTTTGAATGAGCTGGTCCTGCAGTACATCTCAGACCTCATTGAAACTTAGTTATTCCTATGTGGATTTACTGCAAATGGAAAATAGATTGAATCTTATATTTGCTTGTCATTGGTTTCACTTGTATTTGTGCAGCTCGCAGACCTGCATGATTAAACACAATTTCATCTTTCAATCCAATCCAATCCACTTTATCTATACAGCACATTAAATAAAACATATACTGTACAGAGATCAAATCAACACTTTTAGATTTATAGGTTTGCCAGCTTGACTCTGAGGAGCACAGGGACTGGACTCCTGTTAGTGCCCAGAGTCAGAACTAAACATGGGGAGGCTGCTTTTCAGATTCATGCTGCTAAAATCTGGAACAGTCTTCCTGAAGATGTGAGACAGGCTTCCTCTCTGACAATGTTTAAAACCAGGTTAAAAAGCTGTGCATGACCTGAGGGATTTTATATTTTTATCTTTCTTTTTAATGTTCTGTGATTATTTATGATTTTAATGCTTTCTTGTTCAGCACTTTGAGTTGCCTTGTGTATGAATTGTGCTATACTAATAAACTTGCCTTGCCTTTATATAATGTGCCGTCTGTGAATAAACGTGGTTCCTCTTGTCCCCTCAGTACGGTCCGGTCTTCAGCTTCACGATGGTGGGAAAGACCTTCACGTACCTTCTGGGCAGTGAAGCAGCCACTCTCATGTTCAACAGTAGGAACGAGGATCTGAACGCGGAGGACGTTTACTCCAAACTCACCACTCCAGTGTTCGGGAAAGGAGTGGCCTACGACGTCCCCAACGCTGTACGCCCCGCGACATATCTATACATGTTATTGTTCATATGTGAGGTTTTTGGGTTTAATGGTTAATGTTCGTTTGCAGCTGTTTTTAGAGCAGAAGAAGTTACTGAAGACTGGTCTGAACATTGCTCATTTTAAACAACATGTCAAGATCATAGAAGACGAGACCATCGAGTATTTCCAGAGATGGGGAGACAGCGGGGAAGAAAGTAAGTCTATTTAATGATGTATACCTGCCCCTGTATCCATCGTGACTCATTCAGTGGGATAGAATAGTCTCCGTAAGTTTAGTTTTGCATTTAGCAGTTTAGATGTAATTATGTAGCCTGGCCTTATCCATCCGTACTCTCCGCTTAATCATCATGTCCTGCATGTTTCGACCAATCAGAGAGCGCGGGAGGCGGGTGTTGTAGTTAGATGTGGGTGACGTCAAGAGTTTGCGTCGAACGGGCAGGTTGTAGTTTGGCGAAGAATGCGATAGTAAAGTATTCTGGTCTGGATCTATCATGAAACTGAAGCCGGAGCAAGAGGAATGTTTAGCAAATGTAATCGCTGCAAAGATTGTGGCGCTACTCTCCACAGGCTCCGTTAACGGCAAAGGAGATGGCTAAAGCTAGGCTAAATGCTAACGACTCACTCGGGCGCATTACATACGTCACAGTAAACTCAGATCCAATCGTTTCAATCTGCAAAAGGAGTTAACCCCTCCCTCCTGTTAACGGAGTCAATGGAGCAAATCCAGACCTTAGTATGAAATGTAATGTGTACTATGGTGTGGTAAGACCAGTTTTTCAACCTGTGGGCCGTGGCATGTTAGTGTGCCTTAAGTTGTTATTTAATGTGCCTTGGGAAATGATCCAATCTCACCTACTTGGTCAAAATAATGTGAAAAACAATGATTATAAGATTATAAATACTTCTTTGCTCTTCTCTGATTTTCTTTATAATACACTTTGAGAATGACTTTGTTTTGCTAATAAAGGCTGCAGAGTTACATCAGTTTGGCTCAGGTTCAGCTGTCGGTGTGACACGGCTCAAAAAGGTTGGGGAAAGCTGCAATAGTGTTATGCCATGTAGTAGGAGCTCTGTGTAATGTATTTTAAAGCTGGGGTACCTAACTTCCAACATCCTGTAAAAGCAGCTGAGTCAGAGTGTCTCGTTTACACTTTTCTGTCTGAAATATCTGCTCTTAAAGATGTGACCAAGGCCAAAAATACATACAACTAACAGAACCAAACTAGCTGAATATTTAGAATTTTATATTTGATTTTTTTGTGTTTTTGAAACATTGGTTCCTCAGTTTTTAAACAGAGACGAGTCATTTCATTTGGAGATGTCGTGGAGATATTGTTTCTCATAACACTGTGAAAAATTACTAAAATACAATGTGATAAATTGCTGGAATCAAGGTTTTTTATTTTATTTTGACTGTCTTAAAACAAGCTTTGCCTACGGGAAAAGCTTTTTGGTATTATTTCAAGTTCTGTTGCAATTTATTTTTTCATTCCAACAAGACATTTCTATTTTTTTCTTGTCCCATTGGTAAATCTTGGTCTTGAGTCTTGAGTCAAAATGTGCTGAAATTTAGATAAAAACACTGCACTCATTACCTTTTTTAAAATTATTTTTTGCAGTGAAAACGCCTAAACGTCTCTAAATGTTTTTGTTTATTTTCTCCAGATTTGTTCGAAGCCTTGTCGGAGCTGATCATCCTGACGGCCAGCAGCTGTCTCCACGGTAACGAGATCCGGGCCATGTTGGACGAGAAGGTGGCCCAGCTCTACGCCGACCTGGACGGAGGCTTCAGTCACGCCGCGTGGCTCCTCCCCGGCTGGCTGCCCCTGCCCAGCTTCAGGTAACGTCATCACACATTCATAAAGTCATGGATAGTGGAAAAGAATACTGAATACTGTATCTATATCAGAAGAAGTGATGGACATGTGATAATTACAATTAAATACATTAGTAATCGGATACTTGTGGCATTTTGCTAATTTGGTGATTCAGTGATCTCTGGTTGACAAGTCTCCACAGATACAGTACTTTATCTCACTGGAAGAACCTGCTCTACCCGAGGTCTTTGATCCTGTAAATATTCCTGAAATATTTCATTACGGAGACTTTTTTTTTCTTGACATAAAAATCTGTTTGGAAATTGTCTTTGCGCTGAATAGATGGCCGTAATTTAGATCCTGATAATCCCAGTCTACACACCATAAAGAGCAGCAGCAAACATATATTTTTCTAAGTATAAAATAGAAACAGGTCTAAAATGCTTTTATGGCCACTTTACTGAGTTCTTATGCAAATATATTTTTACTGTTTTTGTTTTAGTCAAATGTTGTGAATTTGTTTGTAGTGTGTTTGAGTAAATATGTAACTTTTTTTTTTTTTTTTTAAATAGAAAACGGGACAGAGCTCACAGAGAAATCAAGAATATTTTCTTCAAAGTGATTCAGAGGAGGAGACAGTCGGAGGAGAAGGTGGACGACATCCTGCAAACGCTCATCGACGCCAGCTACAAGTAATTATCATAGAAATACTAATAATCTAAATGTAATCAGAGGGACATTGGATTTTGGTCATTTTAACCATGAACTGAACTTCACAACCTAAAATGTCGGAAAACCATTTTTAAAGCTCTACAAAACAGTATTGTTTTTCATTACTTAGAATTGATGTTTTTCTCTGGGTACGGAGCTGCAAAGTCTCCGCCCTCCTCCCATGGATCTACTCTATTATCCTGTTATAATTCAATGGGGAGAGACACAGAAGTTTAAAAGACTGCTGGGGGCTAATTAACAATGCAGTGATTAATGACAATAAAACCTGAATGCTCTAGTCCACATTTGTTTCTTAAAAATCTGCTGAATTGTACACTTTTGAATACGGAAAGAACATGCAAACTGCTCTCAGAAAGCCGGGGAATGGAGTCTGTTTCCAAACTCCAATTAGAGAGGACTGTGAAGGAGGCGGGACTTAGCCGCTCTGTAGACCAATCCTCGCTTTAGGTCGACACTCACAATATTATCAAATCAACACAGATTTGGCCTAATTCAAGCAAGAATTACCCTAATTTTTCAGTGACTAGCAGTTATCTCAAAATCCTTGAAATGATTCTCACCTTAATGATGTAAGAAAATAAAAAGTCAATATACAAAAGGAATGATCACAAAGTCACTAAACTATAGTCTAAACCCTGGTGTTGTGCAGAGACGGGCGTCCTCTGAGCGATGATGAGATCTCGGGGATGCTGATCGGGCTGCTCCTGGCCGGGCAGCACACCTCCTCCACCACCTCCTCCTGGATGGGCTTCTTTCTGGCTCGGGACAAGTCTCTGCAGGATCGATGCTTCGCTGAACAGAAAACTGTGTTTGGAGACGACCTGCCGCCGCTAAACTTCGATCAGGTCAGACATGATTTTTTTCACTCATTTTCAGGACTTCCAACGTCCTGGCCCCAAATGTCCTGAAAAAGAGATTCTGCAAACTCTGTGGGAAGTTTCTGGTTTAATAAAGGTCGACCACATTAGACTCTTTTAACCCAAAACATCTGCGATTATAGATATTGTCAAAAAGCTACAGGGACTCAGTTGGTGGAGCATTGGCCTTTGAGCCTGAAGGTCGTACTCTCACTGCTCCAACTGATGTCTGCTGTCGTTGTGTCCCTGGGCAAGACACTGAACCCCACTTTGCCTGAAGCCCCCTCTGATACACGAAGGCCATGCCATCGCTGTCGGAGCAGCTGGTGCTATGAGCGTTGGGTGGCAGCTCTGATTACCACCCCCCGACCCAGAAATGGATTAATAAAGGGGTTGAAATTGAATGAATATATTCTCAAAATAGAAGATGCCAAATTACAGTATTTATTTATTCTGCAGCTGCAAACTGAACCAGGAGCTCTGTTAAAACAATTAAGGAAGTAATCGGATTTAAACCTTTTCCAAAACACTTAATTGTAATGATTGTGACCTGGACATTTCAGCTGCTGCATACCAACATCCAGACCAAAGCTTTTTTTTACTTCTATGACTTTTGTTTGAACTAGATCTTCTCAATGAAACAATCTTAATATGTTTGTTTTAGTTGAAAGACCTGAGTTTGCTGGATCGCTGTTTAAAAGAGACCCTCCGCCTTCGCCCTCCGATCATGACCATGATGAGAATGGCTCGTTCCCCTCAGGTACAGGACGCTCTTCTGCTATTTCAGTCCATTGTCACATGACGGTTTTCCTCTTATCTGTGTTTAATTATATTTGCGATGTGTATTTCCCAGACTGCAGCGGGCTACACCATCCCTGTGGGTCACCAGGTCTGCGTGTCTCCCACCGTGAACCACCGCTTACAAGACACGTGGAACGAAAGACTGGAATTCAACCCCGATCGGTACCTCCTCGATAATCCTGCTGCTGGGGAGAAGTTTGCATACATCCCGTTTGGAGCCGGTGAGAGCCACAAACTCAGTATTTACAACTTGCATGCAAAAGCCAGAACCCGTCAGACCTCTGAAGCTGTGGAGGGCTTTGGCAGAGATAGTATCACTCAGATTGGGAAAAAAGACATGACGTGTGCAAACATGTTAAATATGGTTTGTCTCGCCTCTGTCAGTGTGCCCCAGGGCAGCTGTGGCTACAGTAGTTTATCTCCACCACATATGGAGTGAAAGAATATTGACATGTGAAGCGTCTTTGAGTGTTCTGATTATTATTATTTGTGTTGAAAGTTCTCAAACGTCATTACTACAAAGTGCCAACATAAGTATAGCAGCAGCTCACAATAGTGAATAGTGCCTTTTTATTATACAATATAATCTGGGATATCGATTCTTGTCAGTAAATATAGAGCAGTGTCTGTGTGAAAAGTGATTTTATGAATGCAGTAACAAGAAACACAAAAAGTGGGTAAATGGTGGTCTGGCCTTATCCATCCGTACTCTCCGCTCAATCATCATTTCATGTAACGTCTGGGTCTGGTCCCTGTGTTAGCGAATACAATCGGTTGGCTTCCACCTGACCAATCAGAGCGCGGGAGGCCGGTGTTGTAGTTAGTTGTGGGATAAGTCAAGAATTTGCGGCGAACGGGCAGGTTGTAGTTTGACGAAGAATGCGATAGTAAAGTAATCCGGTCTGGTTCTATCAGGAAATTGAAGCCGGAACAATAGGAATGTTTAGCAAATGTAATCGCTGCAAAGATTGTGGCGCTACTCCCCACAGGCTCCGTTAGCGGCAAAGGAGATGGCTAAAGCTAGGCTAAATGCTAACGATTCACTCGGGCACATTACATACGTCACGGTAAACTCAGATCTAATGGTTTCAATCTGCAAAAGGAGTTAACCCCTCCCACCTGTTCACGGAGGACCATAGTACAAAATGTGTACTATGGTGTGGTGCGACCAGGCTTGGTTAATGGTTAAGTAGGAAGAAAATGTGATAATTTGGATGAGAGTAAATGTCTCGCTGTATGACAAATATAAAGCACTATTAAAATACGTCTCTGTGAAAACTATGGCGCTGTTTCCAGGTCGTCATCGGTGCATTGGGGAAAACTTTGCCTACGTCCAAATCAAAACCATCTGGTCGACGATGCTGCGGCTGTTCGAGTTCGAGCTCGTGGACGGCTACTTTCCGACGATCAACTACACAACAATGATCCACACTCCACACAATCCCGTCATCAGATACAGAAGGAGGAACCTGTGAGACTTTTCCACAGAGAACCACACGTGTCCGATCTCTGCACTTTCTGCCTCTCGCCTTAACCGGGACTTTCCTTTTGTAAAAATACATCGACATCTTACTGTGACTAAGGATTGCCTCTCCACAGAACTGACTCGGCCTCATTCTCTCCATACTGGAACCAATCCAAGCAAAGCGATAACAGCAAATGTTATGTGGTGCATCTTCATCTGTGGTGTTTTAAACCTTTGTAGAATAGCGTGGGAGAAAATATGATTTGGTGAGAACAGCATTCTATATTTACCATCATTTCCGGATTATTAGGTGCAGTTATTTGAACTCTGCAGACTTAATTTTGTGATGTTTATGCATTTTTAGCTGTTGATCTGTTGAATGACATGAAAAAGTCCCAAAATGTCTGCGGCCGTTACCGCTGAATGTTCAGACCCACTCTTGTTTTGTCCCCAGCTTGTTTGTCCAGTGGAGGGCGCTCTACTTCAACACTGATTCGTTCATGCCCATATTAACAGCGCTCCAAGACGCCGTTTTGGACGTAACAAAAGTGGACACAATTGTTACGTCCAAAACGCCCACTTTTGGACGAAACAATATTTTGTTTTGCATATTGTAAAATCTATAATTACATATATTATAGTTATATCTCCAACCTTTAATCATTGAATAGTCTGTCCTGTTATTTCTTCCGTTCACAAAGCCTCCAACACGACATGCCCTGAATGTAACAATTATGTCCCCAAAGTTCAATAGTTTTTTTGAAAGGCATCCATTTTTCTTGAAATAGTTTTAGCCGCCCTTCAGAGATTATACTATATATATATAGGCTACATAGTATTTATTTTATTTTAATTAAGGTACAATTTTTTTTTTGTTTACATTTTATTGTTGCTTGAAGTTAGATCGAGCAACTGTACAGATTAGTGTGGAGGGCGCCAGATTCCTGGTGTTTACGTGAACAGCAGAGAGCCGACACAGAGCCCTATTTATCAGCTGTTGATCTCTAGAGCTATTGTAGACACATTCCTGCTTCCTGGTTTGTTTATGTGAACAGTAGAGAGCCGACCTGCAGCTATTTGATAAAAGGAGTATTACTATTGTGTCTGTATTAAGTTTCCGAATAAAGAGGATTACCAATGCAGATTAGAGAATTAGATTAAAAAAAATAGTATGAACAACTTAAGATGAGATTTGTAGGTTTCCCACTTGTTAAAATTTGACATTGCTCTTACAATCATTCCTTGTAAATTGACATTATTTTTGTATTACTAGTATTTTTATAATTTAGTGATTTATCGAGTCCAGAAGCAATAAAACATTTGAACAACATTTCAAGATAGCGTATTTCTCTTTAATTCAGTTTTTGACAAAATATCCCAAAAATTCGTAGGTCCTGGGCTTTACAAAAATACGTTCTCTACAAATGTCTGTCGGCCTTAAACAAAACACAGTGTAGTGAAGATCCAGTAGCAGCCTTCGTGACAGTAAACCCATCCACTCCCATTCAACAAACACATACTTATAAATTAACTCATCATAAATTAGCAGTAGACAAAAATACATGATTACAGACACAACAGAGAGGCAGATTTAAATACAAACATAGCCGTGTTTTCAAGTGCTGGCCAGAAACAGCCTGATAACATGTCGAACAATAATAAAAAAAAAAAAAAGGGTTTTGGTCCAGATGAAAAAGTCTACAGCGAGAACAGCAGAGAGCGCTCAGCACACGGAAAAGGCAACTGAGTTTCTTCAAGCCAAAGTAATCTCCCTCTACCTCCTTAAGCCAAAGTGCAATTGAGAATATGAAGAAGAAGCACCTGCGGAGACGAGAGCAGAAAGAAATTAGCAATAATTAAACTGGAAATGAGACATGGGCAAAGAGGCGTCTGAGAGCGCCGCGCTGAAGAGGCTGTTCACAAGTTACTACAGGGTGCTTGTTCTTTTTCCTAATTAAGATTCCAGACTTCTTAAACTGATTTATTTCCCCCCAAGACCTCAACTTTATTTACTTGTATACTTGTGTTCCAACTGCATTTGACAACACGCAACGACCCATTTCTGTTGACCACTAGGCTGGCTATGTGTCTCAGCAGTGACATCACGTTGATTGGATCATTCAGGTTAATACAGTACGTGACCAGTTTGTGAAATTATAGATTTATGGCCTACCTTCCTGTTTCTCACATCACGATGCCTTTGAGCACACTGTCAAATTCTACCATACATTTTTCCCCCATACTTTTTTAAGATTTTCACACAAAATTCAAGACTTTTCAAGGTCTGGAAAAGAGTGTTTCAAAATTCCATACTTATTAAGAATTTCACGACTTGCGCACACACCCTGTACACAACTTATTCATTAGAACAATTAGAGAAATATATATGTTTCTACTTCTTCTGTCAATCAACTTTTATTCGTGGAGCACCTTCCTACATGAGGCAACACAAAGAGCCTCAACCCACGTCACATCAAGCATAAACCTTCAAATCTACATATATTAAAGAATACCATAAAAACAAAGATTAAGATCACGAGAAATATTAAAAATACAGAATAAAATCACTAGTAATTGAAAACCTTAAAATCACACACAGGATTAAAGTAATAAAAAGCCATAGTGTATTAAAATGAGTAAAGAAATGTTGACTTTTCATGACAATTACCAAACAAAGTCTAAATGATGGGTTTTTGTATTTGAAATAGGTCTAAACTATTAAACTCACATGTATGAGAGGCTGGCAGCTGTCGACAAGTTAGAAATACTTTGTGATTTTTAGATTAGATTTATCCTGGTATAAGCCATCCATAAACATATGATGAGACAAGAGATACGTTAAGCCCAGACTAGACTAGATTGACAAATGATTGAAAATGGATTTATCAGGGGCCTGCAGGACATGGTTAGGGTTAGGCTAATCTCGAGTGGTGTATTTGGCATGAAAAAAAAACATATCTAAAAATGTCAAACACACGAACTGCTCTTGTTTATCTCCGATCGTGTCCACTAGATGGCGCCTGTGTTCTGAAGGCAGGAGAGATAATTGATCAAATTGTCTCTCATACAAAACTAGCCTTGAGCTTATTCCCCCTAATTCTCTGGAGTAGGTTTTAATACACACTGTTCCATTCAAATAAATCGCATCACAAAAGTCTGTATGGTCAACTATGAAGCAGTATTTAAGTATTTCATTACAACATGTTTTAGAAGTCCTCATTAGTCATCATTTTTCACTATATTCGGCCCAGGAGGTTGGACTGTCTTTGTGCCTGGGTCCAAACTACAGCGGTTCATTTGGAGCACTGTCCCCTTTTCAACTAAACTAAACTAAACTAAGCTAAAGTAAAGTCTTGTACCTGATGTGACGGTCCCCAGCCGCCGCTGCAGAGCCTCCAGTCTGGAGATGTAGTCTGTGAGCGCTCGGTCCGGGTCGTAGCTTTGGAGATGAGAACACGTGAGCGGCTCCGTGGACATGTGCAACCTGCAAACACATGTCCAAGAGTTAGCGACACAGACAGTAGCACAATGTGTGATCCAGTCCCACAATTCATCCTCTACATTACTATTACAATCTAAAAGAAAGACCCAGAAGAAACCCATAGGTAGTAAATGTGTTCTCATCTTACCGGTGTTGAGCGGAGGAGGATCTGGGAGATTCTCGTCCACTTCGGCCTCTGCTGCTGGAGCCCCCTTTGTCTCGGTCTCTGTCTCTGCAGATTTCCACGCTGCCCGGGTGTAGATACGGCGAATCCCTCACGTCTGTACCTTACATTTAACATAAAAACATCAACTCAAGACTTTGTAGCTTTGGGAACTGTTTGTGAAAGTTTTATAAAAGACATATTTTTTTACCTAGACTTTGACCCGAGCCATTTTTATTGGCTGTGGAGGACGGAGAGCCGCTCATTCCAGTCGCTTTGGTCCATCTCCTCACAAGAAACCGCATTCTGTAAGAAAAAAGGCAGTTCATTTTACCGTTCTACTGTTCTAATACAAATATTCACGCTTCGTTTTGTTCCTGTTTCTTGGACAATAAAATGCTGAGTAATCATAATATAAACACACTAAGAGCTGCTTTGTAAGAAACAATTGGATACAGCCTCTTAAAAGCTGGGGTACCCAACTTCATTTTACAAGTTTATTTTGCATGGCAAATCAAAATACTTTACAAAACAAGAAAAAAAACATTAAAATTGCGCAAGGCATTACATTGAGGGTATTAAAGAGCATAGAAAAGAACCTGATTGAATTATTTGTGGTTTCCTACTGTATTTTTGATGTATACTGGAGCCTCTTACTTGAAAACATGATATTTTTTGCACTATTTGACGCTTTGGGCTGAGAGTCCTCTAAAGAAGTGACAGATACAAAACTGTGCATGTGAAAACTAGTGACAGAAGCAACCGTTTAGAGCGCGAGGTCAGTGAGATGGCTTGCATGTTGGTACGCATGTTCCGGCGTTCACCTGGAGAGGGCGATAGAGACGCGCACTGCAGATCTGAAGCGTGTGAGCCCCTTCCTGCGCTGGCTGAAGGAGTCGAGGCCGGACAGAGCGGGGCGACCTCCCATCCGGGACAGCAGCGTCAGGGTGGCCTCCTCACACTCCTGGAAGCCCCCGAGCAGCAGCAGCAGATACTTCTTCTGATACACCAGAGCTTTACGAAAACTCTCCGACCGCAAGTACCTCCCGTACATCCTCTGCAGAGAGAGAGGCGCAGACTGCAGTTAGTTTGATACTTTTGGACACAGACGACCACCAACACACCACACACAGAAGCAGATTTGGAGACGCTCTGATCCAATGCTCCACCTATTATTATACTTTTTATTGATGCTAGAGTTAGAGATTTTGTTTTATTTTATTTAGTATAGCTATTGTTCACTTATATTTCCCCACTGTGGGACCAATAAAGGATCTCTTAATCTAATTTGTGCCAATCTGCCACAAGACTTGTTGACACATTCTCTACAGTTACACACAGGAATGATTGGCTTCTCAGCTGAAACTATGAAACTGTAAACTTTTTCATTGTCCAGAGTGTGGGGGACAATTATACAGAGTTATTCATTTCCATGATCATCTACTGCAGGGAAAGCATTGCCTTTGTATTCTGTCCTCGCTAAATGCTGAGAAATATTTATCCAAAACAGACAGCGGACAGATAAGTTTGTTTGAGAAGTTCGCTGTCTGTCTTGGCTAAATATCTCTCAACATTTAGGACAGAACACTATGTATCCAGCTTTAACCATGTTTGTTTCTGCTTCTGGATAAACTTTGATGACAGGATATTGTATTCAGTTGTTTTTGCCACAATATTAAGTCTACAGTGGAAGTCAGAGCCATGGTGTTTTTTTACATTTGATAGATGATGTCATTAATAAAGTGTATCACTGATATCATTAATGTGGTCACCTTTAGTGCAGCGTTGTCAGCCTCCGGTCCGCTGAGTTCTCTCAGAGTCTCGGTCCGTACTTCAGTCCTGAGCCGGGCTAACTGGCTCTGAGCCTGAAGTAGGGCTTTGTCGAGTCTGGCTCTCTCCCGTGTCCAGGCCTCACGCTCCTGAGCCAGAAGCAAACTGGAGCTGTCGGGTTTTGAGGTCGTTCTCCTGCTGCTGATCTGCACCAGCACAACAAAGACAAATACTTAGACTTAGACAGACTTTATTGATCCATAAGGGAAATAGTGTTGTCACAGCAGCTTGCACAGTACTCAACTTAAAAATAACTATAAAAATATCAATAAATAATAACAAGATACTATTGTGAGAATAGAATTATCTGGATGGACATTATTATTATGTATTTGGAGACATACGGTAAAAGTATATTAGGGTTATTCCACTTAATTTCCCCACTGGCCAAGGCAGGATACGTGCACATGTCACCACTTTGTTATCCATGTTTTAACAATGCAGTTATACAGTATTATAGAAAACGTTTGTTATATATACCCTTTGTTGGCAATAATAGAGCTCAAAGTATTGATTAACTTTTGTTATCAACCGAATGCTTATTTTCCATCATAGTTTCTTGAAAAATGTGAATATCTGGAGGGCGGCACGGTGGCTGAGTGGATAGCACTCTCGCCTCTCAGCAAGAAGGTCCTGGGTTCGAATCCCGGCCGGACCAGGGCCTTTCTGAGTGGAGTTTGCATGTTCTCCCCGTGTCTGCGTAGGTTTCCTCCGGGTACTCCGGTTTCCCCTACCACTAAAAATATGTCCAATAGTTCTGGCATGTGCCTCCTGTACTGGCCCCGCTCCCATCTCTGTGTGGAGTGAGAGACAAATGCCCAAAATTAACAATTGTAAACCGCTTTGAGACTCAGATCTGCAGTGAAAAGGCGGTATATAAATAAAAACTTAAAACTTAAACTTAACTTTTATTTACAATGGAATGAGAAGTCTCCCTTTTAATATTATTTTTTAATTAGATTATGGATTTCTGTAATTATCCCATTATTAGCTATTCAATTATCCAATCCAGCCGTGGTCCCGAGGAAAGGTGTGTGATGTGTGACTGACCGTGTCCGCGGCGCCGTGGTGCCGGTGCCGCCGCAGCTCGTCCTCCAGCCTCAGCGTGTGGTTCCGCAGCTCGTTCTTCTCTTCGGTCAAACGACTGACGAACCCCGTGAGCTCCGCGTTCTGTCGCAGCAGCCGCTCGGTGAGGGAGCTGGAGCCGCCGGATAAAGACGAGCTCTGTGTGAAGGAAGATCAATAATGAGATTAGGTTTGATCACGAGCCGCAGGTGTCTGTGGTTTGAACTAAAAACAAAACAAAACCAAACAAAAGGCTGAGAACGATCCCACTCCCTTCAGGTTCATGGCTCCAGGACATCCACAGGACACACATGTTCTCTGCTTTTTCACTTTTATACCTTGATGTTTTTATTGGTGTGTGAATGGACAGTCTGAGAAGCACCACCACTTGCCCAAGACACATTTTCCCAATTTTTCTTTTAACAAATATTTGGTATTTTACTATTCCTGCATTCTGAAAATCCATTCTGTGACTGACATCAATGGAAAAGGCAAGGTCTCATAAACATGTATATCATGGACAACATAAGTAAACATATAGTTCATAAATGATAACTATAAGACCGAGATTAAGACTTAGAAACATGAAAACAGACTTGCCTCGGGGAGAGGAGGGAGACCTGGAGACTGCTTCAAAAGTGAAATGACGTCATCGATGTTGGACTGAAGCCAGGAAAGCTCCTCAGAGTCGACCTCTGCTGTGGGTCTAAAGAGTTCATTCAGTTATTAAAGAGTTCGTTCAGTTATTAAAGAGTTCGTTCAGTTATTAAAGAGTTCATTCAGTTATTAAAGAGTTCGTTCAGTTATTAAAGAGTTCGTTCAGTTATTAAAGAGTTCGTTCAGTCATTAAAGAGTTCGTTCAGTTATTAAAGAGTTCGTTCAGTTATTAAAGAGTTCGTTCAGTTATTAAAGAGTTCGTTCAGTTATTAAAGAGTCCATTCAGTCATTAAAGAGTTCATTCAGTTATTAAAGAGTTTGTTCAGTTATTATAGAGTTCATTCAGTTATTAAAGAGTTTGTTCAGTTATTATAGAGTTCATTCAGTTATTAAAGAGTTTGTTCAGTTATTATAGAGTTCATTCAGTTATTAAAGAGTTTGTTCAGTTATTATAGAGTTCATTCAGTTATTAAAGAGTTCATTCAGTTATTAAAAACCAAGAAAGACTGAGATGTTCTATATTCAGATCTGGTGAGGAGTATGGTGTATAAAAAGGTGTAGTACCTCCCAGCAGCTTTGTCCGAGAGGCTGTGGACCTTAGAAGAAACCAGGTGCAGTTTTCCCAAGATGTTGTCGACCGTGCGCCATGGCCCATGATGCAATGCAGGTCCAGCCCGGTCCAGACTTGAGGTCTTCTGCTGCAACACCCAGTCCTTAGTCCGGTCCGAGGTCTCCCACAAAGTCTGTCAGACAATATTAATTGTCAATGTTAATGATTCATTTATAGTCCCAGATTTGAACCACAACAAACAGAGCGATGCTACTAACAATATTATGAACAGATGTATGTGTGAGGAGAGAGAAAGTTGTGTTGTTATGTTTCTGACCTTGACAAATAGGACATAATAACAAAAAGATGACACACAAGTAATAATAGTAAGTAATAAACTAAATACATAAAAACTCACAGCATGACCCTCAGTTTGCACAGGTCCGTCTCCGGTGTCTTCTCCTCTCTTCAGCCTCATCTGCTGTTTGCCCCACTCCTCCTCCAGCCTCTTGCCCTTCTGCACCTCTGTGTCCAGCTGCTCCTGCATGTGTTGCATTTGGGTTCTGAGTTTCTCCAGTTGAGCCTGAGCCTCCAGCAGAGCCTGGTGGTCCCGGGTCGAGCTCTGATTCACCAAAACCAGCTCCTCGTCTTTTCGCACCGCCACAAGTTTCTGTGCCTCAATTTGACCCAAGAGCTGAACGACCTGTGGAAGAATCACAGAGATCAAAGCTCCCTCACAGCCGACGGGTATGACGATGATATATTATTATTTAACATTAAGATTGAAATACACAGAGGCTATCATCCAGGGCTGCTCATGTAGATTAGATGTATCTGTTATGTTGTAAATCTAAGAGACTGATATCTATTCCAGTACACAGCTTATCCTCCCAAAACTCATCCAGCTCCCATTCAATAAAGTCACTTCACCTTTTTTTGTTTTCTTAATGTGCTCCACCAAAATGGGTCAAAAATAAATCAATATTAAGCAACTCATAGCTGGGGTCCGGTCAAATAATGTTGGAGTCTGCTCGTAAAAAGCTCTGTCTACTTTCGTTTGAATTTCTTTATCAAAGGTGCTAACTCAATGGTAATCATGATATGTGCTTAATGCCTATTGATGACATCAGGACTGCTTGTTGAACTTGAAATTTGACTGTTGATCCACAGCTATGGGTGTAGAACATATGTCCTTTTGTCATGGAAAGACCGTGATGGTAACCCCTCCCCCTCTCCTTTCCGTTTGGAGATGTCTCGTGTTCCTGTCTGATGTTTTTTAAAATCTATTTATTATTCTATTCCACAAAATATTTATACAAAAAATCTAAATCAAATATATATCAAAAGAAGACAATAATTCTATTCTATTTCTGTCAAAAAAATAGTTGAACTCTGCCACCAATTTGATATTTTTCTTCCCATCAAACACAAACCTGAGCATGTTTGTCGTCCAGTTGTGTTTGTAGTCTCTCTAACAGATTCTCCTCAGGCCCCTCTCCTCCTCCTCCTACTTCTCCTTCTCCTCCTTCAGCAGTACCAGGACCACCCTCTGAGGAGCCGGCCCTGCGGAGCTGCCTCTCGCGGCCCAGGGCGGAGCTCATCTCCTGGGCTTTGGCTCGCTCTGAGTCCAGCTGCACCTGGAGCTCCTGGAGGCGGTGGTGGAGGCTGAGGCGCTCCTGCTCCTCCTGCTGTGACGTCTGTCGCTGCTGCTGGAGCTCCGTGTTGAGCTGAGACAGGAGGGCTTTCTGCTCCTCCAGCTCCAACTGCACGTCCTGTGAACACACTCATGGTTAGCTATTTGTGCTGCCTCTGTCTCTCTCTATGTTAAAAAAGTAACGTTATGCATTTTGGTCGCCTGGTCTTACCATACATCGTACTCATTTCATTTAATTTCGACTAAGATCTGGATTTGCTCCATTGAGCTCCATTAACAGGTGGGAGGGGTAAACTCCTTTTACAGATTGAAACGATGGGATCTGAGTTTACTGTGACATATGTAATGAGCCCGAGTGAGTAAGGAATTTAGAATTTAGCATTTAGCCTAGCTTTAACGGAGCCTGTGGGGAGTAGAGCCACAAAATCTTTGCCAGCAATGAAACTTGCTAAACATTTCTCTTGTTACGGCTTCAATTTCTTGATACTTGGAGCAGAACCAAAACAGATTACTTTACTATCGCATTCTCAGCCATTGCCAATCTACAACCAGCAAATTTGCTGCAAACTCTTGATGTCACCAACACCGACACCAACCTACAACACCCGCCTCCCCCGCTCGCTGAAGGGTCGGATGGGATTCAACCGAGGAAACTGCAGCCACTAGGATCAGACCCAGATGTACATGTAGGAAATGATCATGGGCCGGAGTTTACAGATGGATAAGACCAGGCTAGTATTTTGGTAAAGTGGAGACAAAACGCTGAAAAAGCTGAAACACCAAGGCTGTGGCACCACTGATGGAGCAGCCATCCTCCTGTGGACCCACCTCTTGCAGAAGATCAGAGGGACTGGTGCTATGAGCATTGGGTGCAGCTCTCATTGCCACCCCCCTGACCCAGAAATGGACTAGTAAAGGGGTTGAAAATAAATGAATGAATGAAGGACACAAAACGATCCTTCTAATTGTGCTGGTGGTACAGCATAGATACTGAACAGTGAGACATTGTGGGAAACAAAATGGCGTCTGCACAAACCTCCAGCTCCTCTCGTTGGCTCTCCTCACTCCTCCCGGTCCGACAGCGCTCCTTCTCCATGCTCCACTGCAGCTCGCGGCTCCTCTTCTTCTCCTCGATCAGCTGGTCACTCAGAGCGTCCACCTCTGAGGCCTTTTGAGTCACCTCCGCCCTTTAGACAACGGAAATAACATAATTAAGAAATAAAGTTAAGTTTAGATGACAACAATATCATCTGTTCTTAAACAAACCTCAGAGTGTCCAGTTCTTTGATGTGTTTGTGCTGCGTCTTCAGCGTCGTCTCCAATTCCAGTTTAGTTTGAGACAGTTCAATTTTCAGGTCCTCCAGCAGCAGCCGGTCCATCCCCACCGCCTCCATCCCCACCTCCGCACGCTCAGTCAGGCTGAACTCAGAACTCAACAGGGCCCCAGAACCACCACCTGAACACAGCAGCAAAGAGCTTGTAGTGAAACATGGTCCAATAGATAAAAAGTGCCTGATCTTTGTGTATAATGTACTGAAATGCTACATTGTATTTAAAGAGTATTTAGGAGCCGCTGATGTTGTTTACCTTGTTGAAGCTCCTCCATTTGACATCGCAGCTGATGGATTTCTGAGAGGAGACTGGAGCGGTCGGTGCTGTGCAGAAACTCAAGAGCTTCCCTCTGATGAGCATCCTAAAAAAAAATCAAGAACGCTGTTAAAAAACACGTCAAAACATCATTGTAGGAATGGCTAGTTTTATCAGATATGGATCAGTTATCCCATGATCAAGTCCCGCTTCTCCTCAGAGCCTCACATCAGATTTGTAAAAATGTACAAGAAGAGTTTGTAAAGCTAAAGGGATGGGATTCCTGCCAGAGCCCAGAGTCAGGACAAACAGGAAGCTGCAATTCAGATTTATGCAGCTAAAATATAGTGCAATCTTCCTGAAAATGTGAGACAGGCTTCTTCTCTGACAATGTTTGAATCCAGACTAAAAGCAGTTCTGTTTAGCTGCTACTATAATATGAGGGATTATATATTATTCTTAATGTACTGTGATTATTTATGATTTTAATTGTTAGTATTAGATAGCAATATGGCCTACGTGCAGGACTCTACAAGGACTCTGATTATTTTGACTATGATGTGACTGTCTCTGTGTGACACGTACGTCTTTCCATGTGTGACGTGACAATGACTATATAAACTGTGTACTGACTCCATTCTGTCTGAGAGAAAGAAACAATGGAAACCACTGGAACTTGAGAGAAACTTAAATAAACTTCCAGAGTTTGGCGCACCACGATCCGTCTCTGTCTGCTTCATCCCTGACATAAGTAAGTAAGTAAGTAATGTTTATTTATATACCACCTTTCACAGACCAGAGTCACAAAGCGGTTAACAATTGTTATTTTTTGGGCATTTGTCCTCTCACTCCACACAGAGATGGGAGCGGGGCCAGTACAGGAGGCGCATGCCCGACCTATTGTACATATTTTTAGTGGTAGGGGAAACCGGAGTACCCAGATGAAACCTACGCAGACACGGGGAGAACATGCAAACTCCACTCAGAAAGGCCCTGGTCCGAGCGGGATTCAAACCCAGGACCTTCTCGCTGAGAGGCGAGAGTGCTATCCACTCAGCCACCGTGCCGCCTTCTTTGATCGTTTCTATCTTGTTTTGTTCAGCCCTTTGAGTTGCCTTATGTATGAATTGTGCTATAAATAATAAACTTGCCTTGCCTAACCAAGCCAAACATTTTAACATTTTAACTCCAACGATTTATATTAAAAAAAAATTACTTTTGAAAATGCAGGTTCAGATAGAAAATAACTCTCAGATCATATTTCTGAATAAAAATTAAAATCTAGGAAATCGACGACTACAATAATGACATCTATATTTTTGTGAAAGTTACGTCAATTGTCAGTATCGTAATTTACGCTGCAATGAACTAAAACAAGAGCAGAGTGACTGATGCCGGCCCAGAATGCCACTTGTTTCAGAGACAACACTCAAAGCGTTAAATAGCGTCTTTGATTATGAAACGGATGCATTAAATATGAAAGAGTGATTAGTTGAAGGCGGGAGACTGCAGACCTGCTCGGAGAGGCGCTGCTCCAGCTGGTTGAGGTGGACGATGGCGTCGCTGGTGTCCAGTAAATCCAGCTGACTGTACAAGGTGTTTTTCAAGACGCTTCTCTCGCTGTGGAAAACCTTCTGCACTGCATCCAGCAGCTGCCCGCGCCAGTCCACACCGCCACACGTCTGCGGGAGGAACACAACGAATGGCATCAAAAAGGTCAGACTTCTGAGGATGTTTATGAGCCACTCGGAAGTTTGATTCAATGAACAGCTGACGACCGAAATGAAAAACATGTCCAGGATTTTCTGTCAATAAGGATTCATTTTAAAGTACTATCACTAAATTTCAATTAGAATCTATACAAATGACAACTTTAGTAACGACTGACTAAGGAAATATTATGGCTGCAAAACCGTCATGGGCTCGATAAAAAGTTTATTATTCAGACTCCCAAAGCAACAACAATATCTCAATAATAAGCTGGAGTTCCTCATGTGTGTGTTTAAGGGATAATACATTTAGTTTATAGAGACAATTTTGTATACTTTTGTTGTCAAAGCAAAGATTGATGAACAAACCAGACCTCCAAACACTGTCTCCATCTAATCTGGTATAAAAAATAAAAAAAATAATTCAAGTGAATACGAGAGTTTGTACGAGAGGGTTTTGCATTTTCCATTTGAAGTTCCGTTCTGTTTGTTTATTTTGTATACTTTTGAGCCCAGTGTTATTTCAAATGAGCAAGTCCTATAGTTTCCTTCTTATGTTGGGTAAAACTGGACCTTTTATGGTCATATCACTACTTTACTATTTTTTTTTCATGTAAAGAGAACAATCTATTCATCCATTTTCTTCTGCTTAATCTGTTTCCAGGTCTGAGCAGAGACGCCTAGATTTCCCTTTGCCCACACACAATCCAGCTCATCCTCTCCCTCCAACCACCCAACCATAAACGGACGTCTTAAATGTTGACGCTTCTTACATGCTCTAACATGCACAGAATAGAATCATCATATTGGTTTCGGTCTTCTCTTAATGTGCACTCTGACCAACATTCCTAAATGATCATAAGATGTTTCTTCTTGTGCCGCTGTACCTGTGTCTCTCTTTGCGTCTGCATGGAGGTGATGAGGCCTTTCAGAGACTGCACCGTGGACAGCAGGGCCTCTCGCTCCTTCATCCAGCCCTGAACGTTGAAGTGAGCGCTGGGATCGGACTCCAGGGGGGGCAGCTCCGACAGAGACAGGACCTGCATGCCCTCCTGATGGACCTCCCGAAGCAACGTCTGCAGAAATGATCAAAGGAAGAGGAATCAACCACAACTAGGACAATATTAGCCTGGTCTTACCAAACCATCGTACTCATTTCATTTTGTACTAAGGTCTGGGTTTGCTCCATTGGGCTCCGTTAACAGGTGGGAGGGGTTAACTCCTTTTGCAGATTGAAACGATTGGATCTGAGTTTAGTATGTAGTGCGTCAATGAGCGAGTGAGGCATTTAGCATTTAGCCTAGCTTTAGCATTTAGCCTCCTTTTCCTCTAACGAAGCCGTGGGGAGTAAAGCCACAACATCTTTGCAGCAATGACATTTGCTAAACACTCCTCTTGCTCCGGCTTCAATTTATTGATATTTGGATTGAACCAGAACAGACTTTACTATCGCATTCTCTGCCAAACTACAACCTGCGCAAACTCTTGACGTCACTGACACCTAGCTATAACACCCGCCTCCCCCGCTCTCTGATTGGTCGGAGGGGATTCAAACGAGGAAACTGCAGCCACTAGGATCAGACCCAGACGTACATGTAGGAAATGATAATTGACCAAAGTTTACGGATGATAAGAGCAGGCTAGGACACTATATGATCCAAGAATGATTGTGTTTACAGCTTTAGGCACATAATCCCCTGTGTATGTATTTAGAGTGGTCGTTATACCTTGATTCGGTCTGGGAGTGTCTCGTCATTGTCTCTCCTCGCTCCCTCTGGAGTCGCCCGGAACTCGTGTTGGAGACTGGGAAGGTCATATCCGGTCCGCTGACTGAAGTCTGAACTACTGTCTGCAACAGGCCAATAACAAATAAATATGAATTCATCTCATTCAGACTCATTGGATTGGACTCATTGTGATTGTGTGAAGCCATTTATTGTCAAATGAATGTTTTTTATATTCCAATGTAGGCCAATGCTCTACCTACTGAGCGACAGTAGCTCAGTAGGTAGAGCATTGGCCTTTGGGCCTGAAGGTTGTGGGTTCGAGCCCACCACAAGACCTACTTCACGACTCCCACTGATGACTGCTGTCGTTGTGTCCTTGGGCAAGACACTTAACCCCACTTTGCCTGAAGCCCCCACTGAAAGATCTCAGCTCCTGTGGACTCACCACCTGCAGGAGGATCAGTGAGGGGCTGGTGCTAAGTGTACTGGGTGTAGCTCTGACTGCCACCCCCCCGACCCAGAAATGGATTAAGGGGAAGAAGATGGATGGATGGATGAATGTTTTTTGTTTTCATTTTCAAATTTCATTGACAAAATATACCACTTTTTGGCCCCAAGTTTCCCCTTTCCTAGTTCTCAATATTGTCCCCATTAAGATAGTTGTGGTTCTATATTTTCTCTAAAGGTAAAGATGCTTATTCTTGGAAAACGCCACCAGTTCCTGTAAATTCCTGGACAGGCTCGCATGAAGTGCACATTTTGCTGAATATTATAATTCAAAAAATAGAAACACATCACAAAGCGCTTTACTATTGCTGTGGTCATTTGTCTCTCAGTCCACCCTAGTGTACATGTAGTTAGTGGTAGGGGAAGCCGGAGCAGACACGGGGAGAACATACAAACTCCACTCAGAAAGGCCCTGTTCCGACTAGGATTCGAACCCAGGACCTTATTGCTGCGAAACGATAGTGCTAACCACTCAGCCACCATGCTGCTGTTCAATTAACAATATATGGCTTCACACAAACACTAATGATGAGTGAGGTGAATGAAGCTGGATATGGATATGATATGGGTTGTGAGGCGCCTTGTGTTGCCTTGTGTACGAAAGGCGCTCTACAAATAAACGTTGATTGATTGATTGAAGTTGTGTTAATGTTGTGATATCATTGTGTTACAAAGGCGCGACTAGATAAAATAAACCTTACCACTTGTGTAGCCATCTTTGAACTGAGAAGCCGACTGCTCTCGTCGTACCGAGGAGGCCTTGGAAACAGAACAAAAAAGTTACAGCTCCCATTTCATTGTCATAAACTCTCAAACTAGCTTTTGTACCCGGATCTAAGGGCCCATTTGTATGCTCCGTATTGCATTCATGTACATTTATATACTTTTTTTGTAAGTAAAGGAAATAAATAAAAAGGAGATTGAAATTGTAGGTCACATACACAATGCTAGCCTCTATTGCAGGTCAAATACAGACGGGGAAAGTACCTCATTTGCTCGCAGTTTCTCGATGACAGCCTTCAGCGCTTTGCATTCGTTCTCGAGCAGCTGCGTGTCATGCCGCAGATTCTCGCTTTCTGCAATGTGCCTCGACTCCATGTCCAAGATTTCGGCCGCGTGGAGTTCCTGCATCTGCTCCATCTTCTCCTGAAACGTCTCGATCACCTCCTCCACCTCGTCTTTCACCGCAGACTCGAAAGCGCTTCGATCCAGACCTTGCAGATTCTCGGTTTGCGTGAAGGCGTCGGTGACCGGGTGTTGCTCAGTGCTGCCGTTCGACCTCGGACTGTGAGACTTGTGGGATGAGTGGCTTGAGGAGGAGTTTTTCCGGGAGGGATTGGGTTTGTCTTTGGCGCTGCTGCCTTTTGGAGCAGGCTGTTTCACCGCTTTCCTTTTAGATTGAGAGACGGAGGAAGCAGACGAGGCCGGCTGGGGTGAAGGAGATGGCGAAGGCGAAGGCAATGGCGTGATCTCGGTTTGTTTTAAAGCCGTGCGTGCTTCTTCTAATTCCGCTTTGAGACTTGAAATGAAGCTTCCGCGCTCGCTGGCCTCATCTTGTAACTTTTCGTTTTCCTCTTTGTATCCGATTAGTGCTTCTTTGGTGTTTTCCATGTTGTTCCTGGCCTCCTGGAGCTGCTCTTTCAGCTTGGAGATGCGAGCCTCACTAGACTTAAGTTCATCCTGAAGGTCGTCATTCTGCCGTTTGATGCTGTCCAGTTCGTCTTTGGTCGAGGCTGCTGTTTTTGTCGTTTGCTCAAGTTTCCCGAGAACTTCTGTAAAGCTGTTTCCGTCCTCATTTACTTTAACCTGATGGACAAGTGAAGACAGAGCAAATATAAACGATAATGTGCAAAAACACTAGCTAGATCTAAGGGTCCATTTGTATGATCTGTGATGCATTTACATAAATATATATACTTTTTCTGTTAAGAAATGGACAGCTAAAGGAATTGAATAAAAAGAAGATTGGATTATTTGTATTATTATTTTATTTTATTAGCATTAGTTTCACTTATTGTCTAATTGGTGCCTTTTTTGTTTTTCTGAATGGTTGAATGTTTGCTTATCTTGCCATCTTATGTGTATATGTACGTATATAGATATATGTACAGTGCCTTGCAAAGGTATGGTTCTCTCTGCGCTTTAAACAGAACCCTGAGACTATCAAAGAGCAGGTGCATTTATACGGAGACTTGATTAAACACAGGTGCATTCTATTTATCATCATCAGTCATTTAGGACAACATTGGATCATTCAAAGATCCTCACTGAACTTCTGGAGTGAGTTTGCTGCACTGAAAGTAAAGGGGCCGAATAATATTGCACACCCCACTTTTCAGTTTTTTATTTGTTAAAAAAGTTGAAATTATCCAACAAATTTCATTCCACTTCATGATTGTGTCCCACTTGTTGATTCATGACAAAAAAGTAAAATTTTATATCTTTATGTTTGAAGCCTGAAATGTGGCGAAATGTTGAAAGGTTCAAGGGGGCCGAATACTTTCGCAAGGCACTGTATAAGTTTATGTATGGGTGTGTATATGTATATATGCATATATGTAGGGGTTCTGGAGAAAAAACCCCAACACAAATCATCTTAATCTGTAAATATGTATGACAAAAATGTGTTTCTTCAATAAAAAATTATGAAAAAAAGGAGACTGTATTAAAATAATGTGCAAAAATACAAGAATATTCTTACTTGGTAAAGTTCTCCTTTCAGTTGCGCGATGGTCATTTCTCGCTCCTTTGAAAACAAACAAGCACATAACAAACAGTTGAAAGGAGCGAGGGCAAAAGTGTACTTTAAAACCTGCTTGTACAGATCAGCTGTTGTGTGTCAGTACCTGGAGCAGATCCTGGAGCTTGTCCACGCTCTCCCTGCAGCTGCTCAGCTCTTCTTTGGCGACGGAAGCTTCCTTTTGAGCCTCTTGAAGCTGCTGCTGAAGCTCAGAGGTCCTTGTCTCCTCACCGCGGTTAGAAGCGGCCTGTGTGGGTGAAAAGACAACATCATAAGCATGGAATAACACTGAAAGATAAGAGAAGAGATCATTTAATAGTCCCGCAGTGGAGAAATGTCTATGTTGCAGCGCATATATATAGGACAGTTGTAAGCGCAAACAGGGAGCACACAAAATATACAATAAAAGAAGCTGCTGTGTTTTTTAGCTCGCTGTAAACTCTTCAAATGCCCAAAAATAACAGTTGTAGAAGTGCTTTGTGACTCTGGTCGTTAGAAAGGCGCTATATAAATAAAGATCACATACTTACTTACTTAATATCAATATATCTCTGTCTATCTATATATTGTGCAAAGTTATATACATATAGGACAGGGTAAAAGTAAGTAGATAAAGTGACATTCCGTGGACATTCTGAAGTTACAGTATTTACTATTTGCAGATGAATGACATGTACAGACTCAACAGTTCTCATTGTACAGTCTGACAGCAGCGGGAAGGAAAGACCTGCAGAACCTCTCCTTCCTGCTGCTGTCAGACTGTACAAACGACCAATAATGCAGGCAGATCATTCCACTCACTTGGGAAAGGTCTTGTTTGAGTTGAGCTATGGTCATCTCCCGCTCCTTTAACAAACACAATATATTACCAAAAGCATAACATGTTCTCCACACTAAACCTCATACGTGTGACTTACCTGTAACAGCACTTGTAACTTGTGCAGACTGTCCTTGCAGCTGCTCAGCTCTTCTTTGGCGACAGAAGCGTCACTTTGAGCCTCTCTGAGTTCTTGTTGGAGCTTTGAGAACCTGGCGTCCTCACCACTGTTTGAAGACGTCTACAAAAGGGGCTGATGTTAGTCGCACCGTCACAGCTCATGAATACATATTATTTAAAATGAATGAATGAATATCGCACCATTTGAAGTTGTTCTTCTAGTTTCTGTATTGCTTTAGCTTTCTCCTGATTAAATACAAAAATTATGTTATTCAATCCAATCCAATCCACTTTAGTCATACAGCAGATTTCAACTGTTTCCAAATACTAATTAAAACAAGTCCATAGTAAAACAGTCAAATCATGAAAAATAAAATAGGAAAAACCCTGTGTGCATGCATGTATAAATATAAAAAATAACAATAAAACAAAATCAAATCAAATGAATATTGTTAATAATTGTATTTTATTTGAAACAATGAAATCAGGAGGAGTAGAACTTACAGTGAGCTCTTCCTGCAAGCGGTTAATGGTCTCCTTGAAGTTTTCTCCTTGTTCTTTGGTGAGTGACGCCTCGACCTCCACAGACGGTGGGTCAGCAGAAGAAGAGGTCTGTTGAGAATCACAATCAGAATCAATGAATTGCCATTTGCAGAAAACAACTCCATTGGAATACAAACAGGAGACACCGGAGAGAATAAAAAGGCTTGATTATGTTATGACTTTAGGGTTAAAACCATTACAAAACTGTTAATATTTGAAAATAGAAATCTCATTGAACATCTATCAATGAGACTCATAACGTACACTACCAATGGAATCTTTGAATACTATTACCCAGGTGATTGGACTGTGTATTTACCTGTAACAATGGTGCAGGTCTGCGTGCGGCCCCGCTCTTCATCTGAGTGAGCAGGTTCATGAGGACGCTCAGTCTGCGCTCGTATTCTAGAACATCCTCCTCTGAACTGGACAGCAGCTGGTTCTGGAGCTCCTGGTCTCTCTGCATCCAGCTCAGCCCCACCTCCAGCTCCCGCAGCTTCTCTGTCAGGCGTACGATGCCTGTGGGGCCTCCTCCAGTCGGACTAGATTGACTGAAGTCCAAACAAGGAATGTTGAAGCTACCAAAATCATAGACTGTGGACTCGTGTTTTGGTTGTGGGGATTGCTGTTGAAAGGCCTCGAGTGTGGCTTGGCTGACCAGCGCCGCCGCCACTTTGTCCCTTAGATTAGCCTCTAATTTATAAACTTTGTCTTGAAGTCCGTCTGCGTAGTTTTGCATTTGCTCCATCAGTCCACGACAGCGACTCAACTCAGCGTCTCTCTCTCTCACTAAAGCCTCCAGTTCATGCACTCGCCTGTCCATCTCCTCCACTCTGTAGGTGGCGCTCTGCTCTAGCGCCTGCACCTCGGCCTGCATCACCACAAGAGCTGCGGTCTTTTCCCTCAGAGCATCTTCCAGCTCCCTCTCGGAATTTCCCGCCTCTTCCGACTCTGCTAAAGCTTCTGCGCTTTCTTTCAAACGCAGATACGTGCCGAAAAGTTTACCGTGCTCAGATTTGACGGTAACTAGTTCTTTGGTGGCGGAATCCATTTTCTGCTTCATTTCATCATACTCCTCAGTTGTTGGTCTGTCTTGTATTCTCTTATCTTCCTCATCGTCTTCCACCGTGGTTTTCTGCTCGATATTGACCAGTTCTTGCTGCAGTTTGTCGATGACGGCGTTGAGTTGGTCCGTCTCCTCTTCATGGTCCCTTCTCAGACGCTGCTGTTCACTTTGGAGGCACTCCACCTGGGACTCCAAGTCTCTGACCTTCTCTCCCCTGTCGTCCATTTCCTACAAATATACAAAATGTAATTAGAACATTTTTGGTCAATGACTTCACTGTCGGTGCAGTCATATCGACGCACAAACAGTGATCATAATGAATGCAACAATCCTTCTACCGACAATAACATTCAAACACTTCAGACACAGAAACTTGTGAAATGGACCTGATATAATTTTATACAAAAGCAATAGATTCAAAAACGATCACGACAACATTTGGTGCTGAAACTTACCACAACAACAAATGAAAAACAACCAAACACAAATCTGATGCAAAACATGATGGAAGTGAAACTAAAAGACTCACAACACGTTGCACTACCACAAAACTATGCGTATTTGAAATGGGCTTGTTGCATTTCGTATACGCATATTGTTACCTTATTATCAGAGGCAGTGTCCGTGTGTTGAAGTTTAGAGATCTGTTCATTAAGAACTGCTATTTCCCTGTCCTTCTCCTCCACCACCTTTAAAACCAAGAGATTATGCTGAGACGCCGTTCAATACAATGAGCAGCAGCCAACGTCTACAAGCTGCGAGGATTTCTATGTTCAGTATATTATAAAAGAAAAGATTCCTGTAGCAAAAGGGAGCGATTTATGGGAAACTGCATGTGCCAAATCCAACAGCAGTCTGCATCTTTAAAAAGCCAAAGCCCTCAGTGGTTGTGTACCTGCAGTAGACTGTCCCGGGTGTCCAGGTCTTGTTGTTGGCTGTCGATCTCTTTTCTCTGAATCTCCAGCTGCATCTGAAGCTGCTGAAGCTCTTCACCCTTGTTCTCCAGCTCCTCTTTGAACTGCTCCAGCTGTTCCTCCAGATTACAGATCTGACAAAGTGACGGACCATTTCATTGGGCCACAGTGCATCAGTGGAACAGCAAACATAGGCTCATAAAACATAAGAGTGAGAGTGAGAGCACTGAGGTACCTCTTTTTCTTTTCTCTCCAAAGCCTCTCTCTCAGATTGGAGCTGAGTCTCCAGACTCGGGTGCTTGGCTTCTGTGATGGACGCATGCTGCTTATTTTGTTCAGTCTGTAGCATAAACAAGCGAATATCTCAGTAGTCAGCGTTTACAGGCAGTGAGGAGGGAGATGCATAATCTAATGGAAGCATATTTTATATGGAAACACAGACTGTCATCAGCTGTACATGTTGAGCGGACACAGGGGGCCATGTGAACAGTTGCTAGCAGCTTCAGTATTAGACAGTAACTGCCGGGAAGCTTCAGCACACCCGCACATTGTTCTTTCTCACGGCACGCCGTCTTCTCTGCGCTGTCTGTCACCTCATTCACATTCATCAGTGCCATTGCGGCTCTATGGCTATTGTTCTGTGCCTCTAGATCCCGGCCCTCCCCTCACTCACCTCCAGGGATTCCGCGCTGGCCAGCAGGGCCTGCTCCAGCTCGCGGATGCGGCTCTCCAGTTTGTCAATCTCCTCGCCGCGCTCCCCCAGCTCTCGCTGCAGCTGCTCCGAGCTCAGCAGCAGCTCACTGCAGCAGTCCGTCTTCTCCTTGAGCTGTGAGCTCAGCCGCTCCACCTGACACACACAGAGGAGAGGAGGAGAGGAGAGGAGAGGAGAGGAGAGGAGAGGAGAGGAGAGGAGAGGAGGAGAGGAGAGAGGGCTTTAATGAGATTTTCTCTCAACACGCCGCAGCATCAGAGCTGGTACATGTGCAGCTAGCCGTATGGTCAGCTGATCCACCTGAGAAAGGAGGGTGCAGGGACAGAAGGAGCCAGGACTCATTCAGGGACTACAGACTAAAGTGTACAATGTACAGGAAGCACAGCTATAATCAAGGTAAAGGGGCTAAACTAGGGACCCAAACAGATCCTCTGTGGGAACTGTGGAAAACAGTGGAAAGACCAGGGAGTGACAACCTGACAAATACATAAACATCTGTCCACTTGACAAAACAAATGCAGATTAGTTTTTTCTTGATTGGATAAAAAACAAAAGGTGGACAAAATAATAATAGACAGACATGTGGGTGATGCAAGGAGAACATGAAAAGCATCCCAAGTGAATACGACAAAGGGAGACAGAGTGCATGTGTCAATATAGAAGAGAGCAGAGGAGGAGGTGGGGATACTAATTTAATATTTTCAGGAGGACAGTTCGCTCTACATACAGCTAGAAGCAATACCTGTCGGGTCAATCGATCCACCTGTAACGGTCAAAGGAGAGAGGCAGAGCGGGTCAGGGCCAGTTACAAGGCACAGGGGCGGAGCAGAGGCAGAAGAAGCACTTAGTAATGGAAGGGCAGCGGGAATATCCAATGGGCATTCTAATTAGTACTTTGATATGAATAGAAAAGCCAACTGTTTCACATTATTGTAGGGAAGAGACAAGGTTTCATGGTCACATTACAAAAATGGAATAGGATCTTTTCCGTGTTTACATTTTTGCTTGGACAAAAAATGGTTAAATGAATGGCCTGTGCTGAATATTCTGAAGAGCCATAGAAGTAGATGGTACAAAGTACAAACACAGTGCTATAATGAATCAACAATGAAATAAAGTAAATAACAAATTGTGAGGACAGGATGAACATTGCTTTTCAATGATACCTCTGTGTTAGGCTAAGTTTAAGGTTAAGGTTCACTTTGTTCCTGAGCATTTGACCCATCCTGTAATCCTGTAATATAATGGTTTGAACCAGAGCAGGAGGATTTTACGTATTGTACATGTTTTTAGTTGTTAGGGAAACCCAGAGCACCTGAAGGAAAACTACGCAGACATGGAGAAGACAAAACTGCACTCAAAAAGTCCCTGTTACGACTGTGTTTCGAAACTAGGACCTTTTTTTTGCTGAGCAGCGAGTGCAAACCACTTAACCACCTTCCATGGTTTGATAAACAATAACATGTCCAGTGTCTGAACTCTGCTCCAATGTAGTAATCTATGGCAAAATTTTGTTTTTATCTTATCCTTTTCATAATACTATTTTTATTGCAGAATATATATCAATAAGATAGAATAAATCGATATTACAGAAGAAAAACAAGGTAGGATCATATATCATTTTCCAGAACATTTTACCCCATCCACACCCCCCCCACCAACGTAAAAAAAAAAGAAAGAAAAAGTAAACAACCACACGGTCCAAAGCATTGTATCACATGGTCTTATGTGTTAAATGACATGGTCCTTTCTCCTGCTCCCGACGACACACAGAAATCAGTTGAACGCCACATTTGGAGCCCACTCCCAAACCCCCCACCCCCGAAACCCGGCATGTCATAAAGCCGAGTCTATAGGAGCAGTGATTACCTAAACAGACTTACGTCACAAGCTGCAGTCGGCTCAAAACAGCAGGTGACAGTGACGGTAAATATTCTTTTTTATAAGCGACACTTCATAAATAAGTGATATCGATGCTTATGACCAATGACACATAAAAGTGGTAAAAGGACAAATGCAAATGATGTCAAATGAGTTTTCCCATTCAAGTCACAAAAGCCCCCAGAGAAGCTTATACTCAAGCCTCACACTGCTCCAAAGGGAATTAATTAAATGCATGTTCAGTGGAAAAGGGTGATGTGACGACAGACGCAGCAGGTAATCTGTTTTCTGGTTATTCCTTTGAGAGATTTAAAGCTACACAGATATTACAAGTGTCTCTGAAAACTATCAAGAGCTGTGTTTTGAAATCATGTCCATAAACACAAACTTTAAAGATAGAAAATGTGTTTTGATCGGTAATTATTGTCATTAGCTTATGGTGATTTGACATTACAGACTGCTTTCACTTGTAACATGACATTAGGTTTATCGTCAACTCCCCGACATTATTATTATTATTATTATGGGAAACTCTGGCTTACATCACTTACACAGCACAGCCCCTGTTCTCACTCAGGATCGCTTTCAGTAATCCTAGCAGCTCCATTGTTCTGCTGCAACTATCATCACACGCTGTTATGTGCAGATATAATAAGTGTTTTCTCCAGTTACCTCCAGGTTTCTTTGCTCAGAGCCAGACTGAGGCCTCTGGGACGACTTCAGCTGATCCTCCAGCTTCTGAATCTCTGTCTGGAAGAAGTCTCTCTCGTGCTCCCTGTCCACAGCTTGTTCCTGCACAGAAAAGGCAAAATGAATGAATAAACAACTGATTAACTTCAAATCTGCTGCGTATCAACATCAAATACATCCTCAAAATGACTTGTGTTTAAGCTGGAGTATATTCAATGACAAAATAACAGCAATGGCGGCATGGTGGTGAGAGCTCTACACAGCAAGAAGGTCCTGGGTTCAATTCCACCTCCAGGCCTTTCTGGGGAGAGTTTGCATGTTCTTCCGTGTCTTCCTCCGGTTTCCCCGACCACTAAATGAATGTAATGTGTTGTGTTGATTGGGGCTTTGTTGCGCCAGTGTGTTATGCGTCTCGCTTCTGTCATCACCGAGTGTGTAAATAAATGTAAAAAATGTAAATGTGCACTTTATCGTCAAAATAAAGCACAAAATATGCACTTGTATACTTATTTGCTCGAAATAAACATGGCTTAATAATAATAATAACTGTCCTGACCCATCCTGATGCCACTAAGGCTTCAGTTCGGATGTTGTGCTTGGCTTGGTCAGTACAGGTGTAACGCCGAGATACACTGTCTTGAAGAGATGCACTGCCTCAGCTGTTTATGATGTAATGCAAACCTGCGCATGCGCGTCTCACGGCAACCGAAGCATACCAAGATGGCGGACCGTGAATTGCTTTAAAAGTTGAAATACGAACGAATTAAGACACGAATGTCACTTTTAATGCAATTTGAGGCGAGATGTTGATGGTTCCGTTTTGTCACATGTGGGTTTTAAGAGTCAAAGTTTTGTGCAAAGTTTAGTTTAAGCAGTCAACTGCGCCTGTGAAACCACAAAGCTAATGTTTTCATAGCAGTCCGCGGCTGCTGACGTAGGCTGATGACGCGTCCTGTGGCAACTCTACACTCTCAACTGGTCTGTCGGGTTGATAATGGAAATAATAAATTTCATTCAATACATGTATCGTACTGTATTTAATATGATTAACAATAGTGTGTTCAAACAAAATATTTAATTAGATTGATTTTTTTTCCCCATTTTCCATTATCAACCCGACAGACCAGTTGTAAGCTGTAGAGTTGCCACAGGACGAGTCATCAGCCTACGTCAGCAGCCGCGGACTGCTATGAAAACATTAGCTTTGTGGTTTCACAGGCGCAGTTGACTGCTTAAACTAAACTTTGCACGAAACTTTGACTCTTAAAACCCACATGTGACAAAACGGGACCATCAACATCTCGCCTCAAATTGCATTAAAAGTGACATTCGTGTCTTGATTCGTTCGTATTTCAACTTTTAGCAATTCACGGTCCGCCATCTTGGTATGCTTCGGCTGCCGTGAGACGCGCATGCGCAGGTTTGCATTACATCATAAACAGCTGAGGCAGTGCATCTCTTCAAGACAGTGTATCTCGGCGTTACGTATCTCGGCGTTACACCTGTGATGGAGGATTTTACCTATTGTGCATATTTCAGAAAGACCCTGTTCTGACTGGGATTTGAACCCAGGACCTTCTTGCTGAGAGACGAGGGTGCTATCCACTCAGCCACCGTGCCGAGAAAATGATAAATATCTGAGCCCTTTTTTTACAGACCTTGGTGTGTAAAATGCACTATATAAATAAATATTGCATACTTCAAGCAAACATTGTTGGCTCACATGAAGATTTCTCAACTGTCGGTAATCTCCATAATACACACCCTTTTTTTCTTTTTTCAGATGCTTGTGGTTGTTGAACAGAGCCTGAAGACTAAACGGTTTGTTATGATCTTTGTGTTTACAAAATAAGAGTTCCAGTGTGATGATTAGACGTGTGAGATAATGAGTAACAAACTCCATCTTGTTGTAACACTTTAACTTCTACCAACAAAGTTACTCAGCAACCACATTCTACCATGAGCCTCTTGGAGAAATACAATCGCTGAATGTGTGACTACCTCCGAAGGCATCTAACCTACTTCAGGTCACACCATTCTCTTCATAGTAATGTAGAAGCAAACACATTAATACTAAACAATAGGTTTCAATATAGGTTTTTAACTCGTGGATCTGCCATTAGTTGTAGTAATCGTGTCTTAGTTCGACCAAAACTATATAAACAAACTGTCATTAAAAGGCTGGAGGTCAGGTCATGCAGATTTGGGAGTGTTTGTTTGTCATTGTTTTATTGTTGTAAGAGGGAGCTGGTTGTAATAGTAGTAGCAGTTGTAGAAATAATAGTCAAAAGTCAAAACTAGCTTAGTTAAGTGTATTATTTTATGGTTTCTTAAGAGACAACCAAACTTTCAACTAGAATTATAAAACGGCTTCTTTTATATAGCTGGAAACTACTTCATTCAAGCATCCATCCATCCATCCATTTTCTTCCCCTTAATCCATTTCTGGGTCGGGGGTGGCAGTCAGAGCTGCACCCAGTCGACAGAGCACCAGCTCCTCACTGATCCTCCTGCAGGTGGTGAGTCCACAGGAGCCTTGATCTTTCAGGCAAAGTGGGGTTAAGTGTCTTGCCCAAGGACACAACGACAGCAGTCATCAGTGGGAGAGTTCTTTCAAGCATTTTCTACCTTATTACCCCCACATGCAAGTGGGTGTTTGTAAGCAAGATTGCGCAAAAACTGTTGGACAGATTGACCTGAAATGAGGTGTGTAGGTGGCTGTGAAAGTAGGAAGACCCTATTCATATGTTGAGATGATCCATGGTGTTGGCGGGGAATGAACTCTTCAAGTTTTAGTGCTTTTTACACAATAGTGAGTAAAGCTCAAACTCACATCCAGAAACCTCCTGTTCTTGTCGAGCTGTTTCTCCAGAGCGTAGACCTGTTGCTGCAGGTCTTCGGTCTCGTTGGTCTGGGAGTGCTCCATCTCCATGACGCGGGTCACCTGCTCCTCCAGCTCCACCTCCAGCAGCTTCACCTGCTTCAGGAGGTCTGCGCTCTGCTTCTCCGCCTGACGCTGCACCTCCACCTTCTCCTGCATCAGCTTCTCCGTCTCCTCCAGAAGGTCTGCCCAGGGACCAGCCACAAGTTAGTGAGTGTTCAAACAATCACACCAGAGTGAAGCTATGGAAGCAGAGAAAGAGCCATCGAAGAGTCTGGTGCTTAGGATCTTCTTATCCAGTATGTCATGATTACTATATCGACTAATGGATAAAGCTGAATATTTTGAACCTCAGTTTTAGCTTTAGAGAGATCAAAATGACTAATGACTGCTGTATTGTATATCAATATTGTTTATCGAAATAATATATCAAAGTAATCAATTGTCTGCCAAAAGGAGTCATGATACGAGTTATTTACTGCCTGTTGTTAAGCCAGATTGCTAAAAAAGTTTTTACTTTTACTTACTTACTTACACTTGGAGGATAAATACCTAAGACTATTGGTTTCTAACATGTTATCTGTGATTTGAGGGAAAGTCCCTTCACAAATCGGTATTTGTAAATATCAGATGAGGTTCCCTAATCTGGAATCCCCAATTATGCCATTGATAATGTTGGCAGCAAAAATTCCAGTTAACTTCTAACGGTTTCCAAAGAGGAATCCGTAAGAGTTCCACATGGAGTTATTACCGCAAAGAACATAAATAAGACATTTATAAAAGATAAACATTAAATACATGTCATAGATCTGGCATTTACTTTTTAACAAAAAGTTGATATAGTCCTGATCATGACAAACCTATTCATGAAAAGCAGGTGTAGAAATAAAGCAACATGTGTAATATCTGTAACCAGACTCTTCTTAGGTCTTTTTCAACATCGCTACATCATGCCCAGTCCCAAACACCCTCCGTCACCATGATCCGACCCACATCTACCACCAGTGAATCAGCCCCTCCACCTCACGTACCCCCTTCAGTATTAGTGGCAATGTGAAAAAGTCAAAGGAGCAGGAGTGCAGACAGCGTGGACATGTGGACAGGCACTTTCCATGCCCCATGAGCATGAACAGGCAAAGGGGGAGGAGGTTCCTGGACTGCCAATCATTCGAGATTTTGAACATGCCAGAGACACCGATTGGAAAAGTCAGATAACTTTACAGAGGCTTAATTTGAGGATGATTGACATTAAGGAAAGCGGCATACAAATAAAGGTCTCAAGCATACTTGCCTTTATGCATGCCTTGATATATGCTAACAATATTGATTCAAAAACATAAAAGTGACAAGACGTACGATCAAATGAAAAGCTGAAGCCAAGGATAGTGATAGCATCGAGTATGTGAGAGCCCATAGCAAGCAAGCTTCAAGTCTGTGTCGATGAGTCGCTGGATTAATGTTAGAAACGTATAATAGCACGCAGCTAAAATACTTATAAAAAAGAGAAATGAGACATGACCGAGCCATGCGTGAAGTGGACACACCTGCTTCTGGAGCTGCAACCATTGCAGCTTCAACTAGGCCTACAGGAGAATCAGAAAGCACAGTATTTGTCATGCTGCGGTCTTTAAATGAACAGAAAAGTGGAGGAGAACAGGTTTCCTCAGTGAGACGTGAAGAACAGGAAGTGAAAGTAAAGCTCTACTGTTACGGTAAAAGCCCAGTGGTTTGTTCTGCTACGACAAATACTCACCATTTTATCATTGAATGTGGTCAAGAAACACCTTATCGATAATAAATATATGTTATGGTTCAACAATACAATTATTTCATTAAAACTATTTCAAATAAATAAGTGACAAACCTCTCAATGTAAACAATATACAGAATGTAATGTTACAAAAGTATTATCTATGGTGCTATCTAAATACAGTCTGAGTTATGAGACACATTAATACCATAATTTTGTTAGTAAATTCAATAAGGAGGCTAAAAATCTAATCTACAAATACATATTTATAGACTTCATGACATTCAACCCTCTCTAGGGTGTCATTATTTGTAATCCACACACTGTGTAGTAGTTGTCACAGTAGTAGTACTTACGTAGCTCTCGGGGCCCCGCCTCCTCCCTCATGGCATCCTGTTGCCGTGACAACAGCTCTCTCTCCTCCAGCATCTGAAGTCTCTCTTGCTCCAGCTCTTGCAGACGGGAGCCGGTCACCTAACACCACAGTAGAACACATGAAAGCTTTGTAACAGACCTCTACAGTAAATCTCTCATGTTCCATTTTGTTAAAACTAATCAATTCATAGTTTGTGAATATTTCATTTAATTTTTTTCTCACATGTGCACATCTGCACATGTGAGAGCTGAAACATGTACTGATCCGAATAATGCATGGACTAAATGTATATTTCATCAACATTGGTGGATGAAGAGCTGAATGTATAATAAATACTGATGCATGGATTGGTCTGGCTCTATGTTTCATGAGGACCCTTCACCTCCAGCTCCTGCTCCAAGGTCAGCTGCAGCTCCTCTTTCTGACGCAGCTGCTCCTCCAGCGCGGCCCGTTCCCCCGTGTAGCCATCGATCACACCTTCAAACAACACAGAACAAATACTTAACAATGATTTAACATGTAAAGTAAACAGTGCTTCTAACTCATGTATCACAGTTGGTGAAGTATAACATGCAGCATGTGTCACTGTGACTGGTACTGTACATTAAAACCTACAAAGAGTGTCGTAAGGGAGTCTTTTTCTTGCACCACTTAACACAGGAATTTATGGCGATTACTTTGAGTCTTGCCTCATTACCACAAACACATTCAGAGCAGCTATCCAGAAGAATGAGCGTTTTAAAACATTGACCAGCTCTATAAAAACAATGCATTATTTATTGGATGTTTAACTGAAATTCACCAGACTCCTAATGTTTAGGATTGTAAAAGATTGCTTCTGATTTCAACATTGGATACAACATCATACTAATACTTTTGCCTGTGTTTTTGATTATGACTATGGTTGTACATGGGAAACATTGAACTGGCATCCGGGCAAAAGTACTGTATGAACAAATGCAAAGTGACCCATTTAGCTTTAAAAGAGTGGCACAATGAACTGCTGTATTACTGTCGTGCTCACAGGCCAGTGAGCATCAGAGACGGCCCTCACTTCACTGAGAGGTCTAACAAACATAATACCAGTTACCAGAAACGGTCAGGGCTAGCGTGATGACAAAACCCTGTCAATGTTTCTTACACATTTCAAATCTAACACAATTTTCAGGACAATTTGCTTAAAGTGTTGGTACAATACCAGGCTTTCAGACATTTTTCATCTCAATGATAGACATGTATTGTGTTTGTGTACCCTTGCTTACCGTATCAAACTTTTTTTGTGCCCTCACTCCTTTATTTATTCATTAATTTGACAGGGACAATGTATTTGAATGTAGTTACAGCAGAAAAGATGCAACACATGCCACAGAGTGTATAGATAATGCTAATTTTCAACTCCTGTCCCTATATAATCCTTTTCTTATTGCGTTGTAACAAAAAACAAAAAACAAAAAGTAAAAAACATTTACTATAGTTCAAGATGATTTCATGATTAAAATGCATCAATTTGAACTAAACAAAACCAAACGCCTGCTGTGTCAGACGTCAGGTGATTGTTTTATTTCCTAGACCAGGAACTAAAGGAGTCACGTTTGTTTAAGGAGGGACACAGACAACAGCTGCACATAATCACTATTCTACTCTGTGACACGTAATAGAAACATGTCCTGAAGCAGCAGCAACAGAATCCTTATGCAGTATGTGGAGGCAGTTCAAAAGGGAACAATACTTCATACTTTTTTACACAGATACATTTGACTTTGAAGACATGATTAATATAATAATAAAAATAAGTTGACTCAAGATTAACTCTTCTTGGATTGACTTCAAAATCTTTTGCCTTTTTGCCTGATTTTCTTTTGCCTTATGGCAGCCTCAAATGATCTAACCTGAACCATTTCCATGTGTAAAAAACTGAAAGTAGAAGATACAGCTTTCTCCCAATATGCTTCTTCTAAATGGAACGCTCTCAGTTTATTTATATACTAGTAATAATGTATACTATATATATGTCAATCACTAGTATACATTATTTACTAGTGATTGACTTTTGTAAGTGCTTTGTACAAGAGAACTCCCAAAAGCTGCATGAGTGAATGAGTGCGGGCCATTTATGTACAATATTAGTTGTATTTCCACATATTTAATGCCAAGGTGAGAGGATTTGGTTGTTGCATTTCAAAGACAAAACACACAACTTCACAAAACTAAATGCAGTACAACTACATTTTTCATGCATCAAAACTCCAACTCATGCGACGCACAGCAACAGTTTTGACAATATGTTTCATTGCCAAATCTGATTCTTTCAAAAATTATGTAAAATGCAAGTTAAAATATACAATTGGCATTTTTCACATTGAAAGAATTGTTGAATGTTATAAGCAAAGTCATAATTTGCCCATTCAGTAATCTTTACGGACTGCCATGTTTGCTCATCGACATCTGACACTGACAAAGATCTATTTGCAGCTTGAGCCTCATCTTTGGTTAAATTCAAAACCTGTTTGAATAGACCACACCTGTTGCTTTGAGCTGCCTCAATCACCAACACAAATCAAAGGACAAATAATTCCTCCACCTAACGCGTAATAGATTTGAATCAATCATTCTTAATTAATAATATAACACGTCAAATGAACCACCCTATTTTTAATGATATTTTATAACATACTGCTCCTAAAGGTTACTATAACTATAACAACTTAAAGTAAATATTAGCTTGATTGAAAACAAACCTTGTAGCAGGACACTGCACAGGCTGAGAAAGTGACACTAAAAACACAGAGTCGCTTTAGGAGGCAATACTCACAATTGGTTTGTTCCCAAAGGGAGAAAGGACAAGAGTTGTATTGTGTCTCCAGCTTTAGATGTGGGAGAATGAGTTCCTGTGAACCAGGTGCTCATGACATCGATGGGAATTAACCGTTTTAAGCTCTAAGCGGTTTTCTCAACGTTACTGTACCCCACAGAGCAAGATGGGAATATGTTTTGTATTGTAAAGAAGCCATTGCTTGCTTAAACTCAGTGACCAGACAAGTAGAATGTCTGGCCCAAGGACACATAAAAAGGAATTGAAAACCTTAGGAATTTCATGAAAACAAAAACCAACAACGTAATGTTAATGGAATATGGATTCTCCTCACACTAAAGCAGAATCAGTAGGAAACAATAAAAACACATTCATTATGGTTTCAGTCCAAACGCATCTAATTATCAAGCAAGTGTCTGAGAAAGTAGAGGTGCAATGTAGCCAGCTGTTGTTAGCTTAGCATGATGGCAAAGTGCACAGTGGGATGTTAAAATATGAAAAGCTTTCATAGACTCATGGAATGTGAGAGAAATGGAGGAATGAGCTGTAAAACTATGGTTGAGGATTTAGATACAGTTCCATCATGTTTGGTAACGTGTGGAGGTGGTGCAGGTAGAGGTGGTGCTTGGGGAGGTGCAGGTGGAGGTGTTGCTGTGAAGGTGGTGCAGGTGGAGGTGGTGTATGTTGAAGTGGTGCAGGTAGAGGTGGTGCTTGGGGAGGTGCAGGTGGAGGTGTTGCTGTGAAGGTGGTGCAGGTGGAGGTGGTGTATGTTGAAGTGGTGCATGTGGAGGTGGTGCTTGGGGAGGTGGAAGAGGTGCATGTGGAGGTGGTGCAGGTGGAAAAGGTGCAGGTGGTGCTTCCTGCTTCTGGACAGAGCAGTCGCATTCTCTTGCTGCTCCTCGCTTGCTGCTTTTTTATCTCCTTTAATCATTTTTGCTTACATTTTTATTCCACAAAACACGGATTACTCCTTTTTACAAACTTCAACACAAGACTTGTGGAATTTACCTAACTTACAGCATGTCGGGAGGACGGGAAAGAACAAAACTTTGCGACGGCTGTTTTTCACTCAAACAGGAGCTAAAACTTCTTCAAGACCGAATGTTTGTGCTTGAATCAGAATTGGGGCTGAACACAACAATACCAGTGAAAGGAAATGGACCACATGGACAGAACGTAAGTTATGATGACGCTATTTCATTTCCCAAAATCAACAGAGACAATTGTTGGAACACATATGGTGCCAAGCCCAAACAAGGCAAAGCTAATGATAACAAGAGTGTCATAATGCCACAGCAAAAATCTTTAATTACAAGAAACCGCTTTTCACCACTTTTGGAAGATGAATCAGCAGTAGTCTCTACAACAAAGCTGCTAAAAACTGCAGCGCCTCCACCAAGGACAAACTGTGTCCTTATCGGAGATGGCTCGGTGAAAAATGTAAACATGGAGTCCATGCTCACTGTCTCAGTTCACTCTGCTAAAGTTGCTGAGATAAGAACTCTCCTGCCTAAAGTGTTATCTGAGAACAGTGGTGTGCGTACATTATTGATCCACACGGGGGCGGTAGATATCTATGAGAAGGCAAGCGAGAAGTTACGAATGGATTTAACGCTGTTACTGGATGACCTCAAGAAAATGGACATAACAATTTTTCTTAGTGGCCCACTGCCAAATATAGATGGAAAAATGGAGAAGTTTAGCCGTCTGTATCAGCTAAACACATTCCTACTCAATGAGTGTTCACGCAGAGGACTTGGATTCATTGAAAACTTTAATCTGTTCTGGAATAGGCACGAGCTTTTTGAAGAAAAAGGCCCACATCTGAACAACTACGGAGTAAAAGTGCTGATGGATAACTTTGCATCTGCCCTAAGACCTCAGCCTGCGCAGCGCGTGCAGCCGTTGAAAGGGAGAAAGAAGAAGCAAAGGGCACAGACATCACGACCATCTCCACCGACTCCCGAGGTCTCTGCACCCCCACCGCCTCAAAAGAACTCCACACCTCCACGATTCAAGAAGAACTCAACACCTCCAAGGTTCCAAAAGAACTCAATACCTCCACGGCTTCGAAAGAGCTCAACGCCTCCACCCCCAGCATCATCAGCAGCTGCCACATCTTCATCAGCGCCATCAGCATATACAGCACCACCAGCAGCAGTGGATACAGCCGCAGCAGTGGCTGCTCCATCATCTTCAGCAGCAGCAGTGGATACAGCAGCAGCAGTGGCTGCTCCATCATCTTCAGCAGCAGCAGTGGATACAGCCGCAGCAGTGGCTGCTCCATCATCTTCAGCAGCAGCAGTGGCTGCTCCATCATCTTCACCAGCAGCAGTGGATACAGCAGCAGCAGTGGCTGCTCCATCATCTTCAGCAGCAGCAGTGGCTGCTCCGTCATCTTCAGCAGCACCTTCCCCACCTACAGCTCCCGTGAAGCTTCCCCCATTACTCCAGGCTACAGTCAGGCCTGTACTGGGGGTTCCTCAACCACCTCTGTCTCCACCAAAGACTCCCTCATCACCTTCCATGGACCCGGCTTGGGTCCCCCCCGCTACATCCACTCCATCTAGGGAAAATGAGGACGACCTTTCCCTTTGTTTTCTATCCCCGCCTTCACTACTGGATTTACCGGAACACTCTGCAGGCATGATAAGATCGGCGATGAAGACTATTCCTCTCACACCCACTGTAGCCAGATCAAGAGTCCTATCTAACATTCAAAACTACTCCCCATACGTACCTCCAAAGCCACCTAGGGCGTCCAACTCAAATTCTCCCACAAAATCCACCCGTCCCTCCTCTAACCCCATAAGTATTCCACCCCCCCCTCCTGCTCATTTAGCCCACCTCCCCCCCCCTAACTCAGCACCAAGAAACCCTCCACCTCCACTCCCCCCTCGTCCACCACCCAACTCAGCCTGCCCCTCCCCTAACCCATCACCAAAAACCCATCCACCTCCCTGCCCCCCTCGTTCAACACCCAAAAGCCACCCACCTCTCCATCCTCCTCCCCCGCCTTCCCCTACCCCTCTTTTCTCTAAACACTAGGATGCACAGGGTCTCTGCTTCGCAGCCACTGGCAGTCTAGTTAGAGGAGAGACCCGGCTGGGGCCCTGTCATGAAGCCACCTGTGCCATTCCCTTAGTGATAACACAAAGAATACATTACAGAAAAACATCTGGAGTTAATCAGTCTAATCTGGAAAATCTAATTCTTGTTCCGTGTAAGAATCAGCCGACCGCAACCGCTGATACTGAAACTTTGAAACTTGCTACGCTTAATGTCAGATCTCTTTGTAACAAGTCTTTTTTAATCAATAATTTTATTTCTTCTCATAATCTTGATCTTATGTTCAAAGGCTGAAACTTGGCTTGACCAAAATTCAGAAAATGCAGTTTTAATAGAAGCATCACCACCAAATTTCAAGTTTGAATCTGAAATACGGGAAAACAAAAAAGGAGGAGGCTTAGCTGCCATTTTTAGAGACCACTTTGTCTCCCATAGAATGTCTCTTGGGAAGTTTTCGTCATTTGAATATGTGTCTTTTAAAATACAACAAAAACAATCTCCTCCAATACTCTTCGTTGTCCTATACAAGCCACCGCAGTCATGTCACAGTTTTATTGATCATTTTACCGAGTTGCTTTCAGTTGTATGCACAGATTTTGATAGTTTGGTTATTACAGGTGATTTTAATATTCATGTGGATAATGTTGATGACAGAAATGCAAATGAGCTGAGTTCTGTACTTGAATCCTTTGATCTCACTCAGCACGTAAGTGGCCCCACCCACAGCAGAGGGCACACTCTAGATCTGTTAGTTACAAAGGGGGTGATTATTTCAAATGTAAACGTGGTCGATGTTGCTCTTTCGGATCATTTCTGTGTTTTTTTTGACATGTGTTTCACTAACAAACCACCAGTGGACTCTGCAACTGTTCGAAGAAGGCGCATAAATGAAAATACGAGTGAACTATTTATGGAAATGATAAACTTTGAGAATGCATCGTATTCTACTGTAGATGAACTGTTTAACTCTGTCACCTCTAGTGTTTTGAATGTTCTGGATACCGTTGCCCCTGTGAAGGTTAAAATAGTGAAAAATAAGCAGAAGGCGCCGTGGGCTAAAGCAGACTCGGTCAGGGCACAAAAGAGAAAGTGCCGGAGGGCCGAGCGGAAGTGGCGCAAGTCCAACCTCCAGGTAGATTACGAGATCTTCAAAGATAAGTTGTGCGAGTTTAACCGGGTGCTACGTAGTACGAGAGAAAGGTATTTTTCTGAAATGATTGAAGGCTGCAGCAACAATCTGCGTGTTCTGTTCTCAACAGTTAATAGATTAACAAACCCCCCTGTTCAAATGCCATTAGAGCTTACTTCCAAACGTAAATGCAATGAGTTTGCTAATTTTTTCAATGACAAGGTTCAAGGCATCAAAAGCGCCATTGTCTCCAATCCACAGATAACCATCCAACAGCCAGAAAGGCTCTCTGAGCTAACTCACTTTGCACCTGTAAATGATAAAACTGTCCAAGAGATAATCTCCAGTTTGAGCTCCTCCACATGCAGCCTGGATGTACTACCCACTAGATTTCTGAAGTCTGTTCTGAGCAGTCTGTTACCTTCACTCACACAGATAGTAAACATGTCCCTTCATTCTGGAATATTCCCAAAGGCCCTGAAAACTGCAGTCATCAGGCCCCTGCTAAAAAAGAGCAGTCTGGATGCCACTGTACTTAACAACTATCGTCCCATCTCAAATCTGCCATTTATGGGGAAAGTCCTTGAGAAAGTTGTCTACCTACAGCTTACTAGATTTCTTATAATCAACAACTCATTTGATATGTTTCAGTCCGGCTTTAGACCCCACCACAGCACTGAGACTGCTCTCGTTAAGGTTACAAACGATATCCGGCTGAACACTGACGCAGGCAAAGTCTCAATCTTAATCTTGTTAGATCTAAGTGCTGCCTTTGACACCGTCGACCATGAGATCCTCTTACAGAGACTAGAGGACTGGGTTGGCGTCACTGGCACCGCCCTAAGTTGGTTTAGGTCTTACCTTGAAGACAGGAAGTACTTTGTGGAGATTGGAAACTGTGTCTCAGATCATATGGCCCTGACCTGTGGAGTCCCACAGGGGTCGATCCTGGGACCTCTTCTGTTCAATCTCTACATGCTGCCGTTAGGTCAGTTAATACGCAGAAACAAAGTTTCCTATCATAACTATGCAGACGACACTCAGATCTATGTCTCACTGACTGCAGGAGAACATGGACCAGTGGACTCACTCCTTCACTGTATCCAACAGATCAGTGAGTGGATGCAAAACAACTTCCTTCAGCTAAACGCAGACAAAACTGAAATGATTGTCTTTGGTCCCCAGAAACAAAGAGAGAGCGTCATCTGTCACCTACAGTCTCTCTCCCTAAAACCTTCAAACAAGGTCAGAAATCTAGGGGTAATACTGGACTCAGACTTAAATTTTAATAGCCACATCAAATCAGTAACATCAGCAGCTTTTTACCATCTAAAAAACATTGCCAGGATCAAAAACATAGTGTCTAAAGCAGACTTGGAGATTCTTATCCATGCATTTGTCTCCAGTAGGTTAGACTACTGCAATGGCCTGCTCACAGGTCTGTCCAAACAGGCTGTAAAACAGCTGCAGTACATTCAAAATGCAGCAGCTCGAGTCCTGACAAGAACCAGGAAGTACGACCATATTAGTCCAGTCCTCAGGTCTCTGCACTGGCTTCCTGTGGCTCAGAGAATAGACTTTAAAACAGCTCTGCTTGTGTACAAGTCTCTCCATAGCCTCGCACCAAAATATATTAGTGACATGTTAGTCCCATATGAACCAGCCCGGACTCTGAGGAGCACAGGGACTGGACTCCTGTTAGTGCCCAGAGTCAGAACTAAACATGGGGAGGCTGCTTTTCAGATTAATGCTGCTAAAATCTGGAACAGTCTTCCTGAAGATGTGAGACAGGCCTCCTCTCTGACAATGTTTAAAACCAGGTTAAAGACGGTTCTGTTTAACTGTGCATACAACTGAGGGATTTTATATTTTTATCTTTCTTTTTAATGTTCTGTGATAATTTATGATTTTAATGCTTTCTTGTTTTGTTCAGCACTTTGAATTGCCTTGTGTATGAATTGTGCTATATAAATAAACTTGCCTTGCCTTGCCTTGCCATATGGAGGAGGTGCAAGTGGAGGTACTGCATATGGAGGTGGTGCTTGGGGAGGTGGTACATGGGGTGGAGGTGGAGGTTGTGCATGTGGAAGTGGTGCAGGTGGAGGTGGTGCATGTGAAAGATGTGGTGCATGTTGAGGTTATGCAGGTGGAGGTGGTGCATGTGAAAGATGTGGTGCATGTGGAGGTTATGCAGGTGGAGGTGGTGCATATGAAAAGGTGGTGAATGATGTGCATGTGAAGGAGGAGGTGCTGGTGGAGGAGGTGCTGGTGGAGGAGGTGCTGGTGGAGGTGGTGCAGGTGGAGGTGGTGCTGTGGGACTGACCCTCTGCTCGGTGCAGCTCCAGAGCCAGTTGTTCTCGTGCTCGCGCCTCCTCGGAGAGCCGCTCCTGCAGCTCGTCCTGCCGCTGCAGCAGGTCACTCATCTCCTGGTTGTGTCTGAACGACTCCCGCATCAGCTCCGTCTGCGTCAGCTTCGCATGCTCCAGCTGCAACAGGAAGTAGATTATTCCTCAACTCTGAAGAAATGAATGGAATGACCAGGTGTGTCCTTCAAAATAAATAACTGACAAAGTATGTATTAAATCAGATATTATTATAGATCCATGGTTATATCAGATCATTTAATTCAATATAACACGTATTAGTTATACTTTCTGAACAGGGCCTTTTTGAGTGGAGTTTGCATGTTCTCCCCGTGCTCCCTACCACTAAAAACATGCACACTAGGTTAAATCTGAGCATCAACATCTGGAGATGGGTTCCCGGGCGCTGTTACTACGGTGACCACTGCTCCTGACGTAAGCCTTAGTGGCATCAGGATGGGTCAAATGCAGAGGATAAAGTGCCCTACGGGGATTGATAAAGTGCACCTTTACTATCACCTTTACGTTCAGTACAATGTATTTTACACCCACTGCCTGAAAGTCAGGTGACTAGAGCTTTTATCACTTAATAAAAAGTGATCCACAACAGTACATCATTTTATAAGCCTTTGATGTGACCATTCATTTTCTTGTTACTTTCCAAGTTTCCATAAATTTCCCTATCTGCTCGAGCAAAGGTCTTGTTGCATATAAAGTGAACCAGGAAGTCACACGTGTCATTTATAGCGTGCTATAAAATTTCACACGGTTTCCACAGTTGTGCTGCTAGGCACTAATGTCGACTGCTCAACACGAGAAGCCTTTACATGTACAGGCCTGAAGTGAATCATAAGTTAGCTGTGGTGAAATATTTAATAGATCCAGTTCTTCTCAGCCACTCAAAATAACAGAATGTATAATTTCAAATCTATGCAGTTTCCCGGCAGTAACTTACTGTGTAAGGTGGAGTGGGGAGGGAAATTTTGGAGATAACTTTAAGAAGATGGCCATTTGTCCGGTGGTTGACGTGAGAGATCTTGGTTTGTACAACCACTGAATTTTTCTCATTTAAAGTGCTACACAAGGGGAACGGCCGGGGCAGGGGTACCCGGGACTCGACCTCATAGACGTCCTGGTCCTCCCCTTCGACCCATGTGGTGCTGTGCATTCTCGAGTTCCAATAGGACCTGTACGAATCCATGGTGAAGGATGGATTTGACGCTTGTTTGTAAAATACATTAAACGCTTCTGTCATTCATAATAATCCGACAGATAGTGCCCGGGTTGGTGCCAGACCTCAAATGGGAATAAATCCAGTGGGGACAAGTAGAAGAGGCTCTGAGGTTGTTGATATATCACTGAGCAACTGTTTCTAAGCATTGGCAGCGGACACAAGAAGAAGGGTAAACAATATAGGTAGTGTGACATTCACGTCACCGCCGTCACATGCCACCTGCTGGAGGTAGAACCAGTTCCAGGTAAATACAGGGGGAGACTTAATCCAAGGCAGGTCAGTGGCTGTGAGACAAGGTGAGGGAGAGGTCCTGTTCTGAAGAGTCATCCTCGGCTGATTGTTCTTTCCACTTTTGAGTCCAGCAGGGCACGGTTAATCCAAAAACAGGAGCGACTGAGGTATGTAAACAAAAAAACCTGCATGTTTCCTCTTTGGTGATCCTTTCCCTGAGATTCCAGTGACCTTGTTTCTTCACAGTCGAGTCAGATCAAGCCGCTCAGTGAAAGCTCGCTCCCCCACGTCTGTTCTCTCTCTCTCCGCCTCTCTCTGGAGATTCATTAACAATACCGTGCAGCCGTAGCAACCCCGACCTGAACGGAAAGCTCCCGGGGGCCTCCTCTAGTTGTCCTGCAGCCTGCTGAGCTTGTAATGACAGCGCAAAACATTTCTTCCCTCCGTGATTCCTATTGGCGCGGTTGTCATCCTGGTTGCATGCCTGCCCCTCTCTGACACCATTCTACTACAACTGAGCTTTTTTTCCTCTCTCCTGACAAGTGGAGCGCACTAAGTCCAGGCACGCTACTGACTTAGTGACTCAGCTAACTCCAGAGAGTGTATTTCTAAAGCATGCGCAGACTTCCAGAGAAATCCATCCACAGAGAGAGCGTTTCACTTCCGATATTCATTTTACACACCAGGATGTTGTCTTGCTAACGTGGGAGGGAAAAGTAGGTGTGGTTTTATGCTATTACCCAGGTAGTTTGCAAATATAGACACAATGATCTCTTTCAACTCCTCCCTTTAACCACTGAAGTTGCCCGACTGGATTTTCTCTTGTTGCGTCAGAACAGAGAGGACTTAATGGTTAAGGCGTTTTGACAAGTTCCTGGCCCCACCTACTGACAATGTTTGACTTGTCATGCTCTGAAGTACTCTTTAAATGGACGGGTGAAAAAGCAAACAAGTTATCAGTAGTATCAAATTCACAGCTACCACAGACACTTAACATTTCTCACTAGCTTCTGGCATCAATTTGTTTTTTTTCTTTTCTCTGAGGAGTGGACGAGACACAATGATCTAAAGGCGGCTGCTTGACCAGAGACTAATGTACATCCGATCAATAGTAACAGGGAAATCATTGAACAGGCCATTTCGGGTGATTACACGTTTATTGTGCCGTAGATTGCCTGTGCTGCCTGTTGACAATGCAAATAACTCTTTTACGTCACACTGACTTCAAGACATATAGTAAAGCTGAAATTTAATCTAAACAAATAGTTTCTGGACTTAAGCCACAATTTAAGACACAAATGTATGTATCTTTTTTAAATGTGTAGCAGCCACTGGCAGTCTAGTAGAGGAGAGACTTATGTTCAAAGGCTGAAACTTGGCTTGACCAAAATTCAGAAAATGCAGTTTTAATAGAAGCATCACCACCAAAATTTCAAGTTTGAATCTGAAATACGGGAAAACAAAAAAGTTTGAATCTGAAATACGGAGGAGGCTTAGCTGCCATTTTTAGAGACCACTTTGTCTCCCATAGAATGTCTCTTGGGAAGTTTTCGTCATTTGAATATGTGTCTTTTAAAATACAACAAAAACAATCTCCTCCAATACTCTTCGTTGTCCTATACAAGCCACCGCAGTCATGTCACAGTTTTATTGATCATTTTACCGAGTTGCTTTCAGTTGTATGCACAGATTTTGATAGTTTGGTTATTACAGGTGATTTTAATATTCATGTGGATAATGTTGATGACAGAAATGCAAATGAGCTGAGTTCTGTACTTGAATCCTTTGATCTCACTCAGCACGTAAGTGGCCCCACCCACAGCAGAGGGCACACTCTAGATCTGTTAGTTACAAAGGGGGTGATTATTTCAAATGTAAACGTGGTCGATGTTGCTCTTTCGGATCATTTCTGTGTTTTTTTTGACATGTGTTTCACTAACAAACCACCAGTGGACTCTGCAACTGTTCGAAGAAGGCGCATAAATGAAAATACGAGTGAACTATTTATGGAAATGATAAACTTTGAGAATGCATCGTATTCTACTGTAGATGAACTGTTTAACTCTGTCACCTCTAGTGTTTTGAATGTTCTGGATACCGTTGCCCCTGTGAAGGTTAAAATAGTGAAAAATAAGCAGAAGGCGCCGTGGGCTAAAGCAGACTCGGTCAGGGCACAAAAGAGAAAGTGCCGGAGGGCCGAGCGGAAGTGGCGCAAGTCCAACCTCCAGGTAGATTACGAGATCTTCAAAGATAAGTTGTGCGAGTTTAACCGGGTGCTACGTAGTACGAGAGAAAGGTATTTTTCTGAAATGATTGAAGGCTGCAGCAACAATCTGCGTGTTCTGTTCTCAACAGTTAATAGATTAACAAACCCCCCTGTTCAAATGCCATTAGAGCTTACTTCCAAACGTAAATGCAATGAGTTTGCTAATTTTTTCAATGACAAGGTTCAAGGCATCAAAAGCGCCATTGTCTCCAATCCACAGATAACCATCCAACAGCCAGAAAGGCTCTCTGAGCTAACTCACTTTGCACCTGTAAATGATAAAACTGTCCAAGAGATAATCTCCAGTTTGAGCTCCTCCACATGCAGCCTGGATGTACTACCCACTAGATTTCTGAAGTCTGTTCTGAGCAGTCTGTTACCTTCACTCACACAGATAGTAAACATGTCCCTTCATTCTGGAATATTCCCAAAGGCCCTGAAAACTGCAGTCATCAGGCCCCTGCTAAAAAAGAGCAGTCTGGATGCCACTGTACTTAACAACTATCGTCCCATCTCAAATCTGCCATTTATGGGGAAAGTCCTTGAGAAAGTTGTCTACCTACAGCTTACTAGATTTCTTATAATCAACAACTCATTTGATATGTTTCAGTCCGGCTTTAGACCCCACCACAGCACTGAGACTGCTCTCGTTAAGGTTACAAACGATATCCGGCTGAACACTGACGCAGGCAAAGTCTCAATCTTAATCTTGTTAGATCTAAGTGCTGCCTTTGACACCGTCGACCATGAGATCCTCTTACAGAGACTAGAGGACTGGGTTGGCGTCACTGGCACCGCCCTAAGTTGGTTTAGGTTTTACCTTGAAGACAGGAAGTACTTTGTGGAGATTGGAAACTGTGTCTCAGATCATATGGCCCTGACCTGTGGAGTCCCACAGGGGTCGATCCTGGGACCTCTTCTGTTCAATCTCTACATGCTGCCGTTAGGTCAGTTAATACGCAGAAACAAAGTTTCCTATCATAACTATGCAGACGACACTCAGATCTATGTCTCACTGACTGCAGGAGAACATGGACCAGTGGACTCACTCCTTCACTGTATCCAACAGATCAGTGAGTGGATGCAAAACAACTTCCTTCAGCTAAACGCAGACAAAACTGAAATGATTGTCTTTGGTCCCCAGAAACAAAGAGAGAGCGTCATCTGTCACCTACAGTCTCTCTCCCTAAAACCTTCAAACAAGGTCAGAAATCTAGGGGTAATACTGGACTCAGACTTAAATTTTAATAGCCACATCAAATCAGTAACATCAGCAGCTTTTTACCATCTAAAAAACATTGCCAGGATCAAAAACATAGTGTCTAAAGCAGACTTGGAGATTCTTATCCATGCATTTGTCTCCAGTAGGTTAGACTACTGCAATGGCCTGCTCACAGGTCTGTCCAAACAGGCTGTAAAACAGCTGCAGTACATTCAAAATGCAGCAGCTCGAGTCCTGACAAGAACCAGGAAGTACGACCATATTAGTCCAGTCCTCAGGTCTCTGCACTGGCTTCCTGTGGCTCAGAGAATAGACTTTAAAACAGCTCTGCTTGTGTACAAGTCTCTCCATAGCCTCGCACCAAAATATATTAGTGACATGTTAGTCCCATATGAACCAGCCCGGACTCTGAGGAGCACAGGGACTGGACTCCTGTTAGTGCCCAGAGTCAGAACTAAACATGGGGAGGCTGCTTTTCAGATTAATGCTGCTAAAATCTGGAACAGTCTTCCTGAAGATGTGAGACAGGCCTCCTCTCTGACAATGTTTAAAACCAGGTTAAAGACGGTTCTGTTTAACTGTGCATACAACTGAGGGATTTTATATTTTTATCTTTCTTTTTAATGTTCTGTGATAATTTATGATTTTAATGCTTTCTTGTTTTGTTCAGCACTTTGAATTGCCTTGTGTATGAATTGTGCTATATAAATAAACTTGCCTTGCCTTGCCTTGCCATATGGAGGAGGTGCAAGTGGAGGTACTGCATATGGAGGTGGTGCTTGGGGAGGTGGTACATGGGGTGGAGGTGGAGGTTGTGCATGTGGAAGTGGTGCAGGTGGAGGTGGTGCATGTGAAAGATGTGGTGCATGTTGAGGTTATGCAGGTGGAGGTGGTGCATGTGAAAGATGTGGTGCATGTGGAGGTTATGCAGGTGGAGGTGGTGCATATGAAAAGGTGGTGAATGATGTGCATGTGAAGGAGGAGGTGCTGGTGGAGGAGGTGCTGGTGGAGGAGGTGCTGGTGGAGGTGGTGCAGGTGGAGGTGGTGCTGTGGGACTGACCCTCTGCTCGGTGCAGCTCCAGAGCCAGTTGTTCTCGTGCTCGCGCCTCCTCGGAGAGCCGCTCCTGCAGCTCGTCCTGCCGCTGCAGCAGGTCACTCATCTCCTGGTTGTGTCTGAACGACTCCCGCATCAGCTCCGTCTGCGTCAGCTTCGCATGCTCCAGCTGCAACAGGAAGTAGATTATTCCTCAACTCTGAAGAAATGAATGGAATGACCAGGTGTGTCCTTCAAAATAAATAACTGACAAAGTATGTATTAAATCAGATATTATTATAGATCCATGGTTATATCAGATCATTTAATTCAATATAACACGTATTAGTTATACTTTCTGAACAGGGCCTTTTTGAGTGGAGTTTGCATGTTCTCCCCGTGCTCCCTACCACTAAAAACATGCACACTAGGTTAAATCTGAGCATCAACATCTGGAGATGGGTTCCCGGGCGCTGTTACTACGGTGACCACTGCTCCTGACGTAAGCCTTAGTGGCATCAGGATGGGTCAAATGCAGAGGATAAAGTGCCCTACGGGGATTGATAAAGTGCACCTTTACTATCACCTTTACGTTCAGTACAATGTATTTTACACCCACTGCCTGAAAGTCAGGTGACTAGAGCTTTTATCACTTAATAAAAAGTGATCCACAACAGTACATCATTTTATAAGCCTTTGATGTGACCATTCATTTTCTTGTTACTTTCCAAGTTTCCATAAATTTCCCTATCTGCTCGAGCAAAGGTCTTGTTGCATATAAAGTGAACCAGGAAGTCACACGTGTCATTTATAGCGTGCTATAAAATTTCACACGGTTTCCACAGTTGTGCTGCTAGGCACTAATGTCGACTGCTCAACACGAGAAGCCTTTACATGTACAGGCCTGAAGTGAATCATAAGTTAGCTGTGGTGAAATATTTAATAGATCCAGTTCTTCTCAGCCACTCAAAATAACAGAATGTATAATTTCAAATCTATGCAGTTTCCCGGCAGTAACTTACTGTGTAAGGTGGAGTGGGGAGGGAAATTTTGGAGATAACTTTAAGAAGATGGCCATTTGTCCGGTGGTTGACGTGAGAGATCTTGGTTTGTACAACCACTGAATTTTTCTCATTTAAAGTGCTACACAAGGGGAACGGCCGGGGCAGGGGTACCCGGGACTCGACCTCATAGACGTCCTGGTCCTCCCCTTCGACCCATGTGGTGCTGTGCATTCTCGAGTTCCAATAGGACCTGTACGAATCCATGGTGAAGGATGGATTTGACGCTTGTTTGTAAAATACATTAAACGCTTCTGTCATTCATAATAATCCGACAGATAGTGCCCGGGTTGGTGCCAGACCTCAAATGGGAATAAATCCAGTGGGGACAAGTAGAAGAGGCTCTGAGGTTGTTGATATATCACTGAGCAACTGTTTCTAAGCATTGGCAGCGGACACAAGAAGAAGGGTAAACAATATAGGTAGTGTGACATTCACGTCACCGCCGTCACATGCCACCTGCTGGAGGTAGAACCAGTTCCAGGTAAATACAGGGGGAGACTTAATCCAAGGCAGGTCAGTGGCTGTGAGACAAGGTGAGGGAGAGGTCCTGTTCTGAAGAGTCATCCTCGGCTGATTGTTCTTTCCACTTTTGAGTCCAGCAGGGCACGGTTAATCCAAAAACAGGAGCGACTGAGGTATGTAAACAAAAAAACCTGCATGTTTCCTCTTTGGTGATCCTTTCCCTGAGATTCCAGTGACCTTGTTTCTTCACAGTCGAGTCAGATCAAGCCGCTCAGTGAAAGCTCGCTCCCCCACGTCTGTTCTCTCTCTCTCCGCCTCTCTCTGGAGATTCATTAACAATACCGTGCAGCCGTAGCAACCCCGACCTGAACGGAAAGCTCCCGGGGGCCTCCTCTAGTTGTCCTGCAGCCTGCTGAGCTTGTAATGACAGCGCAAAACATTTCTTCCCTCCGTGATTCCTATTGGCGCGGTTGTCATCCTGGTTGCATGCCTGCCCCTCTCTGACACCATTCTACTACAACTGAGCTTTTTTTCCTCTCTCCTGACAAGTGGAGCGCACTAAGTCCAGGCACGCTACTGACTTAGTGACTCAGCTAACTCCAGAGAGTGTATTTCTAAAGCATGCGCAGACTTCCAGAGAAATCCATCCACAGAGAGAGCGTTTCACTTCCGATATTCATTTTACACACCAGGATGTTGTCTTGCTAACGTGGGAGGGAAAAGTAGGTGTGGTTTTATGCTATTACCCAGGTAGTTTGCAAATATAGACACAATGATCTCTTTCAACTCCTCCCTTTAACCACTGAAGTTGCCCGACTGGATTTTCTCTTGTTGCGTCAGAACAGAGAGGACTTAATGGTTAAGGCGTTTTGACAAGTTCCTGGCCCCACCTACTGACAATGTTTGACTTGTCATGCTCTGAAGTACTCTTTAAATGGACGGGTGAAAAAGCAAACAAGTTATCAGTAGTACAAATTCACAGCTACCACAGACACTTAACATTTCTCACTAGCTTCTGGCATCAATTTGTTTTTTTTCTTTTCTCTGAGGAGTGGACGAGACACAATGATCTAAAGGCGGCTGCTTGACCAGAGACTAATGTACATCCGATCAATAGTAACAGGGAAATCATTGAACAGGCCATTTCGGGTGATTACACGTTTATTGTGCCGTAGATTGCCTGTGCTGCCTGTTGACAATGCAAATAACTCTTTTACGTCACACTGACTTCAAGACATATAGTAAAGCTGAAATTTAATCTAAACAAATAGTTTCTGGACTTAAGCCACAATTTAAGACACAAATGTATGTATCTTTTTTAAATGTGTAGGCAAGGCTGCGAAAACAAATAAAAAAAATTGTTCATATCATAATAAATGTTTTATATAATTCCTTAATGGGACATTTATGAACAATCGTTAACAAGTCCGGACATGGGTCATCCCACCACCCTTTGGACCATTGTGTTTGTTTTATCATTGTATTTCCGGTGTTCATTGTTTGATTCTTTTTTCTCTATCTGATGGTGAATCGTAAATCTTATCCACAGAGAACACTGCTGCTGGGAATTAAGTAAACAGAAAATACATTCAATTGAACTGAAGGCCATAAGTGCCACAAACAGCCAAACATATTTACTTTTATTGCCACCAGAAGCTTTAGAGTGATTTCATTTCAATGATTCAATCCAGGTTCAAATAGAGTCCACTGAATTGTCCAGGTTCATTTTGAAGGGCTCAATGACCTGAAGCTTCATACTCTCCAACCACACGTGCTACAAAACTGAGGGAGACGTGGAAATGCCTTCTTCACAGTTATTTTTAGACCACAGAGATAAAACTCATCTGAGTGTAAGTAATGCGTGTGCCACACAGCCAACAGGAAGATGAGTCCTGCACCGTCAGACACCACATGAACGCAGCCAATGGCCTAGTTAGACCGGGACCAGCCTCTGTGGACTCACCCCGGCCTCTGTGGACTAACCCCCTGGTCTGAGTGGGAACGGCCTGCAGGGAGGAGGCAGCAGCGGCTCAAAGGGTCCATAAACACAGCGTATCCATGGGCAACCGCTATGAATGAGGGCCGTCTTTATGGACACTGCGACTTTGTTTACAGATACATTCTGTTTCGGCCTCAGTCCCTTTGTAGATGAACAGAGGGGAAACGCTGAGGGGTTAATACTCTGGATGTCGTCAACCAGAGAAATTCTTGGTCGACTCAGCACAAGCCCTATTGATCCATAAAAAGTGGGTGTGTCAAATGCTATATATGTAAATAAGAACATATCTGACCCAAGCTGAAATTGATTTAACAAAAAATAACTATTTAGGCAAAACGTATTTTGGGATTATTAAAACATTATTGATTAAGTAAGTAAGTAAGTAAGTAAAACAACATGGGATTTACCATGAGGGGTAAGTGTATTGTGGTACAAATTTAATTCTAAGATCCATAGACTTAAAACTGAGGTACCTAACTTAAAAAATAAATAATAATAATACTTTGTGTTTGTCCCAACAGAGAAAAATCTTGTAAAAGTAAAATGCTGTCTTTGTCTTTTTAGAAAAAAAATTGTAAACTTGTAAGAAAGCTCTACTTTCAGAAAGAAAAGTGAAAAAGAGAGGATCACACTCACTCAGCCAATCAGCTCTCAGCCAATCAGCTCTCAACCAATCAGCTCTCAGCCAATCAGCTCTCAGCCAATCAGCTCTCAACCAATCAGCTCTCAACCAATCAGCTCTCAACCAATCAGCTCTCAGCCAATCAGCTCTCAGCCAATCAGTTCTCAGCCAAAGCAGTAAATTGTGAATCAGAATCAGAGAGCTCTTAGACTTACTTAGTCTTACTGATGGGACGACAGTAGGGGTCTGTTTAATTGATGCCTAAATAAAGTCAGGTACCCTAACTTTAAAGGTGTTCAAGCAATATCGTGTGGAGGAAACAGATTGTAAATACTCTGGTAAACGGTCCATACCTGGTCAGTGGCGTTAGTTATGGCCATCAGCATCTTCTCGAGTGCGTTCTGGAGGCGGGTGCTGATGCTGGTGACATAGTCCTGGTTATCCAGCTGTGAGGTGGCCCCCTGCAGCAGCTGCCCCATGTGCTGAAACATCTCCAGGTCCTCCTCTACTTCCACTGGCACAAACGGAAAGGGTTCGTCGTCTGCCCCTGACTCACAACCGGAGCGATCTCCTATGAGCGCAAACACAATTTAATATTTAATACATGGTTGAAAATACGTAAACATGTGCCTAGGTCTATTCTGTTGAGATTCTGAACCCATGGTCATATATAAAAATTAAGAAAAATATGAGAAGATTATGAGAATTTTTGCTGCCCCAACCCTCTGGAACTCACTCTGACTCACTACCAAACTTGAAATCAGTCTCAAACCCATCTGTTCAAACAAGCTTTTCCGTAAAGCCCCTTTTATTATTTTTTATTTTATTTTATTCCCCATGAGCAGGATCTTTGAGTGTCCAAAAAAAATCGCTATACAAGTTTTATGTATTATTATTATTTTATTACTTTCTAGCGATTGGTGTTTTTTGAAATTGCAATTTAAAATGACCATTTAAATCCTTTATTTTTGACTGTACCACATTTGTTTTGTCTTTATGCATAATTGCTCCGTAGTGACAGCAAGAGTAAACTTCAGTCTCCATAGATCGTTGTTTAGGCTCGGACAATGCTTATGTGAGTTTTTACCAAAACAGAAACTTGGCAGGAGGTCGGGTCTCTGCTCAGTTATGTGTTCCGTTTGTTTTAAAGCTCAGTGGGGGAGCTCACATGCCAAACAACAAAAGGTCCAGTGCGACATCCAGGTCACAATGTTTGAACCAAGATACAGGCTAAAAACAAGGTCGATGAGTAGGATACACAGTTTATAGACAGTTTAAATACAGTTTAAAACAGTTTATATACAGTTCAAATGGAGAATACTGAGGATCTGTGTTTCATGTCTGACTGTAGCCTTGTTGTATTTGTGTATTCAAGATTCAAGATTCATTCATTATGTCCCATTTATTTGTCTTGGACTCACAGTATACTGGTGTTCTGTGCACATTCCTACTAATTAACAATGAGGGTCGAGTCCATTCATTCAGGAGTGTTTCTAAACTGTATGAATATTTTTTAATGATACAAAAAAAGGATCTTGTTATGGTGCATTTTATCACCTCAATAATTTCACCCTTTAAGATTTCATAATTGTATCCTCTCAAACTTCAATTTTCCTTTAACTGTGATGACTTGCTTCTCAACATATATGAACTAAACAAGAATCAGAGTGCTTACATTCATACAATTCATGAATATTACTTCAAACAATGTAACATTAAAGCTGGGTGATCTTACTTTCAAACTACAAACTATAGGCTGGTCTTACCATATCATCGAACTCATTTGATTTTGTACTAAGGTCTGGATTTGCTCCATTGAGCTCTGTTAACAGGTGGGAGGGGCTAACTCCTCAGCCAATCAGCACTCATCCCAAAGTGCCAAATAGTGACCCACAGGGCTTTTTGTTATTTTCAAAAATGAATACAGAATGGGGTGGTCTGATTTCTTCACATAATGTTAATTTCAAAAGACTAACGGACGTGGAAGTTAGGTAACCCAGCTTTAACTCCTTCTTATTGTGATTTTCTCTGACTTGCCTGGAGAAGGTTGTGCTCTTTCTGCACTAGTCGTCATCCTCAGAGTCTGAAGATGGAGGCTCAGAGTCTTCTCCGCCGCAGATGTCGTCGTCAACACGTCCACAAGCACCTGACTCAGCTGCTCGTTGGCTCTGAGCAACATGGACCTGGAAACATCAAGGAACAATAAACAAAATGTGGCTGGTTGATTTGATTTTGGATTATAGAATATACATTACGTGAATATCTTTACCTGATTCCACGTGGTTAAGCTCACCAATAATATACAACATTGTTATCAAATGTCTATTTTTTAGGCTCACCAGAGCTAATCTTGAGTGTATGTTTTGTGTTTTATTTATCCAGGCTTGGAGCTGGACACAGGCCTTCCACTGAGGCAGAGTTGTCAGTATAATGTCGACTCTTATGTGCAGACCAGGGGTATTCAAAATTAGGCAAACTAAATGCAACACCCTTGAGCATTTGTATAACTTGATAAGCTCAGTCAATTGGCCGAACCCTTTAATAGTTTCCTCAACCGTTTGGTGGATCACTTTTTGCTATATTTTCTCATTCCAAGGGAGACATTTCTTGTATCTTTTTAAAACAATATAATTTTTCTTCGTCCCACTGGCAAATCTTGTTTTGAGGTGGTCAGAATGTGCTCAAATGAAGATACATTTTGCCAAATTTGAGCAATTTTTTAACGTATTTTTCATAACTTTTTGCAGTGTCTCACTTGGTTTGAGGCACTTTTACCATCAAACGGCAAAATGCAAAAAGTGGTGTTATAAGTGCTCCTACATCTCCAAAAAAAAAAAAAAAATAAGAAATTGCTTTCTTTAATGGGTGAACATTAAGGGGTTAAAGTATGTGGTTGATTTAAAACACATTCAGAATTGTCTACCATGAAAACTATGAAGCTCCCTCTGATAAGTGGATGTTTCAATACTATAAAATGTTTGGACACCTCCCATGTTCACCAACTTCCAAACTGAATACTTGTAGTTGATACCTTTCTGCGTCCTCTGCGTCCTCTGCGCTCTCCGGTGACTGAGATCTTGGCGCGTGCGTTGTTTTGGCTGCAGATGAGACCAGCGCCTCCTCCACAACTTCTCTTTCATCTTCGGGCTGCTTCAGAGCCTGGACGGGCAGCAGAGAGAGAACAGACAGCAGCCCCGTCATTCCAAAGTCACACAAAACAAGACATAACTCATCAACGTTAGCCTGCTTTTGATACAGTTCAGTCAAAGCGAATGCAAATCAGTCACAGCTACTCATACAGCGCAACACTCGGCTTTGGCAGCTGACATGAGCACGGAATATGCACACGGGCTCTTGGGCATGAAACACTATGGTCTTTGTGCTGCTATGGCAACAGGTGCATTTGAAGCCTGGTGCTGGCAGAGACAGCAGCGCCACCTGCTGGGGAGAGGGGAACAGCACGGCCTTTTGCTCATTTGAAGTCAGCGCACAGTGGAAGCGTGTGTGAAGAAAGCTGAGAGGGGAGGCAGAGACTGGTACCAACTGTTGAGAAGGGACTGTGTTGTCGTAAAGCTGGGGTAGCAAATGTGCAAACTGAAATAATTCCTTACTGCATATCGTATTATAGATTATTCACTTTCAACAACTGAACATGTATCCCTTCTTCAGGCTAGTTTACACATTTCTAGCCACCAAAAGAAGTGCTGTTGTTAAAATGGCGCTAGATCCAATGTGGAGAGTCTAAAATTACACGTTTTTGGCTCCAGATTAAAACAATCTTGGCTACAGGATGTTTGCTGACACATGCTGCATATTGCATGTTCAGTTTTGATCCTTTTTTAGACAACCCTGAGGCTACTGTTTAACCAAGTCTGAAAAAGGGATCTCGCTTTGCATGAATTATTTAAGTATATGTGGTTTTCTTCAGCACTGATTATTACAAAGCACACATTTCATCATCAGTAGATTTTCAGCGTTACAGTGGAGGACTGAGGCGTCTCCGTTTTTGCAGAGAAGAGAGGAGCTGACAGCAGTGGCTATCACACAGTAAAGCCTAATCATGCAGTAAATACCAAGTGAAAGGCTAACCGGCCTGAGAGAAGCCTGGGCACGTTTCAAGCTCACTGTAAGACATCAACTTTGGAATGAAGAATCTTGCGTTTCACAATGAAAGCAATAAAGTTAGAATAAACACAACACAAACGAGGCATGGAACAACCTGATAGGCCACTGGGTCACTAGTGGTAAATACATTCATTACAGCAGTCAATAAAGTATTTAGCCTCATAAAAATTTCTTCAAAGCTTCAACATAAAGCTAAAAGCAATCAGGGATACTGTATTTACACAGTCTTGAGCCTTCCCATCATCCTGAATTCTTTACATTTGTATGTCATGTGTGCTGCAGAAGACTAAAAGGCGTCTTCTGCTGACACACACCTCGTAGAGATTCTTGTTACCCCCAAGTAAAACAGTGACACCAATGACAATTTTAGGATACTAAATTCAAAACCCTAAACAGTAGTATTTTGGCACAATAGTATAGAGACCCGATTGTATTCTTACATGAGCGTTTTGGCCCTACTTTTGAGGTTTGGTCCCTAGAATTGTGGGTATAAGCCTTCCCCATCAGTGACCCAGCAGTGTATTAGGTTGTTCTTCAGGCTTGATTAATGGTCATTACTGTTTCTGTTGACGCAAGCATTTCTCTAGAGATTTGGTGCAGCCATTGTTGATGACGTATTTCTTACAATCATATGCTCTATCTATTGTTTAAATCAGGGGTCTCCAACATGTGTCTCTGGAGCTACCAGTAGTTCACTAGCCCCTTTCAGGTAGCTCCCCAAAGGATTTAGAATTTAACACATGATGTTGAATGAATATATTTTGAGTAATTACACATCTCTTGTAAGTAAATATAACAGTAATAGGGTAAATATGTTATGGCTTATTTATTAGGGAGTAATGGAGTAGCTCTCTGTCTCTTTAGTTGAATAAAAGTAGCTCTCAGATTGAAAAAGGTTGGGGACCCCTGCTTTAAATCTTTTTTGTCTTTTATTTAATGATCATAATTGGTCATTGGCACTTCAGTGTGTGGTCAATAAAATTAAAACAAAATCAAAAATCATAGTAAATAACATAATATTTTGTTTATTAATCATGAAAAATCATAGTGAAATTAAAACCACAAGTTGGAAACCTGCAAAGCCACAAAGTTCATCTGGAAAATGAGCAGTGTATTAATTCATGAAACATTAAAATAAACGTGTGATTATAAAAAGATATATTTACTTACACCGACCTGACTGAGGGCCTTTTCTGCTCTCTGGAGTTGGTCGCGTAGATCTTGTATCTCGGAGTCTCGCACTTGAGCCTGGATGTGCAGCTGGTCTCGCTCCGATGCTTGGTCCTCGGTGACTGAGGCTCTGGGCGTCTGGTCTTGCTGGTCTTCCTGGTCCTCGGTCTGCATGGAGCTACTGGTTTGAGTCGAGTCTTTGCTGAGACGAGCCAGTTCTGACTTCTGCGCAAACTCCACCGACATCTGAACTATGGCCTGATGAACAGAGACAACTTTATGAGAGGGTGGGGATTTTTTAGTCCTGTTTGAGGAAGAATGAATAAAACAGTTCAACTCCAGTCCTGGTTTTTGCCTTAAATGTGTTGGAAAAACAGCAAAAACAAGGTTCCAGACCGACTTTCTGTGTTGGTTGCACTGGTGCGCCAACACAGAATGTAGACGCATTCACATTTTCTATTACAGTGGTTTTTTAAGTTACTGTTTTATTGCTTCCCCATAATGCACTGCAAAAAATTACATAATATGAGAAAATAAATGGATGAATTATGTGTTTATCTAATTTGAGTACATACTGTCTTAAAACAAGACTTATTAATGGGATATGCCAATTAGTATTATTTCAAACACAATTTCTCATTCAAAGGGAGACATTTCTTGTATATTTTTAAAACAAGATACATTTTCTTGTCCCATCGGCAAATCTTGTTTTAAGGCAGTAAAAATGTGCTCAAATTAAGATACATTTTGCCAAATTTGACCAATTTGTAACTTATTTTTTATCACTTTTGTAATTACTTTTAACGCGTAATATAATGTATGCATGTAGAAAAAGCTGGTCTTTATTTAAAATATAATAATCTACAAATTGATCGATTAGTGTATAGAAATCATCATATACAGGGGTTTCCAACAAGAAAATGTGTCCAAGTAGTGTCGGTCCAGGGTCAGAAGAATGCTGCACGTCGCAGGGGCTAAGCTTTTTAGAGCAGTGTAAAGGACCACAGCCAATCAGAGGCAAGCACCCATCTGAGCACTGTCTCATTGGTTTAGACCAAGGTACTAACAGATTATAACAGAGAGATGCTGCGCTTAAATTAATAAAAAATATATAAATTAAATGCTGCTCTTGCCTTTTCTTTTCTCGCCAGGTGCACCAGTGCGACCTAGATTAGTTTCCCCCTCATTCTAACGTACAAACACCATTGGTACTAGTGACACACCATCCATCCATTTTCTCTTGCTTTAACCGGAGCAATGCTTTGGCACAGTACCGGGCGCCAGATACTAATGACCCACAGCTGCATTTACGCTGGGACCTACTGCATTTGGATCAAGTAAAGCCTTTCGATTCATTGACACCTACACTGCAAAACAAAAAGTCTAAGATCGTTTGAGATTAAATATAAGATTTGTAATTGGGAAAAGCAAACATTTATCGTTTTTTGAAAGAGTCAAGAAACAAACATCAGAACTTACCATGAAAAAAGAAATGTTCGCTTGTGCCATTGCCATATTTTGTTTGAATATAGCCATAATACTATATACTTGAATCAAGATAAGAATGAATCCAGATAAGAATAAGAAGGTTCATACATTAACCATAGCTTCAAACAGGGCTGGGGGAAAAACTTCTGTCTAGTCTGTCATGACAAAGAGGTCTCCTGTCATAACTACATTATTGGGATGAATGTATTTCAGTTCAGCTCTTGATAATCACAGTCTATAAAAAGTGACATTACAAGTTTTGGCCCAGCTCTACTTGTATCTTTAGGGATGATAGATGTCTCCCTCACCTTAGCCACTTCCTCCACCACTCGCTCCTGGGTTGGTGGCTCCAGGGCAGAGTCGCCGGCCTCTTCCCCTCGTCCCGTCTCCTCCGTCAGCCTCTGCAGCTCGACTCGGTGCTGCTCCTTCAGTGCCCCCACTTCCTGCTCATACTTCTGCTGCAGAGCGTTCTTCAGAGACTGGAGCTGAGAGGCTGTGGTCCATGCCCCGTCCTCCCCTTCGCCCTCCTGCATCCAACCAACGACAACATTCCCAGGGTTAGAGAGAGACAGCGATAGTCATGTGACTGTAAAGTCCAGACGCCCAGGATTTGACCAACTCTCGATACACCACCATTCTTCCCCAAGAAGAGATAGAGAGAAGTTCACCTTTCAATGCACCATCAACAAAAGGTACAAAGATAGATACTTTATTGATCCCCGTGGGAGAAATTCAGGTGTCCAGAAGCAGCAGAGACACATTCATTTATTTAAAAAAAAAGATACCACTTCTGTTAAAAGTGTATTGCTAAAAATTGGTTCAAATTGCACAGTTATAACATTTCCACAGTTATAAAAGTATTTTATGAGTGTAAAACTGTAAACAAAGAGAAGTCCTATAGAACATTGGGACATTTTCAGTAAATTTAAACTTGGTAAAAAATTATGAATATAACAGCTAATAATAATAATATCCATCCCTCCTTCCATTTTCTTCCTCTTAATCAATTTCTGGGTCAGGGGAGTGGCAGTCAGAGCTGCATCCAGGACATTTATCATAATAATAATAATAATAATAATAATGCATTCGTTTTATATAGTGCTTTTCAGGACACTCAAAGACGCTTCACATGTCATTATTCATTCACTCCAAACACAGTGGTGATAAACTATTAATGTAGCCGCAGCTGCCCTGGGGCACACTGACAGATGCGAGGGAACCAGTCTGTGCCATCGGCCCCTGCCACCACCACCAACCAGTCACACACACACCACATAGGCTTCTAAATAGAGAACCTTGCCACCTATTCACTTAAAAAATCCAACTAGAAAAAACCGTATTTAAGTTATGGTTTACAATAATCGAAACGTGAATAAAGGAAATATTGTTTGTTAGCTAATCACAATTAAAAGCTATCTCCTTCTGTGCAGCAGCTGTTTTTGACCAAGAGCCAAAACGCATCAAAAAACAACCGTAAAACACATATTTAACCATTTTATTAAGTCAGGATAAAAGTGAGCGAGTGTTTATTTTGCCTTCTCTGTCTGCCTACCTTGAGAGTTGCAAATAAAGCCAACCATTTGCTTTAGGGCCTTTTCTCCCACGTATTTACCGTTTCATGTCACCGTCGGCGTCTTTCTCCCGTCTATCTGATCCGTTTCCCTGTAAAGGCTGCAGCGTGTGTGCGGCTTGCAAGCCAGTCCAGCCTCTTATGAAAAGAAGTGAGTTGCGTGAATAAATTGAGCTACATAAAAGCCCGCTCTCATTCATGCCCCTCTAAGGCCCGTGTCCCGTTGGTCCGAGCGCAACACGCCACGAAACCCGTTATGCAATGTCTTTTTAATCTCAGGATGTGACCGTCTTACTACTGCAGAGGAGCAAAACTAAGGATTTAGGGCACGCTGTTGCCTAAAGCTGGAGCTGCTCGGGTTTCCTCCTCTCCAACTGTCAATTTGTTTTTATTATTATTATTATTATTGTTATTGTTATTTTTAGTATCATTATCAATATCTTTATCATTATCATTATTATTATTATTTTCATTTTTATTATTATTATATTTTATTTTTATTTAATTTTTATTTTATTTTAAAGAGGGTTAGGCTTTGAATACGTGTTTAAATTCACCCATAACCCTTTCAGTCAGTGAATTAATGTCAATGCTTCTTCTGTTGAAATGTATTCTGTAACTGACAATTGGCTGACTGAAATAAATTAATACTACTAATATTACTATTACTATTACTGTCATATGCACTTTTAAACAGCATGACAAATATCTGACAGGTTGGACTAAGATGTTGGAAAAGATAACCCACAAACTAAGACTGAAAGAGGCTCAATGAAAGAAGAAATGGGGGAAATGGATGATGTACATGGAAAAACAACAAGATTGATTAGGCTAGGCTTGGCATGTTTTTGTTCTGTCTTTATTTATTTTATTTGTATTGTACTGTTCTGTGTGCTCTTTAAAAGGAAAAAATATTTTTTAAAAGTAAAAAAAAAAAAAAAAAAAAAAAACTAAAATGCTGTTGCGATTAAGAAAAAACATAAAAGAGATTCAATTAAAGAAGAAAATGGGGAAAAGGATGGTGTATCTGGAAAAACAACATTAATATTGACTCTACTAGGCACATTTTGGTTCTGTTTTTAATTCATTTAATTTGTATTGTACTGTTCTATGTTCTCTTCAAAGGAAAAAAAATATGTAAAAATAAAGTAACAAAAATAAAATGCTGTTGGGATTAATATATAATCAGACAAATATTATTACAGTTTGGTTTCATTGCTGTAACACATATATTATTATTATTCAATAGATACAAGTAATAACACAGTTACAACACTGAAAAGATATTTTGATAATTATGTCATCATGGAATCTTTTATAGTAAGTAAGTAAGTAATATTTATTTATATAGCGCCTTTCACAGACCAGAGTCACAAAGCAGTTTACAATTGTTATTTTTGGGCAATTGTCTCTCACTCCACACAGAGATGGGAGCGGGGTCGCCGAACAGGACGCGCATGCCAGACCTATTGTACATATTTTTAGTGGTAGGGGAAACCGGAGGACCCGGAGGAAACCTACGCACACACGGGGAGAACATGCAAACTCCACTCAGAAAGGCCCTGGTCCGACCGGGATTCAAACCCAGGACCTTATTGCTGAGAGGCGAGAGTGCTATCCACTCAGCCACCGTGCCGCAACAAATCTAAGTCATTTATCATTTACAAGACTTTTCACTTCTTCTTGATTGACAAGCATTTACAGAGATGATTGTCCCAACCAAAGATAACGATTCCTATAAACTTAGATTTAAATATTATGTTGAAGAGTTTCATACCAACCATTTTCTCCTCTTTTTTTTTATCTTTTCTATGTTTTGAAATGTTTGGAAACTGCATGAATTGTGTTTAGATGAACTTGATTGATTGAGGCTGAGGTTGCATGTTAGATTTAAATTAAATAAAACAGTACCTGGAGCTCTTGGTGTTGTCTGTCGATACTGCTGGACTCACTCGTTGAACTGAAAACAAAAAGACAAAAAAATTCTGAAAAATGGATTAACGTAGATTTCAAAAGATAATACAGATGGAGAATACAGTAGATAAGGTGGTGGTCGCTGGGTAGCTCCCCAAAAGATTTAGAATTTAACAAATGATCTTCAACGAATATATTTTGAGTCTTTGAATATGTATAAGTATAAATATAGGGTTTTACAGTATTATGGTATATTTACAAGTTCTCTATATGTTTTGTTGTGATTTTTTAATTGACTTTTTATGACTGCAAAAAGGCGTAGCTCTCTGCCTCTTTTGTTGCATAAAGGTAGCTCTCCGATTGAAAAAGGTTGGAGCCCCCTGATGTAGTTAGGAAAAAGAAGGAATATGAGTCAGCCTTTCGATAGACCATGAGACAGATTAAGTTTAAAACATGTCAAATGAGATGGTTTAGACGTGCTTATTTCCGTGTCCTTTCCATTGCAAGTCAAAGTGCAGATGCAAGAATCTAATACAAGCGCTAGTTATTCATCCCACGCCTTTCTGAAACCATGTACTTGTTATTTGTCTGTAATATTGATAAATGTGAAGATAATGATGAACATTTGCCTCTACACAGAATTGAGAGTGCTACTGAGGTTACATTCTCTTCTCTCTCCCTGCTCTCTCTCTCTGCTCTCTCTCTGCTCTCTCTCTGCTCTCTCTCTGCTCTCTCCCTGCTCTCTCGCTGCTCTCTCTCTCTCTCTGCTGTCTCTCTGCTGTCTCTCTGCTCTCTCTCTTCTCTCTCTCTCTGCTATCTCTCTCTGCTATCTCTCTCTGCTGTCTCTGCTCTCTCGCTGCTCTCTCTCTCTCTCTCTCTGCTGTCTCTCTGCTGTCTCTCTGCTCTCTCTCTTTTCTCTCTCTCTTGCTGCGCTCTCTCTCTCTGCTCTCTCTTTCTGCTCTCTCTCTCTGCTCACTCTCTCTGCTCTCTCTCTCAGCTCTCTCTCTCAGCTCTCTCTCTCTGCTCTCTCTCTCTCTCTCTATGGTCATTACCTGAAGTGGCTGGGTGCGCCTCCCTCCTGCAGCCGCTGTTGTAGCATGAAGAGCTCCGTGGCGTACCGCTCCTCTCTCTCCGACGCCTGTTGTTGGTAGTGGGCCCTGAGTCGCTCCACTTCCTCCGTGTGCCGCTGTTCCAGACGCTGCTGTTTCTGCTGAGCTTCCACTTTGAGTGCTTGGATTTCTGAAGCGGTTTGAGCCGTAGAGGATGCCGTAGAGGAAGCCGTAGATGAAGCCGTAGAGCGTTGTTGTTCGGCCACATCTAAAAAACGGAGAGAATGGAGAGAGTGTAATTTAATACATAACAGGGAAGCGTTTAGGGTTCAGATCAATAGTATTAAAGTTTAATGAGAAGTCACAGCAATGCAAATAATGTACACATAAAATACAACAGAGACGGCAAGTAGGCCTGTCACAATAAATTACATTATTAACTTATCATTATAGCTAATTGGTGAAACAATATATTTGATATTTGATATAATATTAATAATAATGCATGGGTTTTATATAGAGCTTTTTGGACACTTAAAGACGCTCCACATGCCATTAGTCTTTAAAATAAACTACAAACACTATATATACTAATACTATTATAGCCACAGCTGCCCTGGGGCACACTGACAGAGGAGAGGAAAGCAGTCTGTGCCATTGGCCCCTCCGACCACCCCCAAACATTCACACACATACATCAGACTCATTCGAGGAAATGTGGGTGAAGGGTCTTGCCTAAGGACACAAAGAAAGTTTGGCACTTTACAGCCGCAGCTGCCCCACTGTGGCACCTCAGAGGTCTCCCATCACAGTACTAACCAGGCCCTTTCTCGCATAGCTTTAGAGGTCATCAACTGGCTTTCACATGCAGATCTGGCCACATATTTAAGGCCCAATAACTATTGTCTGTACACTGTCTTTGCAAAATTGGACATATTTTTGCCAATTAAATCCAGCTCAGCTGTTCTTTTTCCTAGTCCAGACTTTCTTATTGCGTGGCTAAATTGAAGTATGGGTTCAGTGTGATGCATGTTTCAATATGATTTTATGCAATAATTGTATGAAGCAATATACCATCTATCAAAATTAGTTATTTTTACAGGCCTAACTGCAAATAATTTAAGGTCACCTGGTGGTAATCAAAAACACATCATTTTGTGTTGGTAAAAAAAATCATTCTGCAAAGGCTCACACAAAGTTTCACAATATATGAATCAATTGTTTTAAAACATTCAGCACCACCAGATCAAAGATCAAAGAGGATCAAATAAAATAACTAAGAGCAACTTATTGTTTAAAAAGTGAATACATCATTTCTGAACCACAGACCCTCCCTTCGCACATGCGCAGGGAACGTTCCGTTCAATGATATGCGACGCCCTCTGGCGGTCATCCGGGATTCATAGAACCATGGTTACATATGTAACCACAGACACATGCAGACACATGCAGACACATGCAGACACATGCAGACACATGCAGACACATGCAGACACATGCAGACACATGCAGACACATGCAGACACATGCAGACACATGCAGACACATGCAGACACATGCAGACACATGCAGACACATGCAGACACATGCAGACACATGCAGACACATGCAGACACATGCAGACACATGCAGACACATGCAGACACATGCAGACACATGCAGACACATGCAGACACATGCAGACACATGCAGACACATGCAGACACATGCAGACACATGCAGACACATGCAGACACATGCAGACACATGCAGACACATGCAGACACATGCAGACACATGCAGACACATGCAGACACATACAGACACATACAGACACATACAGACACATACAGACACATACAGATCTTACCTCTGCTGGAGGCGGCCATCTGTTGGTCGGTGCTGCTCTTCAGATTATCATAAGCACACTGCAGCTCCATCATCTACAAAACCAACAGTTTGGCCACACTGTACTTGAAAAAAGCATTTATCCACTTTATTCAGAAAGCGTTTACCTTGTTCCCATCGGCTCTGAGCAGAGTCTGAAGCTGTGAAAGTCGACGGTGCTCCTGTTGGATGCTGTCCCTGACCTGCTGCAGATCTCTGAATAAGTCTGAAAAAACCAAGCACCAAGAAGTATCGTCACAACCCTGAATAGTTGAAAATGTACTGAATTGAGTAGAGACTAAACAGGTAGCTTAGTGGCATTGGAAGGATGGGTTAAATGCAGAGGACAAACTGTCTCTATGGGGAACAATAAAGTGTACCTTAACTCATTGACTGCCAGCCCATTTCCATATTGCCAGCCGTTTCTGATGGTTTTTAACTGATTTTTAAAGACCCACAGAATATTGTGTACTATGACTATCTGATTCTAAAAGAATGGACTGTCTACTTTCATCAGCAAAAAGAATTTTGTTTCTAGCTTGTTTCGTTCCCCTGTAATCCTCCGTCGAGTAGAGGGAAGTTTTACTGAAATCACCAGAAAGTCGAGAAAAAAGAGGCACAACATGTGCACCTAACTGTTTTCAAACCATTTAGAGAGCAATGCTGCCACCTGCTGGCTCGATAAAATATGGTCTCAAGCCATCACCATACATATTAGATACAATAGACGTCTGGGAACGTGAAAATAGCGGGAAAGGCACACAACGTTACTATTTACTTTGACGTATTTGTGCGTCAATGGCACACAATGAGTTACCTCTGGCGACTTGGACAACAGATGAAGATTCACTCGTTTCAGCTCTTGAGGAAAGAGGGCGAGATTCTTCCACTACAGCTTCATCTAAAAAGTCCTCGCCGAACACTTTCTGAAGAGACTTGAGGAGCACAGGTAAAAGTTTAGAGCCATTGCCACTTACTCAAATGTCTATGAAATTATATGTTTTACCAAAATGATGTCTCTGCATTCTCCCGACACCGCTTCAACCATGTTTTGATATTTGGACAGCGTTGGAGCAGCTATAAAAAGTAGAACATTTGCATTAGTGTCTTATATATTTCATAATACATCAGTGATTTGACTTGTGCAATAAAAATGTGCTCCTTTTGCAGTAGTCCAAGTTTATTGCTCACTTTCTCATGCATTCCCAGCTTCCTATAATTCAACACATCGAGCTGAATAAGTATTTTTCACTACAACTACTTCCATATCCCAGAGAGCTCAAAGAAAAAGAAAACATTATAATTAAATGGTAGATTAAATGTATGTCTTATCAATAACAGATTAGCGTTTAAAAGAGATACTGGAGACAAAACATCAAAAGTAGGCCTTAATAGATAAGTTACAAAGCATGGGTGATGATGGTTTTTAATAAAATATTTAGAAATGTCACTCTATTGAGAGGCACCGACGGACTCATTGAACAACGGCAACAAAGAATAAATGAAAAGCACGGACACAGAACAGTACATAGAGAAGGAAACGCATCCTTTTCTACCAACACAAAAGACACATTTCCTTTATTATTTCTATAATGGGTCCATCTTTCTCACTCAGGTTCTGCTGCTCTTTCTGATGTCTCATTTCCACTGATTTGGTTTGTGCGTCTGTCTCGTCCTGCAGCAGCTCCAGTTGTGCAGCGTGAATCTGAGACAAACTGAGCTGTTGAGCCTTCATCTGCAGTCTGCACTCTCCCTGGGCACACAAACACACAAATACAAATATTTAGTGTTACCATTTAAAAACTGGCTGCAAAAAGGGACAAAAACGAAATGCCTTAACCGAGTGGAAAGCATGTGAGATTTGCGTCTAGGATTGTAATTTTTTTCGTACTCTGGTGCCATCCCTATGAAATGTAGCTTTACTAAACTGTCAGTGAGGTGATGGCAGTATGAATGTGTCATATTGCAATCAGGTGCATATTCATGATTCATGAGAAATATGCCCAATAAGGAACTGAAGGCACCAGAGTACGGCTGCAGAACTGCCAGACAATATGAAGATCATTTTTTAGCCCATCCCAACAGGATTAAAAAAACAAGTCTTTAGCCAATTTATGAATTGCGAAGAACATTTGAAAATCATTAAATCTATCAGGCTTGGTCATCTCTGGTCTGTGTATTCATGTCCAAATATTGAAATTAAATGCGACATTTTCGCCAATCCCTGGTCTAGAGATGTGTTCAGCCCAAGTGGCCTCCTATTACCACAACACAAAAGACATGTCCTTCTGGTTTGAATTATGCATTAGAGCTTTTGTAAGGCTCACACAATTATGAAATTGTGACTATATTGGCTTTGATGTCATGTCTTTAAAGAGCACTTGGCATTTTAATAAGGCCGTGTTTAACCCTTTCACGAGGCTGTGAAAAGCAGAGGGAAAGACCTGTAGCTGCTCCAAGGCTGGCAGTAGAAAATACATGTAATACATAAATATTATACTTTTTTTTTCTTTTTTAACTATTTTAGTTGAAATGATTTAGGTTTAAATCCCACAGTGATAATAAAATAGAATGTTCTAATGTATCAATATTTGGCTTAAATTACAACATTATGATTTAGATTTTATTATGATTTAGCCAAAGTGAAGTTAGTTCAGTTGATATATTGCTATGTTGTCTGGGCAAGACAAATATTCTAAAAGGGAACAACATGCTAAGGTTTATGGTTTTGGTGCAGTATCAGTGACAACCCTTGTGAATCTCTGAAAGTCTTGATATAAAAGTGTCAAAAAGACATTTACATGGTCTGCAGACTGCAGCACTTCTGCACCGTAACATGTCCCAGGCTGAGTGCTCATCCCATATCTGGTCACCTGCAAAAAGAACAAAATGACAAACTTTAGAAAGACATTGTTGAACTAAAAGATCCAACTTTCTCAGAATCAATGATTTGAATAAAAAAACGTTTTACCACCAAAATATTTACCATAATATATTCAACAGGTTTTTAATCAACAGTGTGTAGTTTCCGTACACACATAGAACACACAAACCAAGTGCTGACGTCACCTGTAGAGTTTGGCCAACTACAGCTTGCTCAAACAGACTCCAGCAGTGGGAATATGTAGCTTTACATGTGGGTAGCAACGACCTAGCAACTAGATAAACTATAGATCTTTATGATCAAACAGCTAAAATAGTTTACTTTTTAATGTCAGTGAATGGAGCAAAAGTGAGCTGAACAGAGGCATTCCAGCTTCATAGAGCTAGCGGGTTTGCATTCTCTGTCTAATATACAGGAGTGCTGTAAAAAGTGAATCTGTTGCAAGTAATCAATTATTGAAATAATGTAATCAATATATTGTTTTTTTTTAAACTGGCATAGACCTAAACGACACCAAATGTATAAAAAAAATTGAAATGCGTTTCATATTTCTTAAGCTTTTTTGGTCAAATATAGTATAAAAAAATCCATAAGCCTTAACCTTTTGGGATCTAAGCAACTACCTGCTAATCTATTCATAAAAAGTGAGTAATTAATCAACTCAATTTCAATCAAATTATTAATTACAGCTAATATACAGTCCATACAAGGTGAATAAGTAATCTCAAGTTCAAATCTTGCTTACTGTCCGTTTAAAAAAAGTAAAAACACAAAAACTCCCACCAGTTTGGGAACCAGTGGCTGTCTTATAACCAAAATGTATTGAAAATGTACTGAAGTCAATACTGAACAAGTTTGCTCATGCTGATCACTTTGAGGCAGTGATAAAGGTGAAGCAACGACATTCAAGAAAGTTCAGGTTTGTTTTGCCAAAGGATAAACGAATAATCGCTCAGTCAGTGAAGTCATTTTGGATCACGTTCCAAACCAGGAAGTGCAAAAACACATACAGTATAAGCGTGAGAAGATGTGACAAATCCATACAAAGTCTTTCAGTTTGTGAAGTGACTACTTTAAATGAACAGAGAAAATGGCCGCTCACCTGAAGCGCTTCACTCCCTGCTGGATGGAAACAAAACTAAATATATGCATTTCTGTGTTACTGCAAAGAGCCACAATCTTTTCACTTGTAATGTACTAATAATGTAGATGTGTTTTGTGAATATTGTGTTGTCAGGGCTCTATGATCGGCACAGAATTCCAGTGTTTTTCAAGGATTTACAAGCACCCAAATCATTCAGAAAAGGAGTTTTATTCCCATTATCCAATTTTGTCATCTATCAATTGACTTACCGGTAATTGTCATCATGCAAGAAACTAATTATCCCTGTCTTGTGTTTTCATCCGAAGAAAACACATGATTAAAAGAGGAGAAAGAGAGGAGAACCAGGAGAATAATGCCTTTTATCAATTATGCTGATGCTGCTCTGTCTGTTTCTTTACATGATGTCATATAATGTATTTTATTAATGTATTCCTTTACAACAACAGTCGGTCTGTTGAGCTGCTACTCCAACAGCCTGCAGTCAGTGGCAGTTACACAGTCCTAAATGGGTGCAATATTTTAACATGGCACCTCTGTCTAAGCACCAGGGCTACTATAATGAAGAATAAGTACACCGGATTTAGCTTAAGGTTAATTTCCATCTGTAGTCGCAAGGGAATTCACTCACTTGAGCAATATATTTCAATTAATTTGCATTGGATTCATGGGCATCTGATGACACAATTCAGAATAGATATACATTTTTGTTTACTGCTGTGGTGTGAAGCTAATTTTGGGTGCAATTATCTGATAATGTATGTATCAGAAGGGCTCTAGGGTACATGTTTCCATTACAACATATTGCAGCAGTTGATTGTAAGTCATACATTACCTGTGCGGACTTAAAAAAGGCAAACGTCTGCATTAATGGAAGCAACAGTGCATGATTTTGATTCATATCCAGCCAGTATAATTAGAGGCTGCTTGCTATCATAGGTACTTCACTTCAATAAATGATTTCTGCCTCACAGTAAAGCGGTAATTGCACCCGTTTCATTGCAAATATGGCACAGGGTATTCCCAGAGTCACTTAAGCGTTAATGACTGACAGCTATTATAAATATGCAAATAACCTCAAATTGATCAAACTAAACAAACCAAAACCTAATTTTAACAGCATTACTGACAACATATTATATTGGCTTTTACACACACACTACAAACAGCTCAATATGTCACATTTTCTTAACATAACGACAATATATGTTGTAAGAAATTCAGTGATAGTTGTGGTGTGAGGAACTACGCTGAAGCTTCCCTGCACTTATTGAATCCCTAACAACACTGCGAAAGCGCATTGGTACATTAGTAGTAGCACCGCCGCCACACACTTGTTTTCAGCTCCTACCTGTTTGCTGCTGCGCTCGGCTCCGTCTCCCTGGCTCTCATCCGAGTCGTCCTCCTTAGCGAGCGGCTCGTGTGTGCATGACATAACAGCGGTAGTCTGCGTGTTGGGCTCTGCAGCACTTGTAGCTCCCTCCGCTGCTGTTCCTCCCTCCACCTCCTCCTCCTCCCGCTCTCTCTCCTCTTCTTTACAGCTGCTCTGAGCCGCGCCGCTTTGGTTTTGCTTGCTCCTCTGTCTTCTCTTGCGCCTGTTCGACCCAGAGGAGGCGGAAGACCTGCGTGTGGAGGATGTACCCTCTCCCAGAGCTGGAGACGGGGTGTGAGACACTCTTTTGAGGTCCAGTGTTTGCCGAATCTGATCTCTCTCCTCTTGTGCTGCTTGTAATAGTGACTGAAGAGTCTGTATTTCCTCTCGAAGCTGCTGACTCTCAGAATTAGAAATAGTGACAGCGGTTTTGTGGGCAAACTCCAGCTCTTTGCCGAGGTTTTCCTTTTGGGCGATGACCTTTGCGTTTTCCTGCTTCACTTTGATCAGCTCTTCATTCAAACAATGCACTTGGCTCTCTGCTTTTGCGAGTTGCTCTGTGACCTCCTGCAGCCTTCCAGTCAAGCTCTCTTTCTCAATTAAAGTAACATTAAGCTTCTCCATTAACTCAGTGGTGTCCTTTTCGATCACAGGTTTCCTTTCATCCATTTTAATTTCACTGACCCTGTCCTCCATCTTTTGAATCTGTGCTTCAAGGCTGCAGATCTTTGCCTCCAGCTCCAGTGTCTCTTGTATCTTCTGCTGTTCTAGTTTAATCTTTGCTTCAGCGAGACATGTGTACTCGTCCTTCAATTCTTGATAGTCCACTTCAAAGTTTTTCTCTGCAAAAGAAAAAGTAGTTCGCTGCTTTGCCATCTCCTCTGTGAGCGCGGCCACTTGTTGCTGGCATCGGTGATTCTCCTCCGTGATACTCTGTATGTCTCTAATTTTCAAATCAAATTCTTCTTTCAAAGCTTTGTTAGACGTGTTCAATATTTCAATTTCAGACTGCCGAGCTTTCAGTGTGTCATTCCACATTTGTTCATTTTCTTTTGTATGGTTTTCTGTCGCTACTATACTTTCTTGCAAACTTCTTACTTCACTGTCTAGTCTCACTCGCTCCTCTCCCAATTTCCTTAGCTCCGCAATCTCTGCCTGTAACTCATGCAACTGCTGCACCAATTCATCTGCTTTGGAGCTACGCAAAGCCACATTCAAATCCTCTTTGAGCTCTAGAATTTGATGCAAAAGTTCATCCCGTTCAGTGGCAACATTTTCTTTTTCCTGTTGTAACAATTTCACCTTTTCGTCGTAACTTATCCTCACATCTTCCAACGACTTTTCATGTTTGATAGCTGCTTCGTTGAGGAGATTTTCAGTATTCAAGAAGCTCTCCCTTTGCAAGTCCTCTCTTAGATTTGTGAGCTCCTCTTCATGGCTGAACAAAAGCTGCGTCCTGAGTCTTTCCAACTCTGCTTCTTGCGACTCCGCCATCCGATCTAGCACCGCATCCTTCTCGCGTTCCATCATTTCGAGCTTAATTTTGTAGTTGGTCATTTCCGATTCGTACTTCTCCTGCGTCTCGTGCGCGTTCTCCTGAGCCATTTCGAGTTGCTGTTTCAGATTGTCTACGGTGTCCTGAAGGAGTTGCAATTTGCTTTCATGGCTTTCCTGAGAAACAGCAGAGGCCAGCTCCACTTGCTCTTGAGCAGAAGTAAAATCGTGCTTGAGGCTATCGATCTTTTCCTGCAAGTTTTGCTTTTCTTTATTGACTTTGTTTAGCTCTTGTACAGTTTTATCATGAACCGCATGTGATTGCTCAATTGTTTCTTGAAGCTGCCTAATCTTAACATTCAGCGCCTCTATTTCACTAGTGCTAACGGACATAGTCTCGGATAAATATTGCGTTTTGAGAAGTGCGATCTCTTCTTGATGTTGCTTGTTTATTTTCTCCGTTCGTGCAGCGTTTTGCAAGTTCAACTCCGTCTTCATCTGCACAATCTGCTGGCCGTACATCTCGTCCAGCTCTGCCCTGAGCACGTCCAGTTTCCTCTCCGCGTCCTCTTGCATTTTCTGAATCGTTTCGCTTTCTGACAAACTCCCCCGGTGACAGCACTTCTGCAGATCTTCCACCGTTCCCATGAGCTGCATGATCTCGTTGGAAGACTTTCGTTCCTTCTCTTTGGAAAGGGACAACTCGTTCTTACAGCTTTCCAACTCTAGCCATCCTTTTTCTAGCTCCAGTTTGCAGTTATTCAATTCGTTTTCACAGCTTTCTAGATCTGACTTGGTGTTCTCCAATGTTTCGAGACACCGCTCCAGCTCTACTTCCTTGGTGGTCATTCGCTGGCTGAAGTCCTGAAGGCGTTTCTGTGAAGACTCCAGCTCGTCCTCCAGCTGAGTAATAGCATAGTCGCGTTCAATAATGACCCGATCTTTTTCAGCGATGATCCGTTCTCTTTCATCTGTCAGTTGCATATTCCTCTCAGCTGCGACCCGCGACAGTTCGTCTCGGAGGTGATTCAGTGATTGCTCGTTTTCGGAAATTATTGCACTTTTTTCAAGTAGTAATTGGGTTTTCTCTTTTAGAGTTTGTGCAAAGGACTCCTCGGACATTCTCAACTCTTTCAACGATTGTTCCTGATTCAAAATGGTCTTTTCTTGTTCCGCGATCAGCAAGTCTTTCTCGTGTAGGCACTCCTCGACTCGACTCTTCTCCTGCAAGCACAACCAAGTATATTACAATTCAAGAACAAATATTCAATACTATTCATGTTATTTTGTTCAAACTGGTGTCAGTGCTTTTTACAACTCAAAAAACAAGCGCTTACAATCTCACTCCTTGCTGGTGGGGGTGTACCCAGAAACAGAATTACCCAATGCTTTTGTATGCCGCCTCTTCGAAAACGGCTTTAAGTATGGTCCAAAATTCGCTCTTGGCCCAACGCTATTTTCCATATGCTGTCAATGCTGAGGAGATTTTGGGCCAGCCTAGTTTAGCCGCTGTGGACTTTTGAATGCACTTGTTAAATGAATGGGGCTTGTAAAGCTAACACATACTCAAATGCGTTTTTTCACATTTTCTTGTGGGAGGGGCTGCCTGTGGCCATTCTGAATCTGCCCATGTCTGTGGCACATTGTAGGACATTACAACGGAGGGAATAGGCGTCACTCTGTCCGTTAATATTTACAGTTTATGGTATGGACGTACAGAATTTAGGCATGCCGTTTGCAACTATGAAGATAAGATCAGAAATTAACTTCATAGCATTTGGGCACAGAAGTACATAGTAACTTCTAATTCTGTAACTCCTCACTTCTAATTCAGTAATATTTAGTAAATTAACATACTCATTCGCACATTCATCATTCCATTATTCATGGCGGGCTGGAAGTTGCTGGCAGTAATAATATAGACAAACGAGAAATAGACAAAATCGAATAAAAATAAACAAACAGTGAATAGTATGAATCACATTTACAGAGATTAAATTATTATCAACCCTCTTGATATCCCATTTGTATTGTTATTTTAAAAGATCCAGTATCAACTAATCAATAGGTTGTGTTTATGTGACATCACAACGTACCAAAGAGGCAATAGTTTAACATTGTGGTGGAGTTAATAGTTAACTCCACCACATGGATATCCACATGAAAACAAACTGTCACAAAGTTCCCTAACCCTTTGTCAGTACTAAACAACTACGGTCTGATTATTTTCTCTTAAATGTGTCTGGAAGTGGTGATGATAGTAGAAGGGACTTTCAGACATGAGAATAACATTTTGTGAATCTAATCTCAATAATAATCTGGGAAACATTAAGACTTTTTTTCCCAACTTCTTTCCTATAATTTTGTATTGGCACCTGCTCTCCAAATGAAATACAGTATTGATGCACTGGACATATGGATTATTCAATATATGAGCTTCCTTTCCCCTCACCGTCTCCATGCTGATGATGTTCTGCTGCAGACGGGTGATGGTCTGAGTGTCCTCTCTGCTCTGGACGCCCTCTCGCTCCTGCAGCTGCTGTTGGAGCTGCTGAAGCTGCTGGAGCTGCTGTCGAGCCTGGAGCAGGTCGGCCGCGGTGCTGCTGTGGCTGCTGTTCCTCAGATTCTCACCGGCCTGGAGCTGTGATTGGACATTATACAAGTAAATGGAAAGGTTTTGCTTAGGGAAAAAAACATGTATATTCATATAAACTGTAAAAGTGCTGGGAACAAAAAACCAGAATACACATAGATCTTCATTCATAATGTATACGTCAAGGTCTGTATTTTCATCACTGCATTTTAAAAGCTGAACTGCTGTATAATTTAAATTGAACAACAATGAAATATAACTCCTATAAGTTCGCCCAGAAGAGCCGGAGGAAGTTTGGTAATGTAAGGTATTCTTTAATGTCCTTGTAGTAAAAAAATATGTCCTCTGCATTTGCTCGTCTCGGTCTGGACTATACTGGAGCTGGAGGATTTTTATCTTTGTTGAATGTTTTGGGTGGTGGGGAAAACCGGAGTGTTCACAAGCACTGCAGAGAAATCAAACCTGCAACCTTCTTGCTGTGCAGTGTGCATGAATAAGGAAATGTGGGCACCTCAGCTCAGACGGATTTTGGATTAACAGAGAAAATTGATGGATGGATAGAATGTAGTAGACATGTAGTAACACATAGTCAAGGCAAATATGTATGTATAGAAGAAATATATATATCTTTTAAATCTGAAAATAGGTTCTGGCTTTCAAGCTTGACCCTCCTTTGGGGAAAATACACACAAAAAAATATTAGAAAGAAGGATTTACTAAACAAATCTGTATTATTTGAGAGCAATTCTAGTTATCCAGACTTCTGTTTGTTGCTCCCTTGTATTTATGGAGGTACATTTAAATAGTGGCCTTTTTCTTTATTAGTCTAAAGGCACTTCATTGGGATAATTCAAATATATAGCAGACATATAGTATGACAAATGGATTTATCAGAGTGTAGTCCGTTTTATTTGTGTATAAAACCAATGATATGCTAATTTGTATTTATCAAGACCATTCCAACCTGTTGAAACTGGATCTGCAGTCTCTGGCTTTGTTCCGTCAGCTCCAGGAACTCCTTCATGATCTCGTCCTTCTCTTCCCGCGCCTGCTGCAGGTTTGCCGTCAGCTGAGTTATGATGCCGTCGCGCTGCTTCAAGGCCGCCTCAAAGTCCTGTAGCTGTGGGAACAAACCGTATGAAAGGTAAAGTTATATAACAGCGTCCAACAAGCTCCACACGACAAATAACAATGGCTCAAGGTTTTCTGCAGAATTCAGGCTTTACGTCAGTCTGCTGCAGGACATTTTTCAGTTTGCAAGATGTTAAGAAAATAGAAAATTAAATGAAAACACTCATCAAGGACAAAATAACAGAAAATGTGTCCTTGGATCCAGCACCTGCATGTTCTGCTTCATGATAGAAACTGCAACACTACAATCTCACGTCTACAGTCAGCAGTTACAATAAGATGCTTTGGATAAAAAGGAGAAAGTAAAGTAAGTGCAGGGTCCACTGTGCCAAAACGCACTCACAGGCTCTAATTGAAAGTCGGGGCTAGTTTCCCTGAGGAAGACAGGTCTGGTGTCGAAACACGTGAATATGTCCAGTTAATAAAGGACCGCTGCAGTGTTGCTTCAGATCCTATTTTTTTTGACACTTGGACATGAGAACCTTTATTCATTACACAATGGTAAATGTCAGTGTTGGAACGCACAGCAGAGCAGTGGGAGGCAGCTCTCACACACCGCTGGACATTAACTTATCTACAATCCTATAAAGTATGGGCGTCAAAGTTAAGGCCCGGGGGCCAGATGTGGCCCGCAAATAAAAAAATTTGGCTCCCAGGATGATATTTGATTAGTATTAGAACCGGCCGCACAGAGCCAAGAACATATTGGATTATTCATTTAATGTTCAGGATGTGTTTTTTTTTGTCTGTGAGCTGTTGAAACATGTTTTCACTTAATCATTAAATAAAATATGGTCCACTGTGCCATTTCTTGGTTCAATACGTTATATGCATCATTTCAATATGTTTTAAGTCGGCCCTCGGCTTGTACTGTAGCTAATCTGTTTTTTTGGCCTCTATAAAGTAAGAGGCTTCTATAAAGTAAACTATGAAATATAAAGTTAGAAAGTTCAATGCTAAATTGTGACACACTGGAGGAGAAAGTCTCAACAACGACAACCAACATTTGATCATATTTTAATCCCAAAAGTGCACATTTAAAAATACAGTAAAATCTGTTTTCACTACATGAAACAAGATGTGAAATCATGATCTGTAACTAATGTATCTGATGGGAGTTGAAGGAAGTAAATGAATTATACTTATCCCCCTCAACTATTGGTCAGTTTAACAAATTCATTCAGACTTCTCGACCTTCAGCGTAATTGTTTCTTCTTTGCTTCAATATGAGAACAGTGAGAAAAGATTGGATCTCTGTAAGATTTGTTCTAATACATTCCAACAGTCACATGGTCTGAGTCACTTTTTACTTTAATATAGCTTCAAAAGAGCTGTCATTTAAGGCAGAGTGAAATGTGATTAAACCAATTTATGGGATTTGCTTGTTTTTGATTAATGACAACAAACATCACCACAAATATGTTCATGAAGTATGTTAAAGAAAAGTATAATGGGCTGCCAAAAGAGATTGTGACAAAACTTAATCACGTAAAGTCTTGTGAAGTGAGAAGGGCACATTTTAAGGATAGACATGTGAGTCTTACATAATTTAGAGACAGAACATTTATGCTCTGTGTCTTTTGTGCTAGCCTGGTCTTACCCTACCATCATACTCATTTCATTTTGTACTAAGGTCTGGATTTACTGCATTTAGCTCCGTTAACAGGTGGGAGGGGTTAACTCCTTTGGCGCCCTAGTGAGTGAGGCATTTAGCATTTAGCCTAGCTTTAGCATTTAGCCTAGCTTTAGCCATCTCCTTTGCCACTAACGGAGCCCGGGGAGTAGAGCCACGACATCTTTGCAGCAATGAAATCTGCTAAAGGTTCCTCCTGCTCCGGCTTTAATTTCTTGATATTTGGATTGAACCAGAACAGATTATTTTACAATTGCATTCTCCGCCAAACTACAACCAGCAAATTCAACGCAAACCCTTGACGTCACCGACACCAACCTCCAGCACCCGCCTCCCCCGCTCTCTGATTGGTCGGAGGAGATTCAACCGAGGAAACTGCAGCCACTAGAATCAGACCCAGACGTACATGTAGGAAATGATCATGGACCAGAGTTTACGGATGGATAAGGCCCGGCTACTTTTGTGCTGCTTTAAATCAAATAATTCTCATTTTCTATCAACTCTTTTACAAACAGCAAATGAACTCGTGCTATTTTGTGTGAACCCTTAGACGTCCTTCAATCCATGTTGTGAAATGCATTTTAATTAGCTTAGGATTTCAGTGCCCCTGGGGGTGTTCAAATTCTACTTTTTGGACAGAACCAAATATCAAAAATATCACAGAATCTATTTCCCAAGTTTGGAAGGAAAATTGGATTAAAAATATGTACTAATATACTAGGGGCGACAGTAGCTCAGTTGGTAGAGCATTGGCCTTTAGGCCTGAAGGTCGTGGGTTCAATTCCCACCATGATACCTTCTCCACCGACTCCCACTGATGACTGCTGTCGTTGTGTCCTTGGGCAAGATACTTGCCCCCACTGAAAGATCAAGGCTATGCTCACACTCAGAGAGTAGCCGTCCTCCTGTGGACTCACCACTGCAGAGGGTCAGTGAGGGGCTGGTGCTATGAGACTTGGGTGGCATCTCTGACTGCCACCCCCCCGACCCAGAAATGGATTAAGGGGTAGAAAATGGATGGATGGATGGACTAATATACTAAATCACACATATTATAACAAAATCTCAATGTTGAGCTCTAGAGACGCTGAGCTACAATCAAAGCATCATTCATGTTGTTGTGCACGTTACCTGCTGCACCCCGTCTGCTCCGAAGGCCCCCCTCAGCTCCTCCAGCTCTCGGCTCAGCTCCTCCACCTCTTGGGACTTTTCTACCAAAGAGTCTTCCATCTGCTGCAGCAACTCGCCCCTCGTCACCTGCTCCATCGCATCCACCTCCTCCTGGAAACGCCAACAACTCCATTTGTGAATCTCAAGTTAAATCAAAAGCAGAAGGAACATGAACGAGCAATAAGCCACAGAAGCTGCAAATGTTAAGCATGTTAAAAGGTTGTTAGAGAGGTGCAAAGACACACTTTAGTATAACGGGGGGTCACTTTATGGGAGGTATTTATGAAGATTTTGTTCAGAATGTTCCACAATATGGCATTTTACTTTCCCTTGGGGACACAGTATGTTGGGTACGTACAGCACTAGGAGCAATAGCATTGAACCTATTTAATAGCATCGTCCAGAAGACAAGCCAATTTATACCCAAGAAAATGGGTATAAATCATGTAAAAGACATTCATTCAAGAGTAACTTGTGAATGAGCCATTTACTTTTAAACGTCTCTCCAATGCAGCCAATTCGTTTCCCCAAAGACAACACATGGTTTGCATCATCTCCTCCTTCAAGCCCCGTTTAATGCAAATTAATTTAGTCTCGGGCAAAACCTGTGCACACACGCTGTTTCTATCTGTGTGCAATGCTGTGAATGATAAATCAGTTTGCGCCAATGTTAAGGACCCTCTTCATTTTATTAATGTGCAAGACCTTAATGAATATATCCATTACACCTTTAATAATGTCATTAAAATGACTATGCAGCCCTCTGTTGCCAGTGTCCCTGCATGTAGATCACAGGCTCCTTCAGCTCTGATCACCGACTGGCTGAGATTTAGGTGTCAGCTGGATTTCACCAAAGAAACTGGCAACTCAAATGAGAGCGTTAACATGGCTGTTGTTTTTCTAATTCAGAATACATCTGCATAAACATTTTTATCAGAAAAGGCAATATATGATTAGTACAAAAACATTGTTAGTCAAATATGAGTTAAATGTCAATAATAGGTATTCCATGCAAACAAAATCAGAATAATGAAAATGTTACTATTGTTACTTTGGATTAGTTTGTTTTAATTTTATATCGTTAAGGCCGGATGTTGTGAAAAGAAAAGAACCACTTCACTTATGCATTTCTTTGGAATGTACTACTTCATTATCTTCAAAGGTCTTAATAATTAATTTTGCTTGTAGACAAATTTGGATTCTTAAAGTCATATGCAACCCATTTACCACAAACAAATCCATATGAGGAACCTGTGGAGTGCTGGTAACAACCCAGTAGGTTAGTAGGTTACTGGAAACTGCACAGACGCCAATGACAGAAGAGGTTATAAACAGATAAGACCGGAGCTCGAGCGACTGCCAAAAAGCGGAGCTGGACAAACGGCATGAGCGGATTACTGTACCCAAATAAACTCCTCTGAAGACAGCGTAAGGTTCAGAGTCATCTCGTGGCTCCCATTGACCTGTCAATTCATAATGCTGTCAATTATACATCATGGAGGCTAAATGAGAGAAGCTGCATTTGCTGCTCAGGAATAAAATCAGTTTGTTGTTTCAATTTTAGCTTCAAAATCGTGCCCAATATTTCACATGCTTTACCAGATGAATTATATTGACTTAGGCTTTGGTGGAAAACATTTTGAAATCCAGTTCATAGGTTGCGTTCAACTGTGAGCGTTCTAATTCAGTGGGAAGGCGGGTTCCAATACAACTCTTAAGAGACATTTTAGAGAAACTATTCGAGAAACTTTACAGAAATATTGATAAAAATAGCCTAAACCCTAACCCTAACACTAACCCCTAAATCCTAACCCAAACCTTTATTCTTATGTCTGAAAGTGGTTTCTACTGGCCAACTTAATTCATGTTTTTTTATTAATAACGTCACCACTTCTAGACACCTTTATGAGAAAATAATTAGACAATAGTGGATATGTATTGGCAAAAAAAGAGATACAATTTGTGACAGTTAAACCGTGTTAAGCTATATGGTCATTAGAATGTTGTGATGTCACATAAATTCAAGCTATAGTACCATGTTTGCTTATTATAAATGGTAGCTGTACGTGTAATTATGTGAAGGTGAAAAAAACAGTATTACAGAAGCTATATGTATAAACATCTGGCCAAAAGTGGTACTGCAATCCCGGTCAATATTCTGTAGTCCTCTCCCACTAGTCTCCTGACTCAGGTTGCCAGATATGCAGACGAATCCAGCCATAATAGCTAAATAGAGCGTTTTGTCAATGATAAATCTAAAAACAAAACCTTTTTCACATAAATTAGGCTATTTTCAGACAGATTAGGGCCATTTAATGATGACTTGATATGAAAATCTTACATATTGCTGCATTAAGCTAACGTCTTAAATTTTCCATGAATACAATGAGACAAGAATATAAAAACAAGTACACATTTTCATTTTTATTCTACTAAAACTTGAATTCTTCTGCTAAAAGCTAGATTTTCCCTAAAGGCAAACCACAATTTCCCAATCTCTCCCTGCAATGTCAGTCGTGTCAGTTTCACTCTGCTTCGACTTCAGTCTCTAAAAACATGTCACCTTGTGCTGCAGAAAATCTTCAAAATTGGGTTATTGGAAAAAATTGAATGTCAGTATGATGGTGTGCACATGAAAAGTTATTATTGTGTGTCTTTTTACTCTTACCTCAGAGGAATAGTCTTCTGCAGTAGTTGACACTTCACTCTCGGGCTGCGACAAAAGGTAAAATTAAATTACTACCATGACCTGTTGAAACCAAACGTCACATTGGTTCCATAATGACAGAGATGGACCATTTTTTCTTTCTCCAAATGTATGATTTTGCAATTTCAATAAAAGAGGCCCTTCCATTGTAGCTTCCTGCTGTTAATACATTATGAAACCCAATTTGGATTTCCATCTCTCCTGTGCCACGGGGATACAACATTATCAGCAGATGCATTTTGTTGGGTCAAAGAGTTCAAGGCAGTTTAGTTTGGAGCCTTCGAAATCGTCGCCACGTAACACGGATGAAAAAGTAGGTTGTGTCTGTGTGTCTGGTGAATCGCAGACTGTCCAAGGTCTTCCAGATGAAAACGTGGAGAAAGGCGATGAATGTACGCAGCTCTGAATATCAGACACAAAATGGTATGATTCAGCATCGCTAGTGCTTTTGCGGATTCTCCTGGAAACAGAATGACGGTAGATATACAGTAAACATTGCTCTACAAAGAAAAATAGAAAAAGAAAACTTGGGCACCAACTTTCACACCCTTAATAAAAAAATAATACTAAAAAAATGCAACAAACTCAAAATAACTCTTTGCTTCTAGGCTCCTGCTGGGACTCTGAGGAGCACAGGGACTGGCCTCCTGCTGGGACTCTGAGGAGCACAGGGACTGGCCTCCTGCTGGGACTCTGAGGAGCACAGGGACTGGCCTCCTGCTGGGACTCTGAGGAGCACAGGGACTGGCCTCCTGCTGGGACTCTGAGGAGCACAGGGACTGGCCTCCTGCTGGGACTCTGAGGAGCACAGGGACTGGCCTCCTGCTGGGACTCTGAGGAGCACAGGGACTGGCCTCCTGCTGGGACTCTGAGGAGCACAGGGACTGGCCTCCTGCTGGGACTTTGAGGAGCACAGGGACTGGCATCCTGCTGGGACTCTGAGGAGCACAGGGACTGGCCTCATGCTAGGACTATGAGGAGCACAGGGACTGGCCTCCTGCTAGGACTATGAGGAGCACAGGGACTGGCCTCCTGCTAGGACTCTGAGGAGCACAGGGACTTGCCTCCTGCTGGGACTCTGAGGAGCACAGGGACTGGCCTCCTGCTGGGACTTTGAGGAGCACAGGGACTTGCCTCCTGCTGGGACTCTGAGGAGCACAGGGACTGGCCTCCTGCTGGGACTGTGGGGAGCACAGGGACTGGCCTCCTGCTGGGACTGTGGGGAGCACAGGGACTGACCGCCTGCTGTGACTAGGAGGAGCACAGGGACTGACCTCCTGCTGTGACTAGGAGGGGCATAGGGACTGGCCTATTTCTAGGACTATGAGGAGCACAGGGACTGGCCTCCTGCTGGGACTGTGGGGAGCACAGGGACTGGCCTCCTGCTGGGACTGTGGGGAGCACAGGGACTGACCGCCTGCTGTGACTAGGAGGAGCACAAGGACTAACCTCCTGCTGGGACTAGGAGGAGCACAGGGACTAACCTCCTGCTGGGACTCTGAGGAGCACAGGGACTGACCGCCTGCTGTGACTAGGAGGAGCACAGGGACTAACCGCCTGCTGTGACTATGAGGAGCACAGGGACTGACCTCCTGCTGGGACTCTGAGGAGCACAGGGACTGACCTCCTGCTGGGACTCTGAGGAGCACAGGGACTGACCTCCTGCTGGGACTCTTCAGCCCAGAGTAAGAACTAAATATGTGAAACTATCCCCACTCAACACGGCATATACTGTTACAAAGCTAATTGTGTAGCCCCGCCGCCTTCTTCACTATTATTATTTCTTATTATATACATTAAATAATATGTGTGTTATTTTTTGTGCTATTTATTTATTTTTATTTTTTTATTTCTCTATTTTCATTTTTTATATATATTTTTTTATAATAAACTTTAATTATTTTTTGTTCACTTTCTCCTTTTATGGTATTTTTTTCTTTTTTTTTCTTCAAATAACTGGTCATACTGTGAAATGCTTACCGACAAAGATATGACTGCAAAAGAAAACCAATATAATATAAAATACAAAAAAAAAAAACTAAACTTTCAGATTTATGCAGCCAAAATCGGGAACGTTGAAAAGTTGGCTTCTCATTTCTATCCTAACAATATTCCAAGTTCAGAACAGTTGTGTTGCTGTTTAAACCAAGTGAAAAATGTTCAAATGTTTCTGTTTAAACGAAGGACTGTGCTGTAAATACATTTATTATATTTATCATTAATTATAATATCTGCTTTCACTTGTTTTAAAATGTGTCCTTTCTTACAGTTCAATAAACCTGCCGCGCCTTAAGTGTGCTTCAGGTGAAAATATTCATGGATCTAATCAACCTTGAGGTCGGCGTTAAGTGTTGCTCACTCGGTCGGACGCAGGCGGACGTGCGGCCACATGGACCCGGTACGCCCCAAGCCTGTTTAAAGTCAATCGTCTGTTTCCATGGCGATGTGGCTGCGAGTTCAGAGAGAGAGAGAGAGACTAAACGCTTCATCTGTTGAACGACCGTCGGCCCGAGGAGCAGAGAGCAGCAGCTGATTCACTTTGCTCCGTTTAGAGGCTATTACAAAAGTCTGTGTTTTTCTTCATAGGCGGCTTTTGGGTTTAGAAAAAGGCTTTTGGAATCAGGGCATTAGCTACAGAAATTTGTATTCAGTTTTGCAGATTACTAAACGAGAAGCTGCAGAGTTCTTTAACAATTTAAACATTGTGGGTAAAGAACAAGAAGAATTTTACTGTATTGTGGCTATTTATTATTCTAATTCTTTTTTAACTTTTTCGTTTTTAACTTTTTAAGATTTTTAATTGCTTGTGATTTTATTCTGTTTTTAATCATTCTTGTGTTTTTTTTAGGTATATGTAGATTTTAATGTTTATGATTTGATGAGGTGATGAGGGTTGTGAGGCGCTTTGTGTTGCCTTGTGTAGGAAAGGCGCTATACAAAAAAAGTTGATTGACTGATTGAAGAATTCAAGAAAACTGGTTTAAAACATACTAATTAACTTGTTGCATTCCAGAAGAGAAATGCTAGGTGTAATGAGAGATCCATATTTTGAGTTAAAGTAAAATGTAAGCACCACAATGTAGTCCAATAACCACAAATGTAGGACAGGTTTGTTTTAAACGTAGCCTCTCATTATAACTCGGTGCCATGCGGTACCAGTCAGATCTGTGGAGACACTGATACAGCTGTTTGCTCTGAGAAGTGAGGCTTATTGCAGTGATTATATGCAAGTACGTAATGTTTACAGACCAAGGTCACCCAAAGCGCTATACAATGTTCAGAGTTCAGATATTGCTCCAATTATTCCACACACGGTGATGACAGAAGCGAGTCACCGAACACACTGGACCATCAGCTCCCGACCAACACCAACCATTCTCTCTCTCTCATTTACATTCATACCTATTGTACATGTTTTTAGTGGTATAGGGGAAACCGACGCAGACACGGGGAGAACATGCAAACTCCACACGGAAGTTCCGACCGGGATTTGAACCCAGGACCTTCTTGCTGAGAGGCGATAACAGCCACCGTGCCACCATATGTGTTGTTTTTGTGTGTCTCATCCTGGACCATGAATCTGTGATAAAGTTTGATTGATTATTATTATGTAATTAAAACCGCACACACGCTTTAAATAAACTCTAAAACTATGCCAGCGATAACCCACTTCTGTCCCATCCCCCAATTGGGAAACACCACCAATCCATGTTATTGATGTGTGTCATTGCAAACACAGAGAAAGAGCTGAAGCAGTGACAAGACAAGCCAAGGGTGGTTTGGTGATGCATCGGACAGATATTTCAGGTATTGTAGAAACTGGATGTTTTTATGTAAAACCACAACAACTAGTTCTCTTAGCTCATAGAAAAATAAATAACAACTGTTTTTTACTCTAATGATGTCTCTTTAGAAAACATTCCATCCACAGCTACAGGTTCTAGTTATAATTTCTTTCACTAAAACTGCAAATGGCACCGTTCTTTCTATACTTCTCATAATAAACCGCATTTGGAATCGAAAAACAGTCCATTTAAAACTGTACAAAACTGTTTTTAATGGGCCGGTAAAGGCAATTTGGTGCATTAGGTGAAGATCAAGCATTCTTCTCAAATTAAAAGTACATGGTGTGAAAGCGGAGCAGCCACCATCAAGGCTTTTCTCTGTAATTACTCAAAGCAGTTTCCCTGAGATTTATAAAAGAGCTGTACTTTAATTAAACATCATGGGACGTGTTTTGGAGAATCACATGGGCCCTTCAGCTCAGAACAACCTGTCTCAGTAAGAAGCCTCATGCAGCAGATTCAGGCTCAAAGTCATGTTACATAAACAATTGAAAAGATTTAAATTTGATAAATAGCTGTAATGGGTGTTTTTTTCATGCATCTTTTTGATATTGGGAAAATGCAGGTCTTAGCAGAGTTACAGAAGAACATAAATATTGCTAAATGCTATAAAATGCTATATAAATGCTAACAGCTATAATGCATTTTCTGGAGAATGTCAAAATTTGAGCTAAAACATGACAACAAATTTTTACCTAAAACAATTGCATAACATTGATATAAAATACCTTAATTATGCGTCTCCCTTTCTTCCACAACACTTTTTTTTTTTGCAATACTTTTCTAATACAGTAATAGATTTTTGCTCAACATGGAGAGTAAAGGTTAGGTTGCCACGACGACTAAACTAAAACAAATATGGGGCATAATTGTAGATGAAATCACCAGGTACCGAATAATCATAATCAAACACAGTGAGTGCGATTAACAGAGACGTTCCAAGAAGAAATAAAACAATGTTGATTATTTGATTAGTTAAGACGTGATGAAGGGTCATTCCTGTGGACACATGATTGGTCGTTTAATCACTGTGCGGACCTTTATTGTTCAGACAGGATTTAATTGCACAGATTAATTAGATCAACATTATCCTACTGACAAAATAGTTACAGATTATGGATAAAGCAACTAATCATTTTTGTGCTTTCGGAAAAAAATTATAGGAAAAACTGAACAATTTGCAGCAGTCAAAACGCATTTCTCACTTTGACTTGATTAAATTTGTATGTGTATAAATGTGTGTGTTTTTGAATCAGAACAAACACCACAGACGACATGAACAGATTATTAAAGTGAATGTCCGGTACTTTTCAAACTGAAGAGAGTGAAACGTTTTGGTTTTGTTCGACTCGCAGACTCCTACATCTTCCTGGTTGAGGCCCTTCTTCATTAGGTTTAACAATTCTCCTCTTACTTACCCATTTAAAAACATCATCGTTGGAAAATGACTGACAGAATTGCTAGTGAAATACAATTCAACTTTAATTTTTTCAGATTCATTTTGCAAATGAATCTTTTAATTAGACTTTAACCTTTAATTACATAGTGCTACGTTTGATATTTACAAATATAGTGGAAGGTAATTTCCTACTTCTACCACTAGATGGCAGTGTTTCATTAAAGCTTTTCCCTTACCAATTACACAAATATAATCATATATTTCAAACTTTACACTATTATGTCACATTGTAAAGCATCAAAACCCAACGTAAGTATTGATATGAATAAGGGCGACATTGGACAGAAATATTTTATGATATTTGGTGTTTTTTTTTTTTTCAAGTTGTTTAACACATACTAACATTACTGACATTTTTTAGAGTTAGGGAGCATCAAATCACCTCAGGCCTTTCTCATGTCTTCTACTCTCAATTTGAGCTCCTCCCGTTGGGCTAGAATAGGACTAGAAATAAGAGAAGATCTAACCCGGTATAAGAACTCGTTCCTACCTATATCTGTGAACCGTGTTACTGTGAGTCCAAGACAAATTATCTTAATGGGACATAATAATCTTAATCTTGAATCTTGTATTGACAAAGAAATGTCTTCAGTTTGAGTGTGTACCTCTATGGTGTAGGTCTGATCGTGTTTGACCGTCTCTCCACTGCGCAGGGTCTTGCTGAGGGAGAACTCGGTCGTGGGCGGGAGGGTCCTGTCTGCTCCATCGTGTCCCGGGACGGTCGGCTCTTCTCCCTCCAGCGTTCGGTTCAAATCCGTTCGTCCCAAAATGTCACCCTCCGCCGGCTTCTTCTTCCTCCTCTTCTGTTTCTTCTGGGAGTCTGCGTGGGCTTTTCTCTGCCGATACTCAGCCAACTGTGAAGAAAAAACCAGAAAACGGCATCTCTGTAAATCAATGGGGTCGATTTAAGTCAAAGAGATGAGTCAAAATATGAGAAACATCTAAAAACCCACGTTGAAATTGCGTATCTTGGAGAAGCTTGAGCGTAGCATTGTGAGGATTCACCAAGTGCCCTTTTTTCAGCTCCTCCTTATGTCCATATGACCTAACACATGCCTCACGGTGCCAGCTCCTAATCCACACTAAAAGGATTACTTTCACAAGGCAGTAATTTGGACCTGGAAATCAATTTGAGAAGGCTATCCGCTGATAGATGTTATGTGATTTTAAACTGACTGAAAAATGTGCTTTGTCAGCGACTCTACTTACTGCAAAAACTTAGCGAAGATTCTGCTTAACTTTTATCGCTGCACCACTGAGAGTTTGCTTGTTGGTTCTGTGACTGTGACAAAGAAAGGAGACCATAGAGAGACCAGAGAGAGACAAGAGAGAAACCAGAGAGAGACCAAAGAGAGAGAGACCAGAGAGAGACCAGAGAGACCAGAGAGAGACCAAAGAGAGAGAGACCAGAGAGAGACCAGAGAGAGACCAGAGAGAGACCAGAGAGAGACCAGAGAGAGACCAAAGAGAGACCAAAGAGAGACCAAAGAGAGACCAGAGAGAAACCAGAGAGAGACCAAAGAGAGAGACACCAGAGAGAGACCAGAGAGAGACCAAAGAGAGAGAGACCAGAGAGAGACCAGAGAGAGACCAGAGAGAGACCAGAGAGAGACCAAAAAGAGACCAGAGAGAGACCAAAGAGAGACCAAAGAGAGACCGGAGAGAAACCAGAGAGAGACCAGAGAGAGACCAGAGAGAGACCAAAGAGAGACCGGAGAGAAACCAGAGAGAGACTATGAGAGACCAGAGAGAGACCAGAGAGAGACCAAAGAGAGACCAGAGAGAAACCAGAGAGAGACCAGAGAGAGACCAGAGAGAGACCAGAGAGAGACCAGAGAGAGACTATGAGAGACCAGAGAGAGACCAGAGAGAGGACTGTAGACTGTGAGCTTCCTGTTCTGGAGGTTCTTTATAAATCCAGACTTTTAAACCGAGGAATTATGGATGACTCTTCTGGCCACCCTGGAAAAGCCTTGTTCCAGCTATTTCTGTGCTTTTAACCTTCTTTTATTTATGTGAATTTATATGAATGCACAGTGGAGACTTTTTCAAATGTATTCCAATGTGGTTTTACTGCAAATGGCAAATAAAGGAATCTGAAACAAATCTGGAAGATTCATATGTTTGACTGAATATGGTTGACCTTTGCAGTTTTATATAAACTTTGAAATGCACTTCTACAAAGCCAAAATGTGCAGAGCTGTGTTCACTCTAAATGTTTGACATATAGAAGCAAACCACTCAATGAGGTGGTGCCAATTCTGCGACATGCCGAATATTTCACAGACTTTTTGTGTGTGATCTGTGGAGTTCAATTTACTCAAACTTTAGCTCCGCCAACATAGACATGTCTTACCTCAAGCTAAAGCCCATAACTGGCTGAATCCAGTTTCTGAACAATTATAAGTGCCTGACAATGCTAACAACTAACTTAGCTGTTAGCATTGTTATGGTGGATTCTTTGTTTAACGTTTAAAGAGTTTGGGTCAGTTCGGTGGACGCAGATTCACAGTCGTGGTCCAGAACATAGTTTCTACTGAGCCTCTCAAAAGTACGACACTTTGAACTTTTGGTCATGTTTTCAACCATAATCAGAGTGATTTTATTTGGATCCTTTACTGAAAGTTTACGTGTTTACGATCCAGCTCTGCTAGGGTAAGGAGGAAACTAACAAAACAAGATGTTAAAAGGCAAAGCATGTATCTTTATAACAGGAATATAAATAAGTAGACATAAATCAAATGGACAATACAGAACATAAAGGGGTACACAAACATAAAGGGGTAACTCAAAGGGCAAAATTATTACATTTTCAATTCAAACTAGAAACCGTTGCAATGGCTGAAGCCATTGCGATTGACTGCGAAACAGATCTAATGTGGAATTTAGCTGAAAAATCCTTGCTGAAAAAAACTGTTAAAATACTTTAAACATCTTTGAAACTCCTGAAGTATTTGAAGCTCCTGATATCCTTTAAACTGTTATCCTTTATACTGGTTTACATGTAAAAACCCCTATTAAGTTGCATTATACTGGTTTACATGGAAAAATCCCCATTAAGTTGCATTATACTGGTTTACATGTAAAAAACCCTATTAAGTTGCATTATACTGGTTTACATGTAAAAATCCCTATTAAGTTGCATTATACTGGTTTACATGTAAAAACCCCTATTAAGTTCCATTATACTGGTTTACATGTAAAAAACCCCTATTAAGTTGCATTATACTGGTTTACATGTAAAAACCCCTATTAAGTTGCATTATACTGGTTTACATGGAAAAATCCCCATTAAGTTGCATTATACTGGTTTACATGAAAAAAACCCTATTAAGTGGCATTATACTGGTTTACATGAAAAAAACCCTATTAAGTTGCATTATACTGGTTTACATGGAAAAATCCCTATTAAGTTGCATTATACTGGTTTACATGGAAAAAACCCTATTAAGTTGCATTATACTGGTTTACATGTAAAAACCCCTATTAAGTTGCATTATACTGGTTTACATGGAAAAATCCCCATTAAGTTGCATTATACTGGTTTACATGTAAAAACCCTATTAAGTTGCATTATACTGGTTTACATGGAAAAATCCCTATTAAGTTGCATTATACTGGTTTACATGTAAAAACCCCTATTAAGTTGCATTATACTGGTTTACATGGAAAAATCCCCATTAAGTTGCATTATACTGGTTTACATGAAAAAAAAACCCTATTAAGTTGCATTATACTGGTTTACATGGAAAAAACCCTATTAAAAAAAAACCCTATTAAGTTGCCCTATTTGCATTATACTGTTTACATGCCCCATTAAGTTGCATTATACTGGTTTACATGAAAAAAAACCCTATTAAGTTGCATTATTATACTGGTTTACATGGAAAAATCCCTATTAAGTTGCTGGTTGGAAGTCCTTGGTTGCACTGCTGAAGTCCTTGAAACTGCTGAAGTCCTTGAAACTGCTGAAGTCCTTGAAACTGTTGAAGTCCTTGAAACTCTTGAAATCTTGAAACTGCTGAAATCCTTGAAACTGTTGAATCCTTGAAACTGTTGAATCATTGAAACTGTAGAAATGTCTGAAAGAGCTGAAGTCCTATTAAAATGCATGGGCCTATTAAAATGCATTGCAGAATTCTCAATGCAGATTTTTGTCCGATTGCGGAAAAACCGGAAATCGCTGAAGTCCCAAAAGTAATAGCAATAATCTCCCAAACATGTGGAACGTTTTGATGTATAACTTGTGGAAATTGTTGAAAATGTGAAAGCTGTGAAACGTGTCAAAAAAAATGACGGAATAAAGAAATACAAAACCAATGGTTGACTGCGGAAGGTTCCGCAGTCAATCAATAAAATTATTTTTGTATAGCCCCAAATCACAGCAACAGTCATCTGGGAGGACATATATGATCTTTCATTGTGCTGGGGCCTGAAATGTCCTGCAATGACAGATCAGAATCTCAAAATAACTTACATTTGAATATATTCTAATTGGTTTGTTCATTGTGAATATATTATCAATGGGATGAATCTATTTTGTTTCCCTTTCGATCACCTACTTTACCATCATATAAAGATGGACCATGACACAATCTGCCCTTCTCTGAAAATAAATGTTTCTAAATGTGCTTTTGTGAATCAGACAGCAGTGGTGGCTCAATACATCTTATTTTGTATAAAGGTTATGGAGCAGAGTGATAAAACAAAGAGTGGGCTGCTGGCCGAGAGCCTGCCCACAATGGGCAGCTGAAACACTCAAAGGGCTCTTGATGTGCCCATGCAACATCTAAATATACACCGTGTTCTCCTCCAAATATGAGAGGGAGAGGTGTGCATAATGTGAACCGAAAACGAAGGACTAAAACCCTGAATGGATTCTTGTTTGAAGACGATGCTATAATTTCAACTTGACTTTTCAGGGATGCACTTTTTCAGCTTTTTATGTTCATATTGAACTGGTAAAAGTACCCAATATCGGCAATATTGGGGCTTCTCTGGTGGTGACTGGATTTTTTTAATCAGATTTTTTGATGTGATTTCTTGGTATTTTAACCATCAAAAGATTGTATATGATAATATAATTTATTCAGGTAACAAGGGACTCCAGACAGTCGTCTTTTATGAGCATAATGTCTCTGCAAGACCAAACTAAACTAAGTTGTGTCATTGAGACATGAAATTCCACGACAGTTTTAGCTCTACACAGTAAAGTATATTTCTATTTCCACGGAATAATGCATGTGATTTTCCACCACCAATAACAACGTAGTGTTGCGTTAAGCGCTGTTGGAGGTTCTGACAAAGGCAGGTTTTCTCTGTTTTCCCCAGTGTTCCCCTGCCTCGCTGCACTGGCCAAGCTCTTTGAAAACTCTTCAAACTGAAACAAATCTGACACAAAACACTTAAACTGAACAGTCCTCTTATTGAAGTCTCAATCATCATTTGAAACATATTTTTTTGGCAGATAAATGTTCATCTCCTTCAGGATGCAAAGTCCTAAAAGATGCAAAGTCTAAAAAACTGTATTTTAGTGCAAAACATATATATAATTGTATGTATACATCTGGATCCAGCTTGAACCACATTTTCTGTCATTCTAAGGATTGTTTTTTGTGCCTTCTGATTACAATGCAGTCATGGATTGTAATTGAAATAACTTTTTTAGACCAATAACATTTGTTGTTGACACGTGTAGCTCCTAAGCACTGATAACTGATGCAATCCACCTGCTGGGATTTAGCTAGAAACAGTACAAACTGCGTGTTATGTATGAACCACACAGGTACTTTTGTACCTGTGTGGTTCTGTTTATTTTTGAATCATGTTGTTTTTACTTTTTGGTGTTAAATGA